TCTTCTTAAAATTTGAAAGAGGGTATATCACGTGTCTGGAACGTGTCTGGAACTTTTTTTTTATCAAACTTTCGCCACTTTAGAATTTTATGAAGGATACTTAGTTCTTTTAAGCTATAGTTCATATTTATTACAAGTAAATTTTTCTGCAAAAAGGTACTTGCACTTCAAGAAGAGCACGTATGCTCATACATGTGAACTATGAAATCAGCGCCAGTTTAGTGTTCATAAGCAAAATGCCGCGTTAAATTTGAGCTAAGTTTCTCCGCATAAATTAAAATGTTAATTACGCGAAGTTAATTAAATACAGCCCCGTATCGCTCATCAAATTTGTTGAAGTATAATTCTTTCTCGTCTATGTCTTTTACTTAACTTAGATTTATACGTGAAAAATTATCCCATTGGATACCTGCAAGTGACATATCGTGTGCATATCGATCCTGATTGGCTGTTGAAACGTGGGATTTGTTTACGTTATCAGCTGCTCTTTCCATTCTATTTCGAGTAAGCCAAGCCAGTCTAGTATCTATTCTCTTAAGTGACACATTCTATAATTTTTCACAAAAATTTTACTTAATAACAGAGACAATGAGTACTAATGTGTACCTGTCTCTGCCATGTAAAGCATAAACTATGCTTCGAAGTTGCCAGATGCACACAGTAAAAATAATAATGGATATAATAAAATGCACTGATGGGGGGAGGAGAATCCTAACACAAGCAAAAAATATTGTAATGAAATTTCGGCAATGCGTTTGTCTGGGTAACATATTTGATGGACTAAAGTTTCAAGAATTAATGCAATTAAAATGCAGTTAGTGCAATTAAGAGAAAAACCATTTCAAATGTGAAATGCTGGTACATTAATAACCGGTGTATGCACCAGAATTTTGATTGCAAGCATGTAAACAGGCATGCATTGTGTCATACGAATGCCGCTTATTATTTTGTGGGATGAAGTTCCATACCCGTTGCACTTGGTCGGTCAATACGGGGATAGTCAATGCTATTTGTGGGTGACGCTAAAAAGTTGTCGCCCAATGATGTCCCATACGTGCTCCATTGGTGAAAGATCTGGTGATCTAGCACGCCAAGGCAACATGTCGGCATTCTGTAAAGCATGTTGGGTTAAAACAGCAGTATGAGGGCGAGCGTTATCCTGTTGGAAAATACACCCTTGAATGCTGCTCATGAATAACAACAAAACAGGTTGAATCTCCAGGTTGACTTACAAATTTGCTGTCAAGGTGCGTAGTATAACCAAGTCGATAGCAGATGCTCACCTGGCCTCTCTTTAACCAATATACGGCTATCACTGGCACCAAGGCAGAACCGACTTTCATCAGGAAACACTATAGATCTCCACTCTGTCCACCAGTGAGCTCTAACTCGAATCTACTCAAGTCGTGAACGGCAGTGGCTTGAATGGAGTGGAATGCATGCTACAGGGCGTCTCGCTAGGAGCTGTACTTTAAGTAGCCAATTTATAACAGTTAGTTGTGTCGCTGCATTGCCAACTGAATTTCTGCTCAAATTTTTGATGCAGACGAAATAAGGTGAGCCACAGTCATACGTGGTATTTCCTCTGAGTAGTGCCGTGGGGCAGTCCAGGACCCGGTCTTCTTGAAGCTGTACCTTCCCCTGCGTTCACCTTCCAATGAGGTGAACCGGGTTCGAATTTCAACGATAGCTGAGCGATACGAATTCCGGATCCGGTTTGCACTGACCACAGTGATGACGCGAAATATCCTGAGTGGTAGACGGATGATGGGTTAGAGTCCCTTTGCTTCAGGCTAACCGTGGGAGGTTCTCGTGGTCTTTCTCTCCATGTTACACAAATGCGGTTTAGTTCCATCAGAAAGTCTTCCACGAAGGCAAATTTCTCCCAACATTTAATCCAGGAGTTCCCTTGCCTACTGGATTGGCTTCAAAATTACGAGGCTACGGAGTTGAACATTAGTGGTCGTAAACCCAAAAAATTGGGTCGGCTGTTCAACGACGATTATAAAGTAAAAATCTTGCACAGTGAGCTGTGTTGGCTCAGGGGATAGAGCGTTCGCCTTCCAATGAGGTGAACCGGGTTCGAATCCCAGCCATGGCTGGTGGATACGAATTCGGCTCCCGGCTCGCACCAACCACAATGCTGACGTAAAATATCCTCAGTGGTTGACGTATCTTTGATCAGAGTCCCTTTGCCGTCAGGTTAACCGTGGGAGGATTTCCTCTCCATGTGACGCAAGTGCGGGTTAGTTCCATCAAAAAGTCTTCCATATTTATTGAAGGCAAATTTCTCCCAATACTTGATCCAGGAGTTCCCTTGTCTTCTGGATTGGGTTCAAAATTACAAGGCTACGGAGTTAAACATTAGTAGTATTAAACCCAAAAATTGAGTTTGATGTTCAACGACTGTTATAAAATGAAATAAAATCATGCACAGTATATACATTTCTCTCCAGTCTTTCTGAAATATCACGGAAAGGAAATCCACCTTCTTGTAGCCTTATTACATGACCATGTTCGAAATCCTTGAGCTGTTGATAATGGCTTCGTTGTTTTCTTACAGGCATTCTTGATTAACAGCCAACTACTATGTCAATATTTAACGAAAAATAATCTTTCGAACTGTAGAATACGTATTTAAAGCAACCCAGATTTTCATGTTCACAGTGACGCTTCTAGTGTCTAGCACGAAATTTAAATAGACTTCTTTCAGTAGTATAAATAAGACTACGAAATTTAGTTTATCTAGCAAAACTCCTTCTCGGTGTGTTGGGATTTTATTATCTGTCAGTGTACATAAATAATAAATCTAAGTTAAGTAAAAGACGTAGCCAAGAAATAATTATATTTTAACAAATTCGATGTGCCACACGGCTTAGCATTTAAGTAGCTTCACATTAACATTCTAACTTGTGGAGAAACTTAGCTCGACTTACACACGCCATCTTTTTAACAAGCAATCAGTTGGCGTTGAAGTCATAGGTATAGTTTTCCTACAGTAACTCCCATCGCCACAAAGTCTGAGGCCGTCTGCTGCTATGGAAACAAGAACAGCGCATTTCAGAGAGGGTAGCTTCTCTTCTCTTTAGGGCTAACTCAATAGATCGAAGAAAAAGATTCCCTTTCTCTCGCCGTCCTAAACAGTGACCCCCACAACCCTATTTGAAATATTTAAACCTTGTTACCATACTTTCCCCCACGGGTCCAGACGAATGGCTAGGGGATTTCTTGCCTTAGACAAACTATAAAGGGACTGTGTAGCAGTGACCTTCTTAACGAGTTGCAAGTAACCAATTAAACTGCCACAAATAAAATTAGTGGCATGTTAGTTTTTAAATTAGTAAAACTTTACTTACTTTATTATAAAATTTATAAGAAAACTCCAAACCAAAAATTAATAATGATGCAAAATGCAAATGGTTTTTGGGAAAATACAACTTGCTTAGTTGACTGAGGACCTTGGTTGACGGAGTCAAGCTAAGCACAGATGGTGATAGGGGTTGAATTTTGTCTTAAGATTTCCGGGTTACTATTTTTACACCTAGGCTTGAAAAAGCATGCCATATAACAGGGGTGGTCAAGCTCCTTGATAATCGAGTCATTTTCCAAAATTTGAAATTTTTCGCGAGCCGCAATTAAATACGTATTTAAAAGGTATTACATTTTTTTACAGAAATTATATTTATTGAAAACATATAAACACATTTATTTTACTTCTCTTGATAATTTGCGACAGCACTTAGTAATTCTTTGAGATGCTGGTTAGTTAATACTGATCGGTGTTTGGATTTCACGAATTTTAAAGTAGAATAAAATGATTCATGTAAGTACGTTGTTCCGAATATTGAAATAATTCGACAAGCAGCCTTTTTTAATTCAGGATACTTCGATTCTGGTACAAATTTCCAAAATTCAGTAATCGACTGCGATTTATATTTTAATTGTAGAGAGCGTGATCGTCTTGAATCTCTATTAATTCTAATTCTCCAGATGCTTTTGGGGTTATAATTATATTAGAAATAAAAAATTTACCTTGAATTATGTTAATTTCAAGTGGATTCAGAAAAAAATCAAGAGACGATTTAAAATGTTTCAAGTCTTGAAATATATTTTGGAATTCCCTCAATATTCCTTCTAGCTTTTTTATATACTCATTGAGTTTTTCTTGTTTAATATTGGAACCAATTTTTTTAATTCGAGGAAAATAACAAAATTTTCATATTTGTTGTCAGTAATTTAAAAGACATTTTGAAACACATACGGAACGATAATAATTTTTTTAAATATAATAGCTCAAAAATGAAAAGCGAACTCGGGTACATTTATAGAGAGCCACAAATATTCCTTCAAAGAGCAGCAGGTTGCCCCCCCCCTGCCATATAATGTTATTACAATAGCAGTGTTTATCATAAAACATATTATTTCACTTTAATTTGCAAAGAAACAAATAAGAGGAGTTCGAAAAACTCCGCGAGCATGCTGTGATGTTACCTCAAAAATAACAAACAGTGATATTTCACACAAATATAGCCAAATATGAGATAACAAGCAGAACATGGCAAGCCTTTATTTACACTGTGATATTAATTTTTATAAATCTGCTTTTAGACTCACGAGACCTGTTAGAATTCATAAATTACTGAAAACTCTAATGAATGGTAAAAATTTGGGTTAATTTGAACAAAAATCACAATAATATACTTCCTAGAATATTAAGTCTGTTAACACATTGCCTCGTAAGCATAACATAAGACGGATTACACCAGAAATTTTCTAAATTTCATTCGGTTTTAGGAAGCTTGTTATTGTTTACATGCAGTCAACCAACTATATCGTAAAAAAAAAATGCAGACGCAAAATATATATACTATTATAATACAGACTGCATAGTAATGCAAAATATAACTATAATAAAACTATTGTTTTTAACTCAAAATAGAAACTGTGATGATTTTATTTACTTCACATCATTTTTAAAGAAAAGAAAAGAAACAAAACGCTTTTTTGTCAAAGATTTCAAATTTATTAACAAATGCAAAAGTCCTTAAAACTTTTTACAATAACAAGGGTTGGACCAATTCCAGCCACAGATTCAACATACTTCTTCTAGCAATTCAACAAGGATTTTTAAAAGCTAAGTTTTATGTACATATAACTACAAGTTTTATAGTAAAAGTAAAAATTTACCTGAAATAAACACTCAAAATAATCATTAAAAAAAATCATTAAAAAATTGCACAACACAAAAATAAAATGTAAAACTAAAAAGCTGAGAAAGTAAAAATATTCTTAGTACCTAAATTTCTTTTATAGATTATGTTAAATTGTACAGAAAATCTTAGAAGAGTTGATACATTTTTTGGACTAGATACTGCCTATATTTTTTTTTAAATACGAAATAGTTCCTAAAAGCTTGGCTTGGGAGAAAAATTTAAAAATAAAAACAGAACAATGAGGTGACAACGTTTTTCATAAAATTATGCATATTTGAGTACTTCAACATAATTCTGACTAATAATTCTATTTCATAATTTTCGCATCTGTACAATTAATACAATCAGTATAAACAAAGTTTTTAAATACACTTTAAAACTTAAAAAAACTAATTTACATAACAAAAGTGCATTCGTGTTCGAGTTTTATAAATAGTTATTAAGTGAATTAAAATTTTTACATCATATTGTTAATTTCACACACTTTAAAATTAATCATTAAAAATATATACTGTCACTTTCAACTAATAAGCTAAATTTTCCATTAAAACTTATGAGAATCTTCTATATTTCTAACTAAAATGAACAATTTAAGTAGTAGAAATAAATATTGAAAACTGTCAAAAATCACCAATTGGTTTACAAAATTTTTAAAAAGAATAAAAAAAATAATTTTTTATCTGAAGCTTAAAAAAAAAATAGCGTCATTCAAAATCAAAATTTGATAAAAATAATCAGTTTTAATAAATTAATTTTTAATGTTACTTTTTTAAAGCAATTAATCATCAAATAATAAGTAAGGCATAAGCAAATGAAGGTCTTATTTAAAACAGTTGGCAAACTCTACTAGTTAAAAAATATATATTTCATTTCAGAGTATTTCATTTTTATACAAGTCATTTTTATTTAAAACCAGTGTGTCTGCATTCACAGCTTATTAATGCTGTCAAACAGAAAGCACCACAAATCTGACAAGAAACTAATTAGGATTTAAGGCTGTGCATCTGCAAATTGAACATAAGTTTGAATTAAAGATAAATTTGAGCAAAATCGAACATAAGTTTGTTTAAAAATTAAATATGACCTTCAAAAGTAATAAATCTTTCTCTAAATGAAGTATAATTAATCAACAATTTCGAAGAGCTTAGTTAATTTAAAAAAAAAAGTTTTGCTTATCAAACTCACTAAATATTTTTTAACATATACTCTAGGTACCCATCAAACAATGAATTAAAGTTGCGACTGAACCACTTTGTCAAGGTCATTAAATACTTAAAGGTCAAGGTCATTAAATACTTTTTAAATTTTATACACAACTTTTTTTTAAACTTTAAACCAATTGAAGTTAATATTTTCATCAATGAAAATTTACTCTCATAAAAATTATAAGAAATACCAATATTAAGATTTACAAATTATTTTCCTCATACAAAGTTTAAAATAAATTTTCATCTTTTTATAAAAGAATTAAAACTATTTTTCACACCCTTTTTATTATATTCTACAGAAATAATTCGTAAGAAACCCATTTATAATAAGGGTGATTTGTTTAAGCTTGATGGGTAAATATTTTTATCCTGTGAAAAAATAAAACTTGAATTTTCAGATATCCCATTAAATTCAATAATTAACAATTATTTTTAATAAGTATACAAAAGTAACTTATTAATAAATAACACACCTGTACATGTCAGTAATATTTAAAAATCATAACAAGTTTCGAAAATTTTAATTTAGAAAAAAAAAAACAGATAACACATAAATACCACATTCATTTAATTTCACCAAATTATACTGTCCACTCAGTAATAAATAAAATCAGTTGTTGCATTTATACAATCTTCTTGCACTGGTATAATTTAATTTGCACATTAATATAGATTGGTGCAAACTGTGCAAGGTTTTATAAACTTATAATATTAAAAAAAAATAATAAAAATAAGTAAAATTGTTTCCAGATAAAACTAAAAATAACAAATCCTGATTATAACACTTTTTTTTTCACAATTTAAAACTATCACGTATTTCAACATAAATATATTCATCTCACTTTTCATACAAACAGACAACAAATAATTGGAATCTAAAAATAAAAAAATAAAAAAGAATTATTACTTTTAAACCAGACACCTAAAATTTCCTAGAATAAATTTTGGAAAAAAAAAGTTGTTTTAGGTTATAAATGCAGAATGAACAACTATATATACAACTATCAATTATGCTAGCTTCAACACTAACTTCAAAACAGAGTTGAATTTATAGTAATGGATTAATATTTATTATAATCCTATATAATTTTCAAGAATAAATATTTTGCGAATGATTTTTAAGAACATTAGACACTTTTAAAGGAATTGTGAGTGCCACAGAATTTCTAATAACACTCATCATTATTAATCTTAAAATTTACAATGTAGAGAAATGTGCCACATTATACTGTCATAAATAACAATAAGTAAATTACAATAATAGTGCGAGGAATAAGATAACAATGTATTTCAGTTATACAATTTCTTGGTTATTTTTTGCTCGAAAAGAAAAATAATATTGAGTAATTCAGTTTACACACAACTTTTAAATCAGAGCTATATAGTCAGTAGTTAAAGATGCTCAACTTTTGACTCCAACTTGAGCTTGATCAAAATTTTCCCTGACTCACAGGAAAGTATTAACATTATCATTAAGTAAATATGCTAACCTCAAATTACATAGTTCTATTTCTTATTACGTAGACAAGGGGGCAAAAAACTCTTTGGAAAAAGATCTCCCGATTTTTTTTTCAGACAGTTTTTTATCAATTGAGTGTGTTTTTTCAATAATTACTAACTAATATTCCAGTCATTTCGTATTCTTATAAAAAAATATGTTAAAAAACACTCATCCTTATCATTAGAACTTAAAGTTTAAAAAAATAAAAATACATCAGTCATTTAGATATTTCAAACTGAAATGATCCTTACAATACTCACGTTTCTTTCAAATTAACAAAATTCTCTGGAATTTCCCTGCTATGTAGCCACTCAGATATGATTAACATGCATAATAGCATTTTATAGTATAACATAATTAATTTGTAAGTTAATTCAACAAATATTTAAAATTGTTTAATAATTGCAATGAAATCTAAGTTATAGTTTTATCCACATAGTAACAAATATCTGTCTAAATAATTTTAATAAGATCAAAGACTTTTTTTTTTTTTTACCAACAGGACTTAATTTTTAACTAACTGGAGTAAAGCAAATAATTTGATTCAGATTCCTGTGAAATCGTCCAACACAGACTCTATAGCCCTGATTTAAATCTCAATTTTTTTTAAATAAAAAATATAAAAATACAAAGCTAATAGTACAAATATAAACAAAATATACATCAATTGATAAAAAAATAAACACTGAATAACCATCTTTATCATACAAACTAATTCACTGATAAATAAAATATCTCCCTAAACTGAAAGAAATTTATTCAATAAAAAAAATCAATAATCTCACACTGTGTTATTTTAAATAAGCTCTTTCTGATTAAAAATAATAATAAGAATAAAATCACAAAAAGACACATACACAATTTCAACAACTAAAACTGAACAAAAATGCATACATCAGAAAGTGTTCTAACCAATAAATAACAATTTTGCTTTTATTCACTCCTAATTTAAACTCATGAGTGTAATTATTACGTGAATCACAACAATTTATATGCAAAAAAATACCTAAAATGATCACTTTAGACAAACTACTCATTGAAAATCGAATATTCTAATAGTTTCCTTAAGAGAGTGATGGAAAAGGAACAGTATTAAATTTAAAGAATCAAAATGTGCCCATTTCTAGACTAGTCACTAAACTTTTTTTAAGTTTATGTTCAACCCGCAAAATAAGACCTGGAATCAGACCTTAAAAAAACTATAAAACACTGTTTAATGAACTGAATGATTCACTATAATTGTAAATTTTTAATCTTTAAAAATAGTATTGGCAGTTTTACTGTCATGTTTATTAAAATTTCTACCGAAGTAAAATAAGATAAACTATTCAATTAACCAAATATGCAACTTGAAACTGAGAGTTTTTTATACTCTAAAAAAAGCTAATAAAAATATGCATAGTAATTTTTCCTGTTATAAAATGAGCTATGCAATTTAAATAACTAACCGGCACACTTAAAATTGTAAATGTTTAATCCTTTAAAAAAGCTAATAAAATAGTGTGGGTTATTTTAATTCCAAGTTAATTTAAAATAGGCTCAATAAACTTGAGTGAGTAACATTTTATCACAAAACAAAGCCACTTTCTGATGCATTTGATGCTAAAATAAGTATACTCCATTATAAGTTGAAAATGAGATATGGTGATGGCAAAGTTTTATAACAACGCAACAACAGTTTTAAAAGATTAGCTATCGCTTATCGTCGTCATCGTTTTCTTCATCTGTACTTGTGTTACAGCTCATACTAAGATCGTCTAAGCTACCGATTGAGGGAACTTTATTAGCATCTACGTCAGAGCAATTTTGGCTGATATTGCCGTCTGGAGAAGAGTGACCTGTGTCTGGTGTCGTACTACTGCCACCAGCATAATGATTCATATGCTGGTTTATATTCATGCCTGAAAAACAAAGATATTAGTTTAAACAAACGCAAAGCCGATTTATATTAAAAAGAGAAAGACCTGAAATTTCTGTAAAATTAATATAAAAATATGGATACAGATACAATTTCATGTTTCATCATTAACGACAAAATATTCCCCATATAAATTAAACGTATACAAATTAGAGGGAAAAAATTAAGAAAAAGTATAGTTTATTTCTATAATTTAATTTCTCCACTTATATTGCATAAAACATTGCAGGATTTCAAAAATCATAAATGGTAAAATAAGGTAGCTAAAACATTTTGTTATAAATTTATTTATGGTCATAATACTTTTAAAGACCTTTCTAACAGAAACCTTGTAATAAAAGGCTTTGTGATAAATAGAATATTCTCCGTATCATTAAAATTACGTGTAAAACATAGCATTACATATCTGAAATAGTTCAATATTAATACTTTAAAAAATTTAAATGCAAATAGTTTAAAACACAAAATATGCAACAGGAAAAAAAATTGAAACTATCTAGAGAAATTTAGAAATAAAATCCAAAAAATTCATTACATTTGGTTTGCTTCAGAGAATGTAAAGTTAACATTGTTTATGGAAAATTACATTATATAGATCTTTTACTACATTGCTCTGATAATTTTATTCACCACCACTTAATTCGAAATAAACTTATAAGCTTAGTTAGAAGTAATACAGATTATAATATGTAAGAATTAACCCTTTGCTTATGGCTGGTACAACATATGAACCACATGTGATGATACAACATGATATATCGTAAGCAAAGGGTTAAAGTGAACATAAAAACATGCTATTAAATTTGTCATAACCTGATTCAGACTTTCACTTATATGCATGGAATCTATATTAAACCAAAGAGGGTTACTTTCTTAAGCGAATCAAAGGAAAAACTAATTACTAGCTAATAACAGTTTCACAGAAAATTTTTACATTCCTCAATACCAATCTAATTTTATAAAGAAAAAATATGTATTAAATTTTTTTTTAATATTATTATGTTATGCAGCTCTAAAAATCACAATTACATACAAATCACTTATGGTTTAAAAACCTGCACTATTCACTTCAAAGCAAAACACAAAATGTAAAAGCAGATATTTAAGACACTGCATTGCCATATTAAAGAACAGGAGTTCATTTTCTGGGTAGCGATTTCTAGCCTATCCAGTTTTAGATTTATGGGCACCAGCTTTTCAGGGAAGTAAAGTCGACTAACGAGCAATGCCGAGTACGTTGCTATTATCATAGAGTTGGTCTCAAAATTGTGCAGCTTTAACCTCCTGGTACACAAAGCTGCTATTCTGGGGATACTTTAGTTTTACAACATCCAAAAGAACAATATAATAACAAAGAACAGAAATTTCAGGACAATGAGAAGCACCATCATTTATGTAGAGCAGGGATGGGCAAACTTTTTTGGTCGTGGGCCAAAAATTAAGAAAAAATTTGTTTGGTGGGCCAAGTAAAAACTTCCAAATTTAAATTTTAAAAAAAAAACAATATTTAAGTTTTAATTTAAGTATTTAGTGAGATGAATGAAATTTCAATTTCATTTTTAAAAGTTCCTTATATGAGGTTCGAAGTGAGATGTGCTTACTTTAAGGAACGAGGCTAAATGCTTGTTTGTTAGTCTACTTCTAAAATGATTGTTTAAAATGTTCATAGTTGAAAACTCTTGTTCACATATATATTTAAGATTAAGCAAACATAGCACTGATTTCCTGAGCATGAAATATTAAGATTTTGGGTACTAGCTTTTGGTAATGATTTGTAAAATTCAAACATTGGCATATGTAGAAACAACTGTATCAGATGATTCCTAGATTGTCCTCTCGTTGGAGCTTAAAATGCGCAGTCTGCCACACGTGAAGCATAATTCACCTATATTAGATTCCATAAGTTTGCTCCTCGAGAAAGACAAACGCCAATCTACAGCTATTCTATAAGGAACTTCTGCTTTCAACATTTTACCATTTGAAGCTCTCTGTGCTATTTCCATCCATTTATTTGTAGAACAAAAATAGAGAAAGTAAAAAAGGTCATCAGTACTTTGTTAAAAAAAAGAAAGAACATAAATAGCTTTAAAAAAGTCGGCAAGAAAATAGATGCATATTTTTTATATTTACCCTGGATCGGCAAGTTAAAATTCTATCCGCGGGCCGGATAAAACCTTCCGACGGGCCACAGTTGGCCTGCGGGGCGTAGTTTGCCCATCTCTGATGTAGAGAGTCAAAATGAAGAGAAATGCAATAAAATAAAACTTTAACAAGTTAATGAGAACAAAAACTGACCAATGAGGAGAGGGCAATAAAAGAAAATGCAAGTGTCAGAAATACTACCAAATGGGAAATAAAAGAAAAAAAATTTTGAAGGAGGATGGACAACATAAGTACTGGGAAAAAAATGCAAATACAGAAGTAGATTTCTAATGATCTAGAAAATTGGAATAAAAGGAAAGTCATCAGCATTCTCCGGAATATGCAAGGATTTACAGAAATCCAGATAAGTTGGTGCAGAAGAACTGAACAGTATGTAACGATTTTAGAACAGCAATTCTGCTTACACACCAAAAACCATTGAGGAGACATGAAAAAAAGTTATGATGGTAAATTATAATTTTCCATCGCGAAAAAATAGGGCACTAGAAGATTTAAGTAAAGAAAACTAAACTTTAAAAAGAAAAAAGAAATAATTTTCACTACTGCAAAAAATATAAATAATGCAAGAAACAGACAAATTTAAGGACAAATTTAAAACAACTATGGGGACCAACTCAGACGGTTATCACTGAAGAAAATTAAGTCAGAGTGTCATCAGGGATGAGATTGGTCAAAAGGCAAAAAAGCTGAATTTCAACGCGAGTAAATCTTATGTGCATGCAATCGTTTAATAATAAATTCCAGATGATTTAAGATAATAAATAACTATGTGTTGATATAAAATTGCGTACTAATTTATTAATATATGAATAATTACATCGACAATCAACATTTAGTAAAAAGTAAAATTACAAATTGAAAAAAAAAGCTGGAAATTATATTTTTCTTGATTCACAAAGGAGTCAATTATTACTGCCTAGTTTAGCCCACTAAAGTACGGAGAACATATATTAACATTTCATTTTTTTATTAAAAAATACTATCACGTGATTTATAGCAAAAATATCAGTAACGTATTCTCATCCAGTTTTGCTGATCTTGTAATGCCTATATATCTATACCAATAATCGTCGATAGAACAACTGCCACCTATATAGCAATTAATTCAAGAAAAAAACTTACTTCTTATAAGAATTGCGATAAATGATTTTAAAATCGTGTGAATACAAATAGCAATCTTGAATTTCGAAATCGCGTGAATATGAAACCCGATATTGGAGATCAAAAATGTGAAAATACAAATCATGATACCTAATTTTTAGATCGAGTAAATGCGAATCACGATACATAATTTCCAAATCGCATGAATATGAATCAAAAGCCTCATTTTTAAATCATGTGTGAATATGAAAATCGATGTTTGATATTACATCCACATAAAGGAATTGCTACACTGGATTTTAAGCTCACATGAATACGAATCGCTACATAGGATTTTAAAAATGCGTAAATGCAAATAGCGATACAAAAAGCTTGTGTAAGTTGACCACTTGTGCATTGTTTTAGTGGTCAAGTTAGACAAGTGGGCAACTTATAGAGGGGGTGGGTCATTGTTTACTCTTTTGTTTCCTACATCATGTTGCTACATATTTAAAAAATTTTTTACTTGACTTAAAAATTTTATTTAGCAAATAGCAAAATGAATATCTTAAGAAATGTGTTTGAACCTGAATGAACTTCAATTTGTTACTTATACCTCTAATATTTAACTAACGTTTTTAAAAAAATTATTTCGTTAGTTATGCATGTGAAGTGTTTAATAAAACTAATTTCTTAAAATATCAGAACACGAAAACACGTTATTTGAAAACTTTAACAAAACAAAATTAATTGAACACTTCAAAATTTATTCTGTTATTACTACACTTACAAACCCATTTATTACAAAAATATTCCCTCATTGTTGTTTGGCGCTGTTGTTTAGACTTTACATCAGCCTAATGTTTTGAAAGAAAGAAATGGTCAAAAGCTAACCCCCTACAGTTTCCCCAAATGGTCAACTCACAAAAGGGTTTAGATTAGCTTTTTACACTATTTCACCAAACAAGTGAAATTTTAACATACATTGTAAAATGACAGAAAATTTTCTGAATTTTTTTTTCTTCTGGTCAACTAATGAGGGTTTTAGAATAGAATTTCATAATACTCCTAGACAAAATTGACTTATTTCAGTGGTCAACATACAAGATAGACAGGTAGTCAAGTTACAAAGGTTTTGCTTCTTTATATTATACAGGAAAAATTCCGTTCTTGATAATTGAGGTCAACTTATGCAGGTGTCCAACTTACAAGGGTGGTCAACTTGGCAGGTTTCACTGTATTAGATTTTTTAAATCTCGTAAATAAGAATCCCAATGCACAACTTTTAAATCAGGTAAAAAAGAAAATTGATGTTTGATATTAAAATGCAGTGAAGTCTGAATTACGAAAATATGAGCTATCTGGTGGGCAGGTAAAAATGCGGAAAATCTTATTTTTTGCACATAGAAGTGGTGAAAATAGCTAAAGTTATTAAAAATGTGGAAGGGTTGACAGCTATGTAGTGTGAATTATCTGTTTATCTCTAAAAATCGGAAAGAAATATAATTATTTTACTTCAACAGCTGAATTTTCAGAAAAAGCAGAATATTTATAAAAAACTGAAACTTTTAGAGAATCAGAGTTATTTATAAAAAGAATCTCATCCCTACATAAATATAAATGAGATATTTATATTGGTTTAAATAGAAACACTTTTTGTAAAAAAAAAAAAAAAAGATTCAGTAATTCAAATGTCCTGGATTATCAGGGCGGACAACTTTCAATGCTTTCGTTCGTTTAGTGGTGGTTAAGTTTATGTTTAATAGATAATTTTTGTTTTGTAAATTTCATTTAAAATTATTTTCCACACCACTACATGTAAATGAGTCAAAAGTTTATTTGGAACACAACTTCGCTCTAACTCTGTCATGGTAAAAATTTAAATATTCTCAAAATTACCAAAAATTCTGGAAGCTTTAGATTTCAATTGTCTACCACTCTATAAAATATTTTTCAAAAAGCGTGGTAGTTTGAAAGACCTGTAGTTTCAAAAGTAGAACGGAATGACAATTAGAAGAAACAAACTTGAGCATATGATTACAGATCTGGAAAGGTTAAGAGCTTTTTGATTTATTCAATGTGACAAATCAAAAAGAAAGTCAACAGTTGCAAGAAATTTCATAAACACAACAGCTAATTTTAACAGCGAAATATTCAAAGATTACAGAAATTTAATTCATTAGAAGAAAATTAAAAAAATTTAAAATCACACTTTTTTAAATTTGAGAACTAATAAGTTAAACTTCGGATAACATGGTGAAGCAACCAAATTATCAAAGGTTTTAATTAGAGAGTTTATTTACAATGCATGAAGAGCCATGATGTACATCATCTACGATTTACCTTGTTTTTCACATTTAAACAAACTCTCCAGAGAAAATGAGAATGTCTATGACAAATATCTAGAATTTCGGTTATAAATTTTTAAATTTAATTAAGCTGATTTGAATTTTTTTTAAATAAACAACAGCATTAAAAAGAATAGTGTGAGTGAATAAAATGCCTAAATGACATTTTAGAAAAAAATCAGATTTCTTTGGAATAATTCTTATTTAAGTTTAATTTAACAAGACAACAATCATTTCATTTTTTGAAATTCTAAAAATTTTAATTTTCATTCATAAGTTTGATCATTTGTAATTTTATCATTCATAAGAGTTTTCTGTAATTTATAAATTCTAACAGATCATGAGCAGAAAACAAATTTAAGAAAATTAATATCACAAAATAAATAAAGTATAAGGTTTGCCATATTTTGAGGGTTATTCCTTATTTGGCTATAATTGTGTAACATATTGGCGGCTGTTATTTTTTGGGTAGCATCAAAGCATGCTTGGGTGGTCTCCACAAATCATTTGTTATTTGTTTCTTTAAAAGTTAAATAGAATGAACACATATTATGAACACTACAAGTATAATAATATTGAATGGCCCACTTTTCCAAAATTAGGTGTAAAAATCAATCAGAAGTTGTAATGCAGAAGTCTTATGACGACTAGCACTATCTGTGCTTATTTTTACATTGTCATCCATCCATATAGTATAAAATGGTGCTGAATATAAAATATTTTTTTTACCTGAAGTACTTGCTTGAGGATCACCTGGATTAGTAAGTTGATTGTTCTCATCAGAAGGACTTCCTTCAGAGTCAGGATTTTGAACTTGAGGCTGAATAGAGGCAATGTTTTCTGGCCAAAATCTCTGAACAGGTCGATTAGATTGTGTTTTTGATTTCTTAGACTTGTGGTTGCTTTCTGGGTTGGAGGCATCTAACATGGGCTGTAGAATCCTGCGTCTTGCATTAATAAACCTACAAAGAATAGTGAATTAATACATCTAATATACATCTAAATCTAATGAATGATACCTAGAACAAACTAGATATCTCACCAGTTATTAACTTGCAGAAGCGTTAAGTTGGTCTGATGAGCAATTTGTTTCTTTTCATCCTCTGTTGGATATGGGTGCTAATAGTAAGAGAAAAGAAATAAATTAATGAAAATCCAAAATCATTACTTTAAATGTTTCTGTAAAATTGGAATATTTTAATAAATGTGTTTGACTAGAATTAGAGAAAAAAATTTAAAGAAAAAATAATAGAGAAAAAAATTTAAAGAAAAAATAATATTTTAAAGTTGATAATTAATTTAATAGAAAAGACCAAACAGCTTATTTATATTGTTTAATAATACAGAACGTTTGAAAGATTACTGGAGAAACAAAAAGTCTTTGTTGCTTTTATTTCTTCTTTGGTGGAGACTATGACACAAATGGCAAAAGTTTTTGAAACATGGCAATTAGCTCAATTGGAAAATAAATCAATTCTATAGAAACTAAACATCAAAAGAGCTAAATTTATTTTTCATCCATTTTTTAAGAAAGGACTGTTATTTCATTTCCAGAAAAATAAATAATTCAAATAGCCAATTCTCAAATAAGAGTGTCATGACAATTAAATTTCAACAATTTGGAGGCAATGTTTGCCTTAAGGACGCAGACAAGATGTCACCCATGGATCTGATGCTGGGTGGGTTTTAAGCCATCATTGGAATAGAATTTAAAACCTTTACAATAACAGATCCATTGTCAGACATCCCAAAAAATTTCAATGTAAAAATTTCCTTATTTTTGGCCCAATATTTTTTTTCATTAATTGCGAGAAAATCAAACTCCACTGAGTCACCCCATCTCATCCGCGGCCTTCCCCCGCTTTCTTTTTCCGCTTTCTAAAAAGCAGTATCTTTTTTATTGTGTAGTTATCACTCATTCCAATCACGTGGGCGATCCAATTCATTCTATTTATTTTTATGTACTTAATTATATCAGGTTGTTTATAATTCTTGTACAGTTCAAAGTTAAAACTCCTTCTCCAGTTATTGTTTTCATTTACACCACCAAGTATACTCCGCAAAATCTTTCTCTCAAATATTGCGATACAATTTCCCTCCAGCTTTGTCATTGTCCAAGCTTCAGAAACGCATGTCAAGACTGGCCGGACAAGAGTTTTATAGATTAAGAGCTTTGTTTTTCTAGAAAGAAACCTAGATTTAATAAATCTTCTCAGCCCATAGATAGCCCTATTCGCCAGATAGAGTTGGTTTTTTATTTCAGAAGTAATTCTGTTGTCAATGGTGATAATTGATCCTAAATAAGTAAAACTCCTCACTGTTTCAAATATATAAGAATTTATTTCAAGATAGGGGTCTGGGACTCTGTTTCTTGAGAATAACATATATTTTGTTTTCTCTACATTTATAACTAAGCCCATTTGCCTTGCAGCCACCTGAAGGGCAAAAAATGCCTCTTTCAGGGCAGGAAGGGAACGAGCAATTATATTTACATCATCAACATATGCAAGTAGTTGTACTGATCTAGTAAAAATGTGAAAATGTATTGATGTTTGAATCACGAATAACTCTCTCATGTGCAATATTAAAAAGAAGACAAGAGAGAGAATATTTATATAGATATATATTTCATAAATATTTAGATTAAATTTTTGAAGTTATATGCATCATTGCAAATAACAATCAAAGTCATTGATGCAAGTTACAAGCTTATTGCAATACTTTCTGGCAAAAGGTGTTCAAAAATACTTATTTTCATTCCTAGTTTATTGTTGGTTCAACCTTAAACCTTTTCAAACCTTTAAAATTTAATGATAAATATGAAAAATTGCATGATCTTAACACCTCTAAAGTTATGAAAAAAAAATTTTCCTTATTTTTTATTATTATCAGTTTGAAAAGTAAGCATATTTTTACTTATCATTGTTCATTCATCAATATTGTTTGGCTAGCTAAAGCCAAACATAACAGCCTATAGCTACATAATACCAACCCAAAATCCACATGGGCTATAATACCTATCCAAAATATATATAAATTTGGATAGGTATTACACCACAGTTTTTTCAGTATATATTTCAATATTTTAAGAACAGGTGAGTTTGGAGCAACATTGTTCAGCAAGCTAAAAGACCACAGTGAGCTATAGCGCCATAAAAGAAGAAATTTAAATATTTAATAAAACTTTCCATCATTTAAAAAAAATATTCATAATATAAAATGTTATTAGTGTTTGGGGTTGGCCATGGCAAATTACCAGTAAACAAAAAAGATCAAAATGAATTTGAAAATTGAATAGCACAATGGGAAACTTACAATATTTTATAAATATGGGCTATTTTGAAATATTTATTTTACTATATGTTGGCTGGTCCCTAAAAAGAAGCATTTTAGCTAGTCTGCCATTCTATGTGAGTTGCATAAATACTTTAATATCAATTAAAAATTGACATAGTTAGGAATATAAAGGATTTATTGCAAAAACTAATACCAACCACAATGTGTTGGAAAAGCCAACTCCTCATAATACTTGTGGCGTGCTTAGGTAACACACCTCTCTTTTGCTTCTTTTTACTCATTATATCGTCGTCGTCATCATCACCACTAGGTATTAGAGGTCTTGGCGCTGTAAGGCAAAAATTTAAATTATAGGAGGAAACAAATAGGCACATTATAAATTTGGGTTAATATAAAATACTCTATTTTTTCCTTATGAAATTCAAAAAAATTAAATGAAGAAAAATACAACCACAGTGCTTAATACTTTAGATCTGTAGACAGTTTCAAGCCTGAATTTAAACTAATTTCTACACTAAGGCAACCATAATTGATTGCTTGAGCAAGATGCAATCTTAATTGAGATACAGTAATTGTTGAGATAGGGATTTTCAAATACTTAAGAGAAGGAATGGTTACAATAGATCAGTATGGAGGACTCTTTTAGAGAATTCAAGAATTTGAAGCCAATTTGTAGAATAATCCCACTGCATTGGTTAGCAATGGTAAATAAAATAAAAACTATCTTAATTTTATTATTACGAGGGTCATTTTTTAAATACGAACCATTTTATAATGGACTAAGAGAAATTTTATTTATGAATGTAGATTGTATCACAAACTGAAGTATTGACATTTATTCAGTTTCAACACAGTCACCATTAACACATGAAACATTTATCGAGTCGTGGCACAAACTTTTGGATCCCATCATCAAAGAACTCTACCACTTGACCCTTACACCAGTTAGTAACAGTTTTTTTAAGCATGTCATCATTTACCAAGCACGTTCCACCAAGAAATTTTTTAACTTTTGTAAACAGATGAAAGTCTAATTACAGGGTTCTCACTCTTTTAACAAAGCAAAAATTAAGGACTTTTAAGGGCTTATTTAAAAAAAGTTGAGCACTTTTTAAATAAGGACTTTTAAGGGCTTATTTTAAAAAAGTTAAGCACTTTTTTCAAAATTTAAGGACCTTAAAAATAGTATGATTGTTTATTATCAAATATACATATACCAGCGGCTCGACCAATTATTTACTTTTTTAAAAAAGAAAATCAATAAATTTAAAAAAAATTCAAAACAATTTTATTATAATGTAAGTACTGATATAATTGTATTTATTAACAGGGCTTGTCAAAGTAGGACCAGGCAATGTTTGCAAACTCGGGTCGAGTTTTTTTAAAACTATTTTCAGATTGTTAAGAGCCAACGACATTTGTGAAACTAATCCGTAAGCCATTTTTAATGATTTCATTGAAATTGAACTGTGAAATTAAGTGCAGATATTAAGATTTGTAAAAATTTCTCATATATTTAAAAAAAAATTCATATATTAAAAAAAAATTCATATATTTAAAATACATATCACATATTTAAAAATTCATATATTTAAAATACTTTTTCATATATTTTTAAAAAAAAGTGTAAATAAAGAAATTTGGGAAAAACATTGAAAATATTATCAAAAGTTTTTATACTTTGCTGCTAGACATGCATCCCATACTCAGTTGTGGGCCAATCTTGCTAAAGATTCAGCTACGCCAAAATCTTTCTTTTCCATTAACACAATATTTCATTTATAAGGGTATATATTAAAAGAATTAATATAAAAAGTTGAATTAGATTTATGCGTGAGAGTAGTTTTCTTAACTCTGTCATGTTAAATTAAGTCCCATTTCAAGTAAAAATAAGCCATACTACTATTAAAGCACCTTAAATCATTCAAATTTTTTTTCATTAGACTTAACTTAATTTTTTTTTTAAATTCATTGCAATAAATATTTTTCTGAAAAATTTTTATGGGATAAAAATAGAATTATGTTTGAGAAGATTTATAACTTTCAAACCAATATTTTTTTTATTAGTTCTCAGTGAAACATATAAATAAAAAGGTCTAAAACGATTTTTAAAAGGTATCAATGCATCCCTATGGCCAGAAAATTGATAAGGTTCCTTAATTAACAAATACAGATAAATTATTTATTTTTTCATCATTTATAGATATTTACTTTTTAATATTTTTTTTATCATTCTTAAAATTATTCTCTACTATTATCATGATTTGTTATTTTATTTTTATCACAAATTAACAGTTCAAAACTGAAAGTGGTATGCTTTTATTATAAAGTAATCCTCTAATATAAAATTATTAGGTAACATTTTGTAAAAAAATATTGAACAAATTTCATGAAAAACATATGTAACATATCGAAAATTTTATGAAAACCTTATTGTAACTTAACCATTTTGAAATAATTACTAAATAGCAAATGTGTTATATTTACTTAATTAACTTTACATAATATTACTAAACAATCTGGCGAAAAACATGAACTAATTTTAAAGCAACCAAAAGTTAAATAGAAATTTTAAAAAAAGAAGAAGAAAAAAAAGTATATTATGTTGCAATGCTAACTGAATAAAATTATTATCAAAATTTAAGTTTGAATCTTATTCTAATAGATATTAATAACAAAAAGTTTGGGATCTTTTAATTGAGTAGATTTAAATTTTTATGTAACAATCAGCTTATCTTAATAATAAAAATAATAAATAATAAAAATAATAGTGTAACAATCTAAAACTTTAAAAAAAATTTACATTGCAACAAAACAAGTTATAAATAGTTACCAAATATTTAACTTTCTTGTTAGAAGCAAATCATGCATTCTTATTTAGTACTCAGGGAGAAAAGTTTGAAATATTTTTGAAAAAACTTGGAATTTTATCATGTAACTTCTTTCTATAAATTTACAGTTACTTATTACACACTGAAATATTATACAAATTTATTTAATTCTTCAAGATTTTTAGAAATAGTTTTCATTATGGATTATAATTTCAAAAAAAATTTGCTACTTTTTTCTTAGGGTTTTACTTCATTCCTATAAGCAGATATGTTACCAGTAGAACTGAATTTCTTGAATTCTGTTGATTTTGAAAGTCAGTGTGAGTCTTCTACATAGGTACCTTAGAACTGCCCCCCCCCCCAAAAAGCACTATCTCTTCCATGTGCAGCATTTCCCTTGTCCACACTCTATTCTTTTCTTTTAGAATGCTTCATTTTCCTCATAGAGTATCAGTCTAGGCGAAAGGCAGAATATTATTAATGAAAAGGCATTATAATGAAAGGCTTTCCCTAGCCTATAGCTCTCTCACATACATCCCTTCCTGTCTCTCTATGAAGCTTTGCCCTCGATGTACGGTCTAATTCTAGGTGATAAAAGAAAGATTTTTTGTTTTAAAAAATTTTCCTATCAACTATAGTGATACTGAAAAATTAAGGACTTTTAAAAACCTTGCACCAAAATTAAGTACTTTTAAGGGCCCTTATTTCCCAAAATAAAAGTTAAGCAGTTTTTAAGAACTTTTAAGGACCGTGGGAACCCTGAATTGTGCTGGATGGCGGATGATCTAGTACAGTACAGAACCCGTTATCCGGAAATCAGAAAACCGGAAAACCAAAAAACCGGAACGAAATTCGATAAATTTTCCCGCCATTTTTGAAAAAAAAAATTTTTTCCTCAAAAGACTTTAGGATTTTTCTTTCTTTTTTGAAAGATGTTTACCTTACCATCGTTTTGGAAATAATCATTAGTGTATTATTTCATCGTTTTTTCTTCTTTTTAAGATTATTTCCAAAAATTTTTTTTTTTTTTAGTTGGGTTTAACAATAAAAAAAACGGCTTTTTGTAGCGATTCAGAAAACCGGAAAAATCAGTTATCCGGAATAGCGATGGTCCCGATCGTTCCGGATAATCGGTTCCCTACTGTACTTCATTTATAACAGTAGGCTACCAAGATTGTTCTTCCTCAACACGCCTCAAACACTTGTTCTTCCTTCATTTAAAAGCCTACACAATTTACACACATTTCCATCATTCATTACACCTTCACCATAAACTTTAACAAACTGCTGATGAATTTCAGTCAAACAAACTTTTTTTTGCATTTAAAAACCTAACAACTGGACGCACTTCACAGTCAGCAGGATTACTGATTGACATGGTGACAAACGAAGCAGTATAATCAATACCTGCAGATACATGAAATGTAATGGCGGTGTAGTGAGAGACTTGCCAAAAGTTACTGACCTAGAACAGGATGCATGGACACTTTGCATAATCAGATCTTACTTTAGAAATGACCCTCATATTATTAATTTGAACTTAATTTATTTTTATTTTACAATAAAAAAAATTTAATAACTGTAAATATAAAAAAGTTATTGTCACAATAATAATTTTAACTTCAAATAACAAATTAAAATCTTACCGATTGGTGGCATTCTATTGTCATGAGGTATTGAAGATGCACCAATTTGAGATAATGGAGTACTTCCATGAACTATGTGAGCATTTGAGTTCGGACTAACCTACATAATAAAAATTAAGTGTTTTTTTTTTTAAAAAATGTACATCCCACTTTCAACAAAAAAGAAAAGCAAAGAAAAGGAAATAATAGGAAAGTTAATGACAAATGAAATGCAAACTACTATGAAACACTACTGTATCAATATGACTTGCTTCAGTTTCTTGAAATTTAATAGTTTTAGAATATTTATTGGAATTAGTAATACGTATAAATATTTCACTTTGTGCGACATTGCGGCAAAGAAAGTTCTCACTTCCTTTTTGGGTTAGCAATATAGAATTCAAATATCAAGTGTGTGGGCTATTATAAGCACGAAAACATAACTGTACCTGTTTACAAAATTCTGAATGAAAATTATTTTCTCCTGTGGACAACAAAAAGCTGAAACAAACTGAGTTATAACTTAGGAAGAATTAAAAGGTTAAAAGCAAATAGTTCATTTTTACAAACGAAGTGTTCTGTATTATGTTTCAAATAAACTTAAGCAGGTTCAATAATAATTTAATTCATTGTTATTTTTATTCATTGAAAAATGAGGATTAGTAATGTTGTTACACTTTTTCAATATAATTTTTTAAAAAAAGCGTGCTTGAAGAGTAGAAGAAAGATTGATGACAGTTCTGAAGAATGAAACATTGAATAAATGTGAAGACGTGCTATCATACATGATTTAACCATTGATGTTGAAGTACATGACATCGGTTCCATAACCAAAATATATAGTTTGTATGCTGTTTGCTTCTGGGCAAAGTAAAACAATTGTTCCGGGAAATACATTGAACGTGGCCATGGTGGATGTTTTTCTATAGCAGATGATTCATTTCAATTTAAAATTTTTACTGTAACTTATTATTGACTAAAAATTTAAATTTTTCTAGGAGGAATTCGTTATTAAGTTTTCAATGATTTAAATTTTTACGATTTTACACTAGAAAACATTTTAAATGGGTTTAACTTAGTAACAAGCAAAGTGAGCTTGTTTCGCAAAGCAAACCACATAAGATTGCATAGTAATCTTATTAGACATTGCACATTAATTACAAATGGTCATTTCATTAGTCAATACCCTTAATTACCATAAAAGCAAAACAATGATGGCTAAAATTTTGCTGCTAAAATGTTTCTTGCCATGTATGTGTATTCATAATATTAATAACAAAATTTAGGAGGGGGAGTTCTTGAATAGCTTGACTAAAAATGTTGCATTCTTCTTTAAAAGAGAAAATCCATGAAATAATGTCAATGTATGGTAATGTATCCCCCTAACAAATTATGATTTAGAATAACACCTATTACAGAAAAAAAAATACAATTTTATTTTGACAATTATTTTTTGTTAGAAAACAGGCCTTCTAGTGAGCCAAAGAAAAAAATCAAGACAAAACCAGGATATTTTTGGAAGAGTTTACAATTATGAGTACTTTTAGAAAGTGTAAGGAACAAATTAATAAAACTACTTAAGAATAATAAAAGTGACTTTGATCGCAAATCAATAAAAAATTAATACTCTAATACAGTTCCAGTATACGAATACTTCAATAAAGATCCAGTTTTAACAGTTTCCAGTATAATTTTATTAATGGAACATTTAACAACTCATAATAGCATGAGATAAATATATAGAAAATTTTTATAATACTGTTGCATTAAAAAAAACAGAATCAATTTGTTATTTTAATTAAATAAAACTATGGAACATTAACTAAGCATTACTCAAAAAATTTTAAAGTAGTTTATATGTCAATAGTTAATGTAGTTAGTAAGTTTTACTCAAAACCATAACACACTGAATAAGATGAACATTTTTGTGTGAAACTAATTCAGTGGCTGATCCCTCAATTTAAAATATTAATCTTGATTTGGTGGGATCCTTTTTATTTGAGGTGAAAGAGGGGAAACAATAATTGTGAGCAACTAAATTCCCCCCAACAAAATTTCCTGAAAGTAATAAATAAGCATTTGGCCCATGAATTCATTAGAATAAAAATTTGATAATGTAAAATTGTTATTTGAATTCTTCTTCTTTCATAAAATGACAGAATTCCCAAAAGTGAGAAACAATAAATATAATAGAGTAAAGCTACATGCTTGAACCATGTATATAATTAGTGGATTGGGTGGACATTAAGCTTGAACAATCAAAATTTGTTATTTGACTAGCATTATAAATTAAACTATAAAGATGTTGGATCAAAAATCCAAATGTTTTGATTCTTCATATTGATTCTAACTACATAAAAAAAAATCTCCAATTCTAATCAATTTCCATATTTCTTTTTGGTAAACATCAGCATAAAATTAATATGAGTCAAAAAGTGTTGTTTTCCTTTCAATTATTTTTCTAAATTAAAGGTATTTACCTGTAATGTTAATTCTAATTTAAAGGCATTTTCCACTCTGCTATTATTACATTTTTGATTTTGATTATTTTTTAAATTAAAGAGTTTAAACCTAAAAGACTAAAACTTATCTAAAAGTAACTTAACTTATCAATAGTTTTACAATTATTATTTTTAGAGCAAATTACGTTAATATACCATTATGAATTATGGTTAAAGCGATTCCTTAAATGATTACAAACTTGACAATCAGCATCAAGCACAATGAGATGCATGCACTAATTGCATTTAATATATCAGCCTAGTTGATAAGGGAAGATATTTAATTACAGTTGTCAACTCACTAAATTTGTTAGGACAATACACTTTTCCTTTTAAAAGTTATTTTTAAAAAAAATTATTGCAAAGCAAAATTATTTATTTACACTTAATACTGCCATATAATTAAAAAAAAACAACCTAAGAGCTTCACAAGAGATTTTGACAAAAGTGGCTGGACAACTATTTTCTTCCTACTGATAATGCTATGAATACTAAAATAGAATTTATAAAAATTTGTATTTAAAAACCAAATTTTTTTTTGAACACAAAATTATTTGCAATAAGAAGCTTATCATACAAAAATCCCTAACACATAAAAATTTCAGTTTTGAATTTTTTGTCGTCTACATTCATTTTTCTATTGCACAGCAGAATAGATCTTAATAGAATCATAATGGAAATATTTGAATGTGGGAAGTGGGGGCACAGGTGTAAGCAAACATAATTCCTTTTAGTACCTATAAGTGAAAAGTTTGAACTTTCGTAGGAAAAACTCTTTCATGCTACGAAATAATCAGGGTTGGTGAGCAATAGTGAACAGGGGGCATTCATCATCATCATATTTGGCTAGACAGCCCAGGGTGGGCCAGTGCCTTCCTTTGAATTCGAATCCACTTCTCTCTACTTTTGACACTTGTTCGCCAGTTTTTCTCCTTTAGAGTAAGGAAATCAGTCTCAACTAAATCCAGCCATCTCAGTCTGGGTCTACCTCTTTTCCTGTTCGTTAGGGGTTTATGTAACAGGATTTTTTTAAAATTTGAGTAATCATTCCTTCTGAAAATGTGAGCTGCCCAGTTCATTCGATGTATTTTAATGAATTTCACAATATCTGGCTCTCTGTAGATTTTATACAGTTCAGTATTATATCGTCTTCTCCAGGAATTATTTATTTTTATCCCACCAAGGAGCATCCAACAGGAGGCATTACCCCCCAGTATTATAAACCAGCAATTGTAATCGTTGAAAATGAGATGCTCTACACAGAGAGAGAAGATTCTAGAATATCAGGAGAAAAAGCTAAAACTCGGGACAAAATATTTTTTCTCAAGAAAATCAAGAATATCAAGACAACTGTGAACCCAGCATGAAACCAATCACATAAAAATTTATATTATTACGAATGAAATTTTGAATAAGCAATATTATATTTCACACAAGGACAACTGTTTTGAATGTTAGTATTAAACACATTAACCAAAGCTTTAAAAAAAATTAGTTACTTTATAACAACTTGTAATAAAATTTATTGATTGTGTATCATATTAATATATTGTGCATCTTATTTTTTTTTAATTGCAAATATCGATGCTTTTAGACCAATAAAACTACATCATATTTTTATGTAAAACACATTGACACTTGCAAGTAAAAATAATACTTCATAAATAAGTATTCACATTTGCAATAGCATATTTTTAAACAATTATATGTATTAAAACAACATAAAAAAAACTAGAAGGTACCTGAATTGGTTGGGCCATGATACCTTGAGGTGTCTGAACCATTTGATATAAACTACCACCAGATACAATCTGGTTTTGGATATTGTTGTTATTCACAGGCATTGGATTAGGAGATTGAATCACATAATTATTGATTGTTCCGTTACTTCCAGGAACCTTAAGAAATAAAATTTTAAAAAAATCAGTGTTAGTTTCAAAGTTTGTTGTATTTATTGCTTGAATCTTTAGTTAATAAATTTATTTTAGAATTAAAAGCTATTTAGCTTAATAAAAGAAAAAATTGCGATTGCTCTTTAAGCAGAAACGGAATTTAACTACCTACATCTTAACCTAAGACACTGAAAATGTTTGTAACCAATATTTGAATAGACTACTTTTCATTTTAATAAATTAGATCTTAATGTAATTAAATAACTAAGTTATGTATAATGTAATTAAATAACAGTTGAGAGGAAATTGCTAATTTATGTAAGAAAATTTACTTATTTATGTAAATATTAAGTAATGTAATTACTCAAATAAGAGTTCGAACAATTTTTTTTAAGAAAAAGTTGCATCTTACATTCAAATTTAGATATGTTTATTATAAATTTCAATTTTTTACCCAATATTAGTAACAATAACTCAAAAAATGACTCAATTTTTCCTCGATATGAATTTTTTCTCATGTGCGGTTTTCTCTGGATTAACTGGGACCAAATACCACTTCACCCTCAAAAAAAGCAAAATAACTTTTTTAAAAAAAGCACACTGAAAAAAATTCTTTTTATTGTATTGCAATTTATACTATCTAAATACCAACAGTAAAACTTTAGTTTTTTTTTCGTACTAATAAAATTTTAATGTCATAAATATTTATCAAAATCTTGAGCTCATTTAAAACGAGGCATTTTAAACTATCCTGGTTAATCAAGAGTCTACTATATTTTGAATATGAACTTCTGTTACAACAGAAACTGACAACGTAATTAGAAATTAACATATTCAATTTTTTAATTTTAAAAAAAAATTTATATCTTACTGGAAGAGGTTGTGAGCTGCTTCCTCCACTAGAAGGAGTACTGGAACCTGAACTTGGAATATTATTTCCTAATCCAGGATAATCTGGCCTTAGTAAATTCTCACTCTGCATCTTGTTTTTTAAACAAGCTATATATCGATTGCAAAAGTCTTTACAAAGCTCTTGGACCTTCTCCAGCTCTAATAAGTGTATCCTTAATACTTGGATAGCCTTCACCATCTAAAAATGAACATTTACTTTAAGCAACATTTCTGTTTAACAAAAATATAGCATGGTATTATCAGCATGAATAGCAAATACACTCTGAAAACTGTACGAATACAATTAAAGGTACAAACATATTGTATTATTTATTTACTTCACATAACAGTTACATTACTTATGTACCTCATAAAAAGGAAGACACTTCAGAGATCAAAGGTACAAAAACGTTTTTATCCGTTGAAAGATAGATAAATCATTTGCTGAGCTTTTGGAGTTATAAAACAGTGAGGCCCTTTCTTTCAGCTGTGCATGATGCAAAAGAATGCAAACGACGAGAATTTACATAGTTTTTGCATGCTTCAATTCTGTCATTCCCTTACATTTTCAGTACTTTTCATCGCAAGATGAATTAAGTCTTAAGACACTGAAGATATTAAGTCTTAAGACACTGAAGAACTACTGCTTGCAGTTAATATGGATTATGTGCAAAATAATTAAAGGGAAGTTGGCGGTGAGAAATCAACCAATGTGGTTTACGTCAATAATGAACTTCATAGAAGATATTAAAGTTATTTGTATCATCATAATTATAAAGATCTTTTGTTGTATAAAACGTTTTTTGAGAATATGATGGTATCTTATAACTGTTGTAAATTAACGCTTATTTATAATTGTTATGTTTTGTCCATCTCTAGATAATGCACTGTGATTATGAAAATGGTGCAAAATCTGCACACTTGTGAAGCACAAAGTTTATGCACTCCTAATGCCAACTTGTAAAGTAGGAATTTATGTATCTGTAATGCCAACTTGTGAATCATAAAGTTTAAATTTCCCTGATACCAGGTTGTCGAAAGGCAAAGTTTAAATATCCTTAATGATAACTTGTGAAGCGTAAAGCTTACCTATCCCTAATGCGAACTTGTGAAGAACAAAGTTTATGTATCCCAACTGTTTGTGTGTGTGTTATGTAAGGATACATAAAATTTATCTTCACAACTTATTGTCCGGAAGACATAACCTTTGTCCTTCAAAAGTTGACAGTTGGTATATCAATACATATTGATGTAAATGGGTCAGAAACATGAATACACAGTATCACTTAATACATGTATCATTAAAAGGTACAGATAGAAAATAAAAGTTATATATCTATTATTCCTTTGAAATATGTGTTTCAATAAGCGGCACACAAGTGTGAAATGAGAGTTATGTTGTACTTTTAAATTTTAAAGGTACAGGAATACATGAACTTAGTGCTTCACGAGTCGGCATCAGGGATAGATAACCTTTGTTCCTCAAAAGTTGACACTAGGGATACATAAACTTTATGCTTTACAAGTTGGTATATCAGTACATATTAATATAAATAGGTCAGAAACATGAATACATAGTATCACTTAATACATGTATCATTAAAAGGTACACAGATAAAAAATAGGTGTTACATATATACTATTCCTTAGAAAAATGTGCTGTTGTACTTTTAAATTTTAAAGGTACAGTGTATCTTTTTAATGTTTCATTTTTTACCTATGAAATCAAAAGTATTGTTTTCAGAGCGTATTATCTCAAAATGAGGTTTTCTTACTATATTGCAAGTAAAATTAAATTAAATAAATTTCCAATTATCCATAAGCAAGTTATCCATGCCTAATGTTTGGTTACAATACCTTCCAAAAATTAAAGAATTTATGCAGTAACTAAGCAGAAATTTTTTTTAGAGCGATAGCAAAGGTTATGAATTAACATTTTATTCTTGAAACATTAAAAAGAATTTTGAGTGATTTTGACCATCACTACAAAATAAATAATTTAAACATTTAACAAAAAAGGCTAAAAATTCAGATAGTAAAATCATAATAAGCTCGTAAAAAATTTTAAATGGTAGAAAGTATGGGTTATTTAAAAAATGGGTAAAAATAAAATATAAAAATAAGTAGAACACAATAATATATAGATACATACATTCATTCCATTTGAAATTAATTAAAATTAAAAAAAACTTGATACCATACCACAAATTTTTATGAAAAAAGTACGTAAGAAAAAAGAAGGAAAATAATTGCTTCAAAATTTTTGGGTCAGACCTACAAAACCACATAGTAATTTGAATAAATTTAACAGACTTGTATAACTGAAAGTAGTAGATTAATGTTCTTAACCTCTATAATCTTATTTATTTATAATTTTTTTATTTTATTTTCCTTTTGGTATCATTGAAAAGATAAGGATAAAAACTAAGTAAATAAAGTTATTGAAACACTAAAAATATACACAAAAAAAAAACTTTAAGAACCCGTAAGTCAATTTCTAGGGAAAAACTAGCAAATTTCAAGAATTATTCCTTGTAAGTAACAAACATAAAAACCATTAAAGATAAGCATTATAAAGCACAAAATGGAAGCTAAGTTTATTAAAGTATATTATTAGTATATTATTTTTCCTAGTTAAAATTTTACATAATTCAAACTTTCTTCAAGTTAAAACTAGGTTAAATTAAAAAGCTTGTACTGGGGGTCGGGTAAATACCCAATGGGTAGTGCTGCAGTTTTGTCGCGGAGCGAATTTCCGTGATAATGTCCTCTTTTTCTCTAAAATCCGCAGATTTCTCAATATGTTTTGATTTGAGCAAAAATTGCTTAATTTTTCTTTGCATTTTTAATATATTATTTTCATTTAACAGAAATTTTCACTTTTTTTAGGGTAATAGGCAGATAGGATTACCTTCCTGAAGTCAGTAAGAGTACAAAAGAAATTGGAATCACAAAAGAAGGAAACTGGTATAAATCAAATCTTTGACAGAAAAATTGTTACACAGGCTATTGCACTCAGTAATGAAATTTCTACTGCCTTTCTAGATATCCAAACAATTTTTCCTGGGCGGCTTCTTGTGATTTCTTAAATAGGGATCAGTTTCTTAGATGATAGGGAGATAAGGCTTTTGTAACTAGTAGTTTGAATGCAGAATGTTTTGAGTTTTCACAGCAATTACTTCTTACAAAGCAATGGTCAAGGAATTGCGTGTTGATGAAGGAAAAATTGATCAATCAAAGACTGAACACTATCCAAAGGCAATTCAATGTTTGTCGGTGCCTACAAACAGTGTGGATGCAGAAAGATCGAGTAGAAAGTATAAAAATGTATTAAGTGATGAAAGATGAAGCATAAATGAGAATAATCTGACAATGTACAATACTTTGTACCAAAATTCTGTTCATTTAAATAAAAATATCAATATTGCTTGAAATTAAAAGAAATACTTTTGTTGTGCATTTTTTAAGCTTTTTTTATTATTTGCGCAATTTCTGTCTTTTGCATAATTTATATAATAAATTTTTTTATGTTTAGAATCTGCGTAATTTTCAAAATTTCCAGCGAATTTTGGGTCTTTTTACCAGCAACAAACTTGCAGCCCTACCAATGGGTAGGGGTATTTATAATTCTTTTTCATTTCTAAAGCATGTAACAATTATTTTTCTTGAAATAATATAACATTTTTAGTTTCCAATAATAAATTCTAAAACTTATATATCAATTCCAAAAAAACATTTAAAAACTATAAATACCCAGTGGAGCTACATGGTTGCATTAAAAAAAGTAATGAAAAAAGGTTTGCAATTGAGCTTTCAAAAAAATTCATAAATAACCAGGTATTTAAAAATGTTTAACCCAAACTTATAAGAATTTTACATCTATAGTACTGCTTATAACTATTTGTATGCACAAGTACAAAATTAAAAACAACTACCATCATACATCAAAATTAATAAGAAAAAGAATATGGAATTTGAAAACACAAAATGAAAACAATATGTAAAATCGTTTCTTACTAAGCTATCAACATCAGGATCATCACTGAAAAAAGGCTTCCTGTCACGTTCTTGATGTTGTACAAAGGCTTGTATGTCCATATTAAAACTTTCTGATGAGGATACTTCAGCACTTTGCGTAGCCAATTCACACTTTTCAAACAGAAGAGCCAACAAAGGGAATAAAGGATGTCTAAATAAAATCAAGCAAAAGATTAGGATATTAAAAAAAAACACAATTCATAATGAAAAAAAAAAACTTGACATAATGAGTTTAGTTCTGCAGCACAATCTTCATAACTTCAATTTTATCTGTAACTTTAACACTGTCAGACAAAGACTATTATTGCAAAAATTATTGAAATTTAAAAAATGGAATAAGTTCTTATACAGCCTTTAAGTAATCAAGAGTTTTCAGAAATTTAAGATTTTTTTTAATAATAATTTTTCTTAACTTTTAAAAGTTTTTATATTTCAAAAGTTTGGTTAATTAAAGAACATTATCTGGAATTCTTGAAAGTCATCACTTTTCATTTGCTTATATATCTGTAGATTTTCAGACAAATTTTGTTAGATGTTCTGATTATCTACTGTGTTGGAGGATTTCTGCTTCCAGAGTTCTACCGTGAATTATATGGTACAATGCATACAGCCTGGAAACATTGAGCACATAAATATCTAGAATCCAACATATCCACTATCTATCTAGGTACAAAATTTACCTTTCCACACAATCCTCAGCAAAAATTCTAAAATGAAAATTGAAACAAAAACAAAACTCTTAATTCATCTTCGTAATTGAGAATTGAGTAAATTTTTATCCTTATTTAAATAATCTAAATGAAAATCATAACCTTTAAATATAATTATACTTTCACACTTTGTAGTTACATTTAGAAACAAAAGGAATTATGTATATTATTAAAATATACAGAAACATTGAATGCACAAGCTACAAAAACATAACCACACTATATATCAGTGATTCCCAAAAGGTGTCCCATGTAACCGTAGGGTTCTATTGAAAGGGTTAGAATATTTTTAACCAGCAATAATAATATTCAATCAATAATCCATAATTTATTCAATATTCTGCTAGTTTATATGAACTTTTTATGCTAAATGCAAATTTAAAAAATAGTGGTAAAATTTAAAATATATGTTGTTGTTGTTTTTTCAGTAACAATATAATGCATAAATTGTGAAAAGATTATACATTTATAAAAATTTCATAAGTGTTTCTTATTAAGCTTTTCAATTCTAAGTAAATAACTAAATTCCAGAATAAAGAATTATGTTTTAATGATAACTATGTATTTTCATCGTTTATAATAGTTCTTTTTTAAAAACCATAATTCAGGATGTTTTATTCATTTTCAGCAAATGCATAAACCAAGAAATAAATCATATTAAATATTTAATTATTTTTAAATTATTTAATATGTAGAATGATACTTTTTTTTCTGCTCAGTATAATCCCAGTTGCTGCTAATGAACTTAGGGTTACCGTTTAGGGTTCCGTAGCCGAAAAAATTGGGTGACGCTGTTTGATATTATTAAATGTGTTTAAAGAAAATTACAACTTTTAAATGCAGAGGTTAGTGTTTATTCGGTATTGAAAAATAAAATCGATTGCAAAATTGAGGGAAACAGACATATGAAACATTTTCTGTGATATCCATGAGTGAAAGAGAAAAATAGAAAAAATATAAATTACCAACAATTTAAAACAAGAAGAAAAAAAGCTTAACCTATAAAATAAGGTTTTGTTCCTCTACTATAATAGAATTTTTTTTTTTTTTTTTGTTTGTTCCCCGTAAAATTTGGTTGCATTTCTGTTGCATTCAGTCTTTTAACAATGTAGAAGATGCTTCAATAAATAGTACCAAAATAAAAATCACATCTCTGTTTAGATGATATTATTTTGCACTATTGGCGATCAAAATGGGCTACAGGTGGCGTAGAGCAGAACTCTCTACCTACGGCAACACTTCACATGCTTTCCCTATTAGCGTGTGGAAAGTCATAGAGGAAGGAAGTATGTTAGTTTAAAATCTGATCTAATGATTAAAATCTCTAAAATGATTAAAATCTTTAAAGTTGGAAAACTATATGGAACTGAAAACTACATTAAACATAGTTCTAAAGAAAAGTATCACGGAAATTTTAAAAAATATTTTTATCAAATAAAAAGGAAAAATATTAAGAAAAGGGAAAATATCGTAGTACATTCCTTTACAACTAAAAAGAGGAGGAGAGGGGAGGGACAAGGGCTAAAGGCATGAAACCGGTCTCTCCCCAGATGGCGTATTCGAGTGCTGCGATCGCCAATTAAGTTAAAACTACTTTATTACATTAAGATATTAAAAATCGACCATAAAAAGGAAATTTTCCCAAATTTAGATTTTCCAAACAAAATTCTTTGATCAAAATCAGATTTTTCGAAAAACAAGTATGATAATGATTAAAATAGAACAAAATATTGAGATTCATATATGGGGTTATCCAAATATTAAGTAAGAAACTAAAAGAATTGGGGTTTATAATTTTTATTTTTGCTGACAAATGGGAAGTATGAACTAACTGTTATAAAATTACAAGACTGTTATAAACTGTTATAAAATTACTCCAACTTTCAGGGGGAAAAAATTCTTGAAATTTTGCATAAATAATAATCTTTTTCAATATGAATTTACAGCATTGCATAATAATACATTATAAATTCATTTTACCAAATAATAACATTTGTTAAGGAAAAAACCACATTCAAAAATGATTCAAAAAGTGTTCTGATTTTTTTTTAGATTTGTAGATAAAATGGAATAAACAACAAAATTACAAAAAATAATGCTTACACAGTATTTGAACAACTATTATTTTAGAACTCTTAAGATAAAATAATGCATACTTATAAACAGCTCGTTTGTCAGCTTCAAATTGCGCTTGAGTTTGAGGATCATTTGGTGGTACATTCTGATTTTGAAGCACCATATTTTGACTGCCACTTGCAAGTGCAGCCTCTGATACATCCATACACTGGCCAATCATGGCTATTCCAGATTCACGAAAATCAGCAATGCTTGACGGAAGTCCAGTTGTAACTATTTTTCCATTCCCCGGAGAAGGTTCTTGCATACTTGGCAAAAACGAACTGAAAATAAATATTATTATTTGAATAAAGAAAAATAGGCAGAAAGATAATGAAAATATTTTAATGAAACTGATATCAAGTATAGTAAAAAGTCTAAACTGCACAGGAAAGAAATAAGAAGTTTTAAGGATATTAGAACACCCAAGTAATTAATTTTCATCATTTAATGCAAAATTGCTCACACTTGACAACCAGAGAAGTTCATTTCTTCGGTTTCTTGTCTATAGTTATCTTGCCTTAATTATTTAAAGAAAAAAAAGGTTTAAGCCTGTCAGCTTAAATATAGTAAGCAAATAAATTTTTAAGAATCAGCTTTTAATAAAGACAGTATGAATATTTTGACATGCAAATTTACACAAAATTTAATGTCAAAATCTGAAGTTTGAAAGAAATTGACAAAATACTAATCATGACATAAAAATTTTTTCAAAAATATTTGTTCAGAATTTTTTACACCATTCAGTTTTTACCAATTTGAGTAAAAGTAAACTTTAAAAAGAAAATGAAAAACAAACATTACAGAATAAATTACTAATTCAAAATTACTTATCGTGTATCTTTATTGCTTTGCATAATTTATAAAAATTATACATAGAAAAAAAAAATTCTAAACGTTACGAAGCACTATTTCTCCTAATTTTATAAAACTAGTCCTTTACTTCCCACCCTTTTTAATGATATTTTGGTGTCAAATGATGCTATCATCAAGAGCAGAATTAAGAGGAGGGTTAGTGGGGCTATTACCCCAATCATCTAAATATTTTAAGAATCCGAAAAGTTTGAGTAGTTTAAGTAATTCTTATAGTTTTTCTTTTATATATATCTAATTTAAGTTCTGTCATGTTCAATTTAAATTGTCTGCAATGATGATGTATTATGTAAATTTTCCCAGTTTTTCATTTCTCTAATTATATGGATTATCATCTAATTCCAAATAACTACTTGTACTATATAATTACTATAATTCCTATATATTTTACCTAGATTATTTTAGATAATTACTAGTAGTGCAAATTCCATGGCTGATGCTCAGAGTTTGATGAATTATTATAGTCTGTTTATTGTTAGACGAATTTTTAAAATAATAAAACTTTAAGTAAACTGATTTGATCAATGACTATAAAATCAAAAACATGAAAGTTCTGCAGTTTAGCATTTGGAAGATGTTATGAAAAATGCAAACATTTTACATGATATTGTTAATTTATTCAATCAAAAATAATGTTGAACAACACATTTAAATTAAAATGATAATCATTTTTATTGCTCTGTTTTTTTTTACTCTGTATTATGTAAGCATCATATTTATATATTTTAGACAATAACAAAAACGCATAAAATAAGCCGATTCTATTCTAATTTTCATTCAAAATTTAAAAAAATATGATCATGTATGAAATCAAAAACTTTAGACTTATGATAAAATTTCCCCCCTCTGACTTATAAACTTCCTTAACTTAATCATATCATTGAACAAATGTACGGCTCGATGGAATTTTAAAACCTAATATTGTAGAACTCTCGTGCATGAAATTGAGGGAACCTAATCTAAAGCCTCAAAACTTAGAAGTTTGCAATGATAGTCCTACTGTCAATGTAAGTATCTTTCTTTTGACTGCAAGTTGTTAGTAATTAATTAGTTCATTAACTAACCAAACTAAAAAAATTTGACTCTCAAACTCAAAGGCTCATTTTAAATGAGTGACAGTGGGTTTTTCTTTTCTTTTTTGTTATACGACAGACCTATGCCTGATAACTGAAGAAATTTTAATGATATCCATATATAATGATTACATTCTTAGAAATTTGATGACGAAAAGCAGCAAAATCTACTAAGCAATGATTATGCATGTTGGCGGACACTGTATACAGAAGGGTCAGTCGAAAAAAAATAAGTATGATAGAGACTTCAAATTGAATATGTCAACACGAAACTGGAGATTGATATATATTTAGCAACACTAATGCCTAAAGCAGTTAGGCCCTATTACTCCAAACATTCATACTTTAAATGTGGAGCAGATATATATATAAAAAAGGAGTGCTAACTGTACTGTAAGCTAAAGAATCAAACACTATCAAAAATCTTGGTAGATGGAGGTAGAAATCAACATGCAACTGCCTCACCCAGTGGAGTAGGTCGTTTTGTTTGAACAAAACTAGTTATAAATTACACAGTGAAAATTCCGAAAAAATTTATAAACTTCTGCTTTTTCTAAATAGTTGTGGGAGCAAAAAAATTATAATATGGATTAGAACTTGATTTATTTCAATTATTCAAACAATGAAACTCAAAAACTAAAAAGTGTTTTAGTTTTTGTGTTTCAAACATGTTTATAACGTAAGTTTTTGACAAAGTGAAAAAATTTATAAAAATGCTAAATTTTTTTTGGCTTAATTATAGAGATATTAGAGATTTAGTTTAATTATAGAGATATTTAGTTTAACTATCAAGATATTACAGAGATATAATTATGGAGAAATTTTTTTAGCAGGAACAGACAGATTTTAACAAATTTTTTAATTTTTTTTGTTACAATTTCAATGCAATACTTTTCAGCAGCTAAAATATTATTTTCTGACTCGTTCTGATGCACAGATCTTACTTAACACTATAGATATAATTCAGTAATACAGTTGAAAGTCTTGTATCCAGAATTATCTGGTTCATAATATAAATTTTTTAAGATTTTGTTTAAGAAAACAGGCATCATAACATGCAATATTCTATTAAAAAAAATAACAAATTGATGATTAATTAAGTCAATTTTATACAACAACGTTTTCTATGGGTTAAAGAAAATAATTAAAAGTGAACAGACGATAATATGAACATTCTCTTTCATGAATAAAGACATGTTTTCCTCTTCTTTTTTTTCTTCTATTTGATGTATAAAAAACTAGGTAGAGAGCTAATCAAACTAAAATACCACTAAAAAAAATTATATTTAACTAAGAAAAATATAAAACAAGGAACAGAATTAAGTAGATTTTGTTAATAAAAACAATCTAGTGGGAAACAAAGCTTGTCTGCTATTGTTCTTATCAAACACTATTAATATTCAGTTTCCTTAAACCACTGGTGGTTAAGGAAATGGGCAAAATTGGGAGTACGTTTCTCCCTTATACACTATTCCCCTATCCTTTAACATGGAAAAACCAGTTTTACTATGCAGAGAAGACTGCAGGTTAAAATGCGATCTTTTACGTGCGACTGCAGGTTAAATGCAACTTTTTACGCCAGATTTATTAATTTAGTTTCCGGAAAACTAAATTCTTATAAAATACGTATTTTTTTTCTATCATATTGTGTACCATTAGCCACTTACACATCAAGGCTATTTATTCGTATAGGTGGGTACGTGGATTTCATGACGCCAACGAAAGTGGCTTTTCCACATCAAGTAAATTACACTGAGTAAAATTAAAATCGCTTGTGATAAATTATGTAGCTTCTATAACATTTTGAAGTAAATAGAGTTAACCCCTAAGAATGACCAACCTCCATTAAGTACTGTTTGGAGCAGAGAGTGGTTGCTCCCAAGAAGTTTAATATATGGGGGGGGGAGAACTTTGCTTAAAGGTTCCGAAAAGTTGAACTAAGTATTAAATCATCCAACAGTAATAAAATATAATTTATTAATATTCGGAAACAAGAAAAAGCGAAAAGATGAAGCTTCGATTCTTTTACGTTTTGTTTAATTTCAAAAAAAAAACATTTCATAGATAAGGAACACTCCCATTTTCATTACTACAAAAAAGGAGACTAAAAGAATTAGATTAGAATATATTTTAAGATTTTATTTATTTATTTAATTAATAAAATCTTAAAATATCTTTATCATCCTTACAGTCAAACAATGGTTTTTTATGTTAATTATAATTCAGAAACATAGTCAATAATTACTCTTAATAGTCAAAAATTGATATTGCTTAGAAAAATTAGGGGAATAAAAATTAAATAAAACCAACAAATTAAAATAATAAATTTTTCAATATTTTTTCCCTTCAAAAAAAAAAAAATTAAAAAAAGGCAAATATATAATGAAAGAAAGTGAAACAATATATAGATATATATATTAATATTCAAATTTCTCCATAATACCTAAGAAATTAGATAGATAAAATAATTTTTAATAATTGATCATTAGAAAAATTTTCATAAGTGCTCCCTCTCAAATTGTTTACATTTAATAGAAGATACTTAGGATACAGCGATACATGCTTTATAAAATTCACAATTTAATATTAAATTGTAATATTACAACTTTGCTTTTAACAAACATTTAAATAAAATTGGCCGTGAAAGTCAATTTATCCTATTGTAAACTTAGCTTACCTTTCATATTTCAAAAAGTTCCCGTATCTCAATTTCACACCATAAAACTAAAAAATGACAGTTTTCGAAGTTTCAACATAGAAATATTTAATTTTTGAGATAGATTGCAATTTTTAATACGTGTTTAATTAAAATCTCATTTTTTTGCTATGTTTACCACAACAAAAACAATAAAACTAACAAAGACATCAATTGTTTTGGAGTTTATTCTATATTCCTCTTTGTACTCCAAAGAAAGACAGCTACAAATATCTGTTATTATCGATTATTACCGGTGACTAATTTTTCAGGCTTGGTAAAAAAGTCTCGGAATCTATAAAACATCTTTTCAAATAAACATTACATTAAAATAAATAACTAATACTTTTCGTCAATAACAAGATACACAGAGAACGGATAGTTTTAGCAACTTGAGTGGCAGCTTACCTAAGTGTCAGTCTTCGTCAAAAATGGCGGCGTCAATTATCGCTGACTATGGCCCACCCTAGAATTGACGCGTCTGACGTCATCCGAGCTCCGTCGGGGATTTTTCATGTTTATCAATTCATATTTAAAAATGATTTTAAAAACTTAAAAACAAAGCGTGTTTTTTATGCATAATGCTGTAAACGATTGATCTCGATTAAATTTAGTTAAAATATGTAGCTGCTGCAAATAAAAGAATCGAAAACAAAGGCTTTGGTTCACTGGGAACTGAGATACTGAATCACCCCATACGGAGCTCCTACACATCCTTGGGTCGTCCTCCAGCGGCACTCAGCTTTGCTGACACCGAGCAGCGTGAATAGAGTGGTCGCTTGTATGCGACAGATGCCCCTCCCAGTCGCACACTTCGTTAATTGCGCGGGATACAAATCCCCTGTGGGTAAGATTTCGCTTTGCGGCCGGCTCGCCGAAGCCAATTTTACGCAAAAATTCGGACTTCGAGTTAGTTGGCGAAAGCGGTGGGCGTCTCTAATTTAACGCCAAAGTAGTGGTGGGATGGCATGAAAATCCGCGATGACAAGAATAAATCTACTGCTACGTCCAACGGGTGTACAAAGGGAGGGCTTTCTCCGCAAGTAGAGAAAGAAGGAACTTCTCTTGTGCATTCGGACGCCGTCTATCAAAGAAGAAAAATGTTCTTGGATAAGAATAAAAACAAAACTCCAACCTCAGTTTTCATTTTTCTCTCACGCACTACAGTGAAAGCAACTTTCATCACTAGTAACTTTCGTTTCTGTTGGCGACGCGTCTGCAAACGGTAAATGAGAGAAAAATCGAATTTTTCGAGTGTTGAAGGAAATTCGCTCCGTTGATATGATTTTTTTTTCTTCTGCATAGCTAAAAAATATTTTTATTTTTTAATATCATTTTTTTAGTTTGTTCGTATAGTTTACATAAAATATGAAAAATCGAATTTTTAAATATTGAGAGAAATTTGTATAATTGATTCAATGTTTTTCTTTTCGTCTGCATAACCAAAAAAATCCGCTTTCTTTTAATAATTCTTATAAAAGTGTGATTAATGGTGTAATATTATTTAATAGACATCAACTTAAATAATGTTTTTGTATGAAAAAATATGAATTTCTTAAACCCCATTTAATTTAAACTTTTCATCTCCAGCAAAAAAATGCTGATGGTTAAAGAAACAAACTTTACTGTTTAAATAAAGTTTGTTTCTTTAACCATCAGCATTTTTTTATTAATTTATTTTTTTAAATCATTTAATTCTCTTCTCTATTTTTGCAGCTCAAAATTATGTTAAAAAAAAATACTAAAATTTTTGCTGGTACTTTTTATTTAATTTTTTAACTTCTTAATCTTCGGAAATAGTCAGAATTGATAACATTTAAAATATTATTCAATATTTTTCATCCTGCCTTTAAAAAAATTATTTGACTTTCATTGTTGCATTTCGAATCTTCTGAATCGGTATTTATGAAATAAAACTTCGATAAAAATCTTGTTTATGATGTTTGATTATGAAAAAATTCATAATCAATAAAATTTCGCAGGTTCGAAAATTGTGTCTTGATGGGGGAAATAAAAACTATTTTAACAATTTCAAAATATTGCTTTAAGGCTTGAAAAAATATAAGTCAAAATACATAAGAGATTTTCCGATTTAAAATTTCAAATTACTATTCGTTATTGACGAAAATTAATAATGTTGGTATAAAGTATTTCAAGAAAAAAGAAGTCAAAATAAAAAAAATCTTGAGCAAGTAATTTTCAAAATTAAAAAAATTAATTTCTTTAATATTATCTTTTTCCAAGAATTCTGTTAACTTTCTCCTTTTCTTTCTTTTCTTTTTTTTTTTTTTTTTTTTTTTTTTTTTTTTTTTTTTTTTTTTTTTTTTTNAAGAAAAAGTTTTATAAATCCTCTTCTTTCCATTTTTCTCCACCCCCTTTATTTAAGATTATGAAATTTATTTAGACGTTTTCATTTTTACGTCTTATCATTTGAACAAAGAGCAACTTTTCTTTCTTTTTTAATTAATTGAGACGTTAGTTGGGGTTCGTTCAAAATATCGCTATTTTATAATTACAAAGAATTATATAATTACATCGTATTAATTGAATTAAGATTAAAATTATTTATTTTTCAACCGAAAAAATATTACTTGTTTAGTTTCTTTGCACTACGAACATTAATACAAACCAGGAAATATTTGTTAAGTTCTTTAATAACAAATTGTTGCTTATACAAAGAAAGATTGTCAATTAGAAGAAAAAAAAGAAGTTATTTATTTATTTAAAAAACTTTGCCTTATAAAAAAAAAAAATGGTTACGTTTGAGAAATGTTAATTATTATATACAAATAAATATAGCCCGCTTGTGCTCTTTTATTTCTGTAGATAAAAAGAGTAATAATAGAAGGCAAATATTAAAAGAATGGATGAGCATTTTACTCATTTCATATTATAAAACAATAATTTTCATTAATAATATAATTTTTTAACTAATTGTAAGTGCAATAAAAAATTATTTATCACCAGAAAACTTAATATTAAAAAAACCTATAATAGTATGATATTTTTTAGAAAAAATGATGGATGATTTTTTTTAATGATAAAATTTTGAATATGTTTTACAAAGAATTGTTTTTTAAAGTACCTAATAATTTTGGAACGTACTTCTTTTTTATCCCAATGGTTGGTTACGGAGTTACGGGAAATAAAATTATAAATAATTTGGAAGAATTTTTTAAATCTTTAATTTTCAGGAATTGATTAATTTAAGGTGTTAACCTATGAAATTATAGTGAAATAATTTAGCGTAATATAAGAATTTGTATACTTGTGCTTAAAATATGTTAGGACATATATTTTGCAGTTATCAGATAGTTTTATTATTATTACTATTACTAGTATTATTTGTTACATAATTGAATGAAAGAAAACATTTAACTAAAGAATTACTTCAAGAAAACTAGCAACAAATACAAAAACAAAAGTAATATTTGATTACCTTGATTTTCATCGAATCTAGACTGTGTCTTATTAATTTTATATTTTCTAAATGGCGACTATTTGGAGAATGAAATAATTTGTTTAAAAAAATTATAATTATTACCTATGAGATACAGAAGGTTTATATTTTTTACTTCATCTTTTAAAAATACATTATGAGGTTAATTGTTAAGGAATACTAAGATCTGTATCAGAAAATAAGAAATTTAATGAGTTAAGTGAAAAGAAATTTGCAATGTTTACGACAATTATGATATTGTAATTTATTACATTTGATTTAAACTTGCCAAGTTTTTTCTTCCTCAAAAACTTCTGATTTTAAGGTTACAAATTTTAATCATCAGATATTTTTATTCTTAAACAATATTAAAAACCATTCAGAAGATTTTTTCCTTGCGACTAATTTTGTTCATGTACAATACCAAAATAAGAAAGCAAAACATCAACAACTCTTAACTTAAAATCAAATATCTATGATTATTAATGCTCATGACAATTTTTTTAAATTTTAAGTTGCAAAATTTATAACAACAAAAATTTAAACTTTACTATAAAAACTTCAGAGGAGGCCATACCGCGGAAGAAAATTTTCATTACAAATTCTCTTTCCCCTTCATTATACTAATTTAAAAGAAAGAAAAAGTAAGTTCAGTCAAACCTAGAGTTTGTGATGAAGTTTAAATTGCTAAAAATAATACTTCAAAATATTAAAATGTAAACAAATTATTAGAAGAGTTATTATTATTAGAAGAGCTAGGATTACCATTAGGTAATCCTAAGTTATCATCTCATAATTTATTTCCATTCATATATTTTAAAATTTTCTTTTCAGTATTTAAAACTTCATGGCTTACTCTAGGTTTGTCTGAACTCATTTTTTCTACGATTTAAATTTTAAATTAGAAATTAATTAGAGTAAGATAATTTGCAACGAAAATTTTCTTCCGTGGTATGGCGTCTTCTTAATCTGATTTCTCTAATTATCTAACATTATTTATACTTTTTTTAATTATTAACTTAAACTTTTGAGCAGTCAAAATATGTATGTATTCTTTTAATAAACCAAGTCCAGTTCTGTTTTCAACATTTTTTTTTCAGATTGGTAACCATAAATCTTAATGCTCATATCAATCTGATTAAAAGTGTTGATTGATGGAGTCATAAAAATTTAATAAATTTTTTGAATCTGAAAATTTATCCAAATTTTATCAGCAAAGTAATATTTTTTTAAATTATTTGGTGTTTTTCATACGTGTAACTATTTTTGGTAGTTTCATTATCTGCATAAAATAATTTTTTATTTAAATTATTCGAGCAAAATAAATGGAAAAAAGAAGAAAAAAATTTCATTGTTTTCTATGTGACTTTGCTTCAGCTTGAAGTTTGTTTAAAACAAAAAATACAGAAGACCAGTAAATAAAAAGAGAGAGCCTCGTAGTAACTTTTGATCTAGTGATTTCACACAAAATTTCAATTCAATATTTGGAGCTTCAAACTTAAAGATTTAAATATTTCTAATTAATTTGTGCTGTGATATTTAAAGTAATGAATAAGACACAAAAAACATATTTTCTCAGAATAGAACATTTCTTTGACAGATTAAATTATGAGGGATAGCTGCAATCTGAAAAAATTTGTATTGAAGTTAAAATTCTTTACAGTTAATTTTACTTTTATTTTGTTATATCTCAGAAATATTTTTAAAAAATTACAAATAGTTAAAACCTGATTTAATAAAAAAATTATTTCTTTTCTCACCATTTACTTTATTATTGTTTCAAAAATGTGTAAAATTAAACACAAATATTCATATCATTTAATATTAATGATTTTATATGAAAAATTCAATAAATTCATACAAAATGGCCCACATAGTTTCTGTAAAACGTAATTTTAAAAAAGTCATAATTTTAAATTTAATTTTTCTCAAAACCATTTCAAATGATTTTTGTGCTCATTTACTAAAAATTAACTTTTTTATTTAAAAAATTCTAAAATAAAAATTTTTATCTAAAAATTAACTCTGTAAGAAAGGATCAAGAAATATTAATGAAAAATAAATAGGAAAATTTTAAAAAGAAAGAAAAGCTATTTTTGATCAAAAGAAAGCAGTAAAAGTAAACGAAATGTTTTTTCCAACTAAAACAAAAGGACAAATAGTGAAATGATTTTAGATTAATGAGTCTATTTTATTGGGTTAGGCTAGAAAAAATAATTTAATTCAAAACTTGTAAAAGCAGAACCGTGAAAAAGACCATTCGAACCATATAAATAAATCGACTCAAGAGTTATGCATAGTGTTGTTGTTGACGTATGCCTGTTTAGGCAGAGAGGGTGCAATTGTTCTTGTTTTCTAAAAAATTAATATGCCAGATCATACAGCAATCTCTTTGGTACTACTAAAAATCAAAAAAAATATTAAAAAAATTTTAATTACAGAAATTACTAAAATAAAATAGACATATAATATATTTTATTCTTACAAATTTTGGATACAATTAACTTACAAGATATATAACAAAATTTTGAATAAAGCACACATATCAAGTTCCAGAATACTATTGAACATAATTAGATGTTGCAAACATAATCTCATTCCTTAGTGACTTCAGACAAAGAAAGATCAATTGCTTCTTTGTGCTTTTCAATTAAATGTAACATCTGAAAGGTTAATAACCATAAAATATTAAATATGAGTTCATATAAAAGGAATATTTCAGTTTTAATAGTAAAACTTAAATCACAAAAAAAACTTCATTTGGAGTGGAAAGAAAGTCTTTAAAAGGCAGCTGAAAGGGAGATTAAAGGAGAATAAAAAACTAAAAGTTCAAATTTAGGAGTCAAATAAAAAAGAGAAACTAAGACATTAAAAGAACTTGGTACACAATCATTAAACATTTTTTAGGATACAAAAATTTTAAAAATAAATATTAAGAAAAAACTTTACACTTTATAAAGTTTCTTGATCAACTTTAAAGGGAAAAAATGTTGATTAGAATGGGTTTTTTTATTTATTTATTTAAAAAACTATACAAATAAGGGATAAAATTAGGTATACACATTAACATAGTTAAATTTAATGACAAAATATGCTTAAAGAAAGAGTCATTAAAATTCTAGAGATTGATTCATTATACAAAATTTTGTTTAAAAGTGTTTAATAAGGATTTGTATTAAGTTAACTGAAAGCAAAATATTTTTTTTTTAAACAGTGCACAAGAATAATGAGTTGATTTACCTGCTTTTGAATAGCTAATCCTCTTAAAACTTGTTGCCAAACTGTAACCATATCAATCTTCTTTTCATCTAGATCTATGAATTCAGCCACATCTTCAGGTTTCGTAGTTGGTAGTGGAACTTCTTCCCGTTGAAAATCTTCATGATAAACCTTAGGGGGAACTTTTGTCCTCTTCTTAGCTAAAAATAAAAAATTCATTTATAATAAACAGTAAAAACTGTAGAATTAACAGAAATATATCGAAGAAGTTCAAATAAATTTTAACAAAAGAATTTTGCAAAATGACTATGCTATAAAAAAATAAACCTTACAACTTACACAATTTCTCTGATATAGTGATAATTAGTTGCACAATTTTGCAGTAACTTGGTATTAGTTTTATTAACTGTTAGATTTAAATTAAACCAGAGATAATATTGTGGTTAAGATCAAAAATAAGTTATATCGAAACATTAATAAATCAAATTAAAGTATATTATCCAATGGTGTCAAATTCTTCTCTCATTGGTAGTCTTTTGAAAATACAAATTATACCAATTTTTAAATGAATTAAAGAGTTTTCTGTGAATATTTATTTTAAATCATCCACTTCAGTTACTCAGTTTTGTTATTTATTATGGTGAATTGTTTCATTATATCCTATAATGCATTATTTAATCACCAGTTATATTCATCTATTTGACATCAATTAACAAAACAATATTTTTTTATTGAATAAATTCTGATTTCTTAGAAATGCGATATCATTAGCATGTTTTTCTTGATGTGCAATCACATCTGCTTTTATTAAAAATAGTCTTTTAATAAAAAAATAAAATAAAAGGAGAAGATTGTTTATTAATTTAAGCATATAATTATTTGTTAATAAAAGCAGGCCTTTATTTTATAAAGATAGTAGTTTTTTTTTTTATTGATTCTGTTTTTCTGATTCCACTGCGTTTTTTTTTTTTTTTTAAGGATAAATTTAGTACTCAATAAATTAATTCTTTTCATTCATAAATTTTATCATTAATTTCTTTTTTAATTCCCTTCATCTTATAATATCCTGTCTCTTCAAGGTTTTAATACTTATGTTAGTGCCTTTTTTTAAATATCATTTCCGTTCCATAATTTTCAAGTTGTTTTTATTTAGATTAACAAGTTTTCTTTTCATCCTCCCCCCCCCCAGTATAATTAGGTATGAAATATATTGCGCTTTTTTATTATTAGTTTTGTTTTATATTAGTTAATTTGGGGATTTCAAGTATTATCAAAAAATAAATATCAAATTTTGTATTTTTTAAACTTGTTTTTCTTGTCTAAATTTGCAAATGTTTTTATCCTTTTAAATGTTATTTTTCAACCATTTTTTTTTAAAATTTAGGAGATCTTTTCGTTTTTTCCCCGTTTTTAAATATGTTTAACTTTTTCCTTGTAATTTGGGTTTGATAAAACATTGATTAACGGCACTTTTGGTCGATCTAGAAAACCGGAAAATTCAGACATCCGGGATAGCGATGGTCCCGAGCATCCTGGTTAATTGGTTCTCTACTGTATATATATACACATATAAAGTGTATTAGTAAGAAAATTTTACAAAGAGTAAGGTTCAAATATTTTGCCTATTAGGTATAACTTCAATATTTTTACACTATATATAATTACAACTATCAATTGTCATTTAAAATGCATTGTATTGATATGGTAAAAAGTAGGTAATAAATCTTGCTTTAACCAAGAACTTCAATGTGTTAATAATTAATATTTATCAACAAAATGTCATTATAGAAATCATTCATCAACAAATCTTTTTTTAACCTATTGTACAAGTGGAATTTTTATCAAGAAACTGCCTTAAAATGCTTTCAATAAATTGCATGCCAAATACAATAATTTTGTCACTTTAAAAAGCCGCACACTAATAAACAAAAGGTTATAATAAATTTTCAAAAGCATAACTTGTGTTTGAAATTCATAAATTACTGGAATTAAAATAAGTAGAATTAATAAATCACCTAAATAGTTTTGGTAAGCTTCTTCAGATAATGACTCTCTTTGTGTTTTCCTGGTTAACCTAGTAAGAGGCACTTTGTTCTTCAATACAGTTTGCTTTTTCTCCAGCCAGTCTTTAATTGTTAACAGATCTAAGTGTGAAAATTAATACCTATTAATGTACTACATACATAGAATAATATTTAAATTTATAATTAATAATTATTCACTAATTTAACTTATCTTTCATTGATTTTTCTTAGCCTAAAAACCGCAAGGGATCTTACATTTGAGTAGATTCTGAATTACTAAAACACCATTGTCGGGAGCAGGAGTGTATACCCTCTTCAATAATTAGAAATCACTTTAAGTCCTCCTCAATACCTCAGACAAACTAAGAAATTTTCCTGAGTCATCATCTATTTAAACTCGTTAAAAGTAAAATGAAAAAGAAATTCATCTTTTTGCAAATGTTATGAAAATTTAAAAAGTACTTTCTGTTACGTGTCAAATTCAGAAATCTAGAATGCTGTGTATTTCAATTCTGTAACCCTCAAAAATTAAACATCTGCAATGCACATGTAATAGAAAAAAGTGAAATCTGACTACAGCCTTCAGCATAGAAAATCAAACCCCTGAAGTCAGGGAAGGTAAAGACTCTACGCACCAAAAGAATTAAGCGGCCATACCCTTCTTAGATAATTGTTTTCATTAATTGTCTTTGCTGTTTGTCTTGAGTTTATATGTTTTTTTTTCTGCTGTAAAATCAAAACTTAAAAATTATTAAAATAAGTTATGATTTAATAGAAAACATTTGTATGTGTTCTTCCTACATCTTTAAAAACACCATAAAATGAAATATTTTTAAGCAAAAAATTTTATACAAACCTTGAAAATTGGAGAGAGAGAAATTGTTCTGTAAGTAATCCATGTTCTCTTCAGTTAAAATATAATTCTTAACATTGACAAAAGGATCTTCTACATTTTCAGATTCAGTAAAGATTTTAGAAGAGTCGCCTTCCATATTCTGTAGATGATGTTCTATAGCATTTATTTCTATAATAGGGACACATATTTTAAGAACAAGATAAAATTATAATTTTTAATCTTTAGGCAAAAAATTAATTTAAGACAGATTATTCTAGTTTTGATAATCCAGACACATAATTTCAAAGCTACTTCAGTTCATTATCAGAAATTTTACAAAATTAGAGAATCAAAAAATTATTTTCATTTTCAATTAGAGAATCCATAAGAGTAAAGTTAACTTCATTAAAACAAATATCTCTTATCAAAGTAAAAAAAAAACTGTTTTATATCAAATTAAAAGAAGATATATTCAGTGTTCAACAGTGCTACAGATTTTGTAGACGTCTTCCTCTCATTACTGTTTTCAGGAAACCTGATTTGTTGACGGAGAAAAAAGTATGAAGGAAATATATTCATTAGCTTTTGATCAGCTGGCTTAATGAGAGAAAACAGTATGATCTATAGCAGTGTTTCTTAACCTGTGGTTCATGGACCCCTTGGGGGTCCATGGGTCATATTTTGGGGGTCCGCCGACTGATTTTAAAATGTTTGCATCAATATTTAGCCANAATTTAATAGAGGAAAATTAAGAAAGTTATTCATTATTTTTTTAATAACGTGGTGTATGAATATTTTACTTTAGGAATGTGTAATTTTTGATAAGCATTTTCATTTTATTTACGAAAAAAGGAGAGTTCAGTTTTACTCTTCAATAACCAAAGTAAAAGATTGAAAAGTTTTAATTGGTGATTGCACATTTTCAAGAAAAACTATTGTACAAGTTTTACATTGAAATATTGTAAGGAAAATAAAAGTAGTTAATTGCAGCATAATGAAATAATTTAGAACTCAATATACCAAACCTCAAATCAGTACTCCATACAGAAAAATTCAATACTTTTATTAAATTATAGCAATTTTTTAAATTACTGTAATTTTCAAAAAAAAAAAACACGATATATTCAATAAAAAAAATTTTAAACAATTTATTTAAGTAAAATTTTCAATATTTATAAAAACAATTATTTTTGGGTTTAGTAAAGTATACAATATGCTACCCCTGTTTTCACAGCTGTACCTATTTTACAGTACTGACAAATTATACCTTTTCTAAGCTTTCCTTCTAACTTGTCGTGCTTTTTTTTCATCTCTTCCTTTTTACGATTCCACATATTTTTTAAAATATATCCTCGCTTTTCAGATCTTTGACTCAATTCATTCATCAGGGAAGACTTAATTTCTTCCAGTTTCTTTAGTTGCATTTCATTTTCGATCTGAAAATGCATATATACATTTACATAAAAAGTTTTTGGAAACTAAATAAAATAAAACAAAAACTTAATACTCAGTTATTAAATAAAATAACAAAATTAATTAACAACTTATAAATTTAACCATTCTTTCTATGATCTTGATAGCTTAATTGTAATTTCTAAAATTCAATTTCAATGCAAAGAAGTTTTAGATTCAAAAGCAAATCCACAAAACTAAGAAATAGCTAATAGTAATTAGTTTTTTGTTTATATTATCACTACAAAAATGTGTTAATCATAATGCGATAATTATTATTGATTTTACTCATTAATCAATGACATCATTGTGTTAAAATTTTCAGTTACAAGAATTTTATAGCATTAAATAAACTTAAAATCTATAAATTCCTAAAAAAAAGGATGATGCAACATATATAATTCGCTGATATACCCCTGTATATAAAAAGATTTCAAGGCAGTTTTGCTTTTAAATGTTATTTCTGGAAGTATATTGTCGCACATATTCTATAATAAACCTATCATCGAAAGATAGAAGTAAAATTACAAACAAAACTGAATCTAAATATCTGTTTTAAATACAAAACTTAAGTTAATAACTTATTACAGTCTGATGCAATAAGCATTCACAAGATAATGCCACTTAATTGGAAGCAGTTCTAAAAGCAAAGATTGCTAATGGTCATGCAGAAGAATCACATAACTAAATCTAGAACTAAACATTACAGCTTGAGGATTCACTAGAGACTTTATAAAACATTTTATAGAAAAAAAAACTTAATAATAAAATAAATAAAACAAAATTTTCATTTGTGTCTACACTGCAAAAAAGCTGCAAATTTTTGTTTATGATTTCAATAAGTGCTTAGGCAGTGATGTTATTACCAAAGTGCATTTTATGAAAATAGAAAATATCATACAGCAACTTTATAGTTCCAATTTGTTTTAATCTGATCTTTCAAAATTTCCTTTCTTTTTAAGAAAGCCTTTTCACTATCGTCTCCTTCTAAAGTTTGAGTTAATTTATTATTTTCCCGAGTCTGAATAATGAAATCAACTTCTAATTTTGTAGCTGGAAGACCATTACCTGAGGAGGAAAAGCTATATTAATACTTTTATATTTATTGGAATTTTAAGAGTATAAGGGATTTGATAATTCTTTATGCGAACATCACATCAATGTAATGAATGCTAGTAAAATAGAGAGCAAATTACATTAAATAAATTTTGATCAAATTATTGAATATCTTAAAATAAAGTGCAACCTAACTGTCCTGAGTGACTAATTTTAAATATGTTAATAAGAGCATATTGTAATTTAAGTATGATATTATATTAATTAGACAAAGACATATTTTCTATTTAAAAAAAATCGTTTTTAAAAAAATGGATTTCTAGCCCTCAAAATCTGAGGAGCAACTAAAAATAGGAAAATATAGTAAGAAAACCAGATGAAAGCTTGATAACCTTAATTTTGTTTTAACATTTTGGATTTTATGAGTTTTTAAAACTCTTATTTTTTTAATATGTTCAATAAATAACATATAAATTTGGTTTTATAAAAAATTATATAATTTAACAAAATGTAAAATTGCATCTCTTACAACTAAAGATTTTTTAACCATTATTAAATTAACAATGAAAAATAATAAATAACTATAAAAATTTATTTTCTTATACCATCATTTTTTGGCGAAAGACATTTATAGATAGATGCAAAAATTATCCAATTAGTTACAGAGATGCGGTAGAAAACACAAAAAATAAACATATTATAAGACTTACATTTTCGCCCAACCACTTTATTTATCCAGTATTAGAACTTAGAAGGATATAAAATAAGCTTAAAATTAATATCTAGTTTTAAACAGTTGTCTCAAATAAAATATTGACTTAAAATGGTGTTGAAAAGTATGAAAGAGGAGTATTCGTTACACCTAATATATAACTTAATTACGCATAAAAAAAGAGCTAATCTTTAAAAAAAAAAATTAACAAATACTAACTAAACATGCATTAATTTAGTAAATTAACTAATTAGAAAGCAATAAATAAACATTAAAAAAAGGAATGCAATGACAAATTTTTGTTAAAAAAATTTGTGCAAAATATANCAAAAAAAAATTCAAGGACTTTCAAGGACTCTCAAGGACCGTGGGAACCCTGATATAAGATACCGTGAGATATTTAGCTCAAATTTTCTTATCGGTATCTTAAATTTAGCTCAATATTTGAGCTAAATATAAGATACTGATAACATACCTAATATATAACTTAATTGCGCATAAAAAAAAATCTCATCTTGAAGAAGAAAAAAAAGAGACAATACTAACTAAATATTCATTAATTTATTAAATTAACTAATTAGCAAGCAATAAATAAACACTAAAAAAAAGGAATGCAATGAAAAAAAAATTTAAAAAATTTTGAGCGATGAGATATTTAGCTCAAATTTTCTTATCGGTATCTTATAATCTTATATTTAGCTCAATATTTGAGCTAAATATAAGATGCCGATAAGATACCTAATATATAACTTAATTGAGCATAAAAACAATCTCATCTTGAAAAGAAAAAAAAGAGACAATACTAACTAAAACTAAACATTCATTAATTTATTAAGTTAACTAATTAGCAAGCAATAAATAAACATTAAAAAAAAGGAATGCAATGACAAATTTTTTTTAAAAAAAATTGAGTTAAATATAAGATACCGTAAGAAAACTCCTTTAAAGAAAGTACTTCAGGTACTTTATTAACTTTAATTATCTTGTAAGGAGGGTCCCATGGATCAGTCTGAGCCTCACTCTCTCTGTAATCTGTTTGAGTTTCTTTGCTTTCAAATTTGGATGTTTTTTCAGCATATTCAATGTTCCCACAGGCTTCCCAGACATGCGTTTCATCTTCTGAATCAGTTATTACATCTCCAGGGTTAAATAATGTTTTAACCGGCCTATAATGAAAAGTGTATGCTAGTTATTAATTACTTGAAATTTGAAAAAACTAAAACTATAAATTCCATTATTGTGAACCTAGAGAGAAAGAAAATAACATTATGTAATTATAACACTATAACAAATAAGTGAGATAAAGTAGAATAGTATACTAAGCTTCTGGGTAGCTACTTATCAAAGCTCTAGACTGGGTTTTGAATACCACAATTAAAGCCGAAAAGAGAGGCATAAGATGGGGCTTCAATAGTTGCCTTAAGAATAAAAAGCTTGCTGACGAGGAGGATGTAGAGCAGAGATTGTGGCCTTTTGCACCCTGCAGGCATAAAGAGCTTCAAGACGAGAATATTAAACATAAAAGAGAGCAGCGGTTCCAAATTTTTTTTGGCTACAGAACCCTAAATTATTGTCTTTTGATTGATGTAACTCCAAACCCTTTTATAAAAAAAAATATTTGTATCAATTGTGTAGATATGAACCAAAGAAAAATACTAGTTATTTTATCTTGAAAATGCAATTAATAAATTTTTTTAAATCATTTTATCAATGTTAGTCTTAAAATTAGGTTACATGTCAAACAGTTTAATTCACAGGTCTGACTTAATTTAGTATAGCTCAGAATTTAAAAATAAATATACCTAATTTAAAACAACACCACAATGCACATACATAAAACATATTAAAAAAAAGCTTTAACAACAACCAAGCAGTGGCAAAAGAAAAACAAAACAGAAAATCTCAAAAGGGGGCAAATTCATAGGGTATATTTATAGTAACCATAAGACAAGTATTACATATGCTACCCTACAATAACGGAAGAAACACTTTCAACTTTTGACATTTTTTCCAAACTTCTCAAGCAATACTTCTAGAATAATTTTTAAGCTTTAGAGGTTTATAGGTCATGCAATTTTTCATATTAATCAATTTAATTTAAAGCTATAAGAAGTTTAAGGGACTGACAATAAATTCCAAACGAAAAAGAGTGCGTTTTGAACATCTTAAACCAGAAAATATAGCAACAAACTTGTATTGATTACTTTGATTATTATATGCAATGACTGCATAAAATTACATAAACTTAGATATATAGTAATTTTTGTAAAAAGCTTATTTTCTTACTATAACTGCAAACATTTGCAGTAAAATTAAACAAAATGTTTGAAAAATAACAAAAATATGATTTTAAAGTTTGAAAAAAATTTACAAGATGTGAGTAGTTTAAGTAGTCCTTTCACACTTTGTGTGTGTGCAGAAGATATTTAAAAAAATCTTTTTTATAATCTTGTTGTGAACTTTAAAAAAAAATCTTATTTAAATATCTGGAAAATTTAAAAAAATTTTCCCAAAATAATCTATGTAGCTTTTGTAAATTTTGAAAGGAAGCTTAGAATGGTAAAACGTTTTTCATAAAGGTGGTTTCAGGTTTTAAACAAGATTTATTAAAAATGACACCAGTATTATGGATCATTCCCTATTAATGCATGTTTTATTTTACACATTTTCTTTCTTTATACTATCACATTTTGTCGTCCAGACACTTATTTTATACCATGATTTGTTATATTAATTTTTGTTTCATAATACAAATGATATTTTCAGAAAACCCATTACTCAGAGTTTTTAAGCAAAAATGCACAAAAACTTCTTAGAAAATTGCTAGAAACTTTTATATTTTCAAGCTGTTCAAATCGAACTTTTTTCCTAACTTAAAGTACATTCACAACAAAAATATTTTTAAAAAAATTCTAAATGTTTTCTGGACATGCGTAGTAGGAAAAGATAACTTTACATGCTCATATCTAATGAAATAAAATTTTTAAAAAATTTTGGTTAATTTTATTGAATATTTTCACAGTTAGTAGTAAGAAAACGTAGGACCCAAAAAAAAGGTGTTTTTTTAAGAAAAATGTCCATATATCTATTAATATTTAAGATAGGTTTAGGAAATTCTATGCGATCACTGCATATAACAATACAAATTCCAGCTTATTGATATAGTTTCTAGTTTAGGGTGTTCAAAAACATTCTTTTTTGTGCATAATTTTTTGTCAGTTCCTAAAACCTCTAAAAGCTTTAAGCTTTATAGATAAGTATGAGAAATCACATGACCTAAACAACTCTTTAGTTATAAAACATTTTCCTAATTATTAAGAATTTCGAAAAAAAAGTCTAAAACTGAAAGTGTCTCTTCCATTATTGTATAGTGAATAAACATAAAAATTTTAATTTTTTGCAAGTACAAAAACTCTTTGGTGTTTTAGCAATGACAGTTGGTGCAAAGCCTACCCATACAAAAATATCCCCTATTATAGCTTGTCAGGGGTTGAGATACGAGTTTTACTTTTCGAGGTTGTCCCATTTTCAAATGCATTTATTAATTTCTCACTTCCAGCAGTCAGCAAGATGCCAAAATGTATCAGCAAAATGTATGTGTGTATTGATAAAGAAATCTTTCCTATAACTTATAACCAACAAAGAACAAATTTAAAATTTGTTATTCTCTCACCTATGACAGTATTTAAGCAGATTCGAAGAAATTTCATAACTCTCTCTTTTGCTTCCTAAATATGAAAAACTGAAGAAGAAAAAAAATTATAGAACAACAATTAATATTTAGACAACAGTTTATATGTTAAATCAAATAAGATAAGTTCAAAAATGAAAACTATTTTCCAGGTGACAACACAAAATTTTTCATGAACAACTTTTTAAAAGTAAAAAATCAAAAATATCAGAGCTTTTATTATCCTTATGACAAAGCAAGGGTTTAATTTAGTTAGTGCAATGCATTATTTTACATAAGTAAAAGAGAATATTAATATTAAAATAAAAAATACATATTTTAAACTTCTTTTTCCTTCATTACAGCCTATAAAAATAAAATTTCAACTTTTATTTTATAAAATATAGTGCAAAAAAATCTCATAGTTCGAAAAAAAAAACTTGTTTCTATCACTTGTGATTTAAATTCAATCATTAAATATAAAATTAAAATTTATTAGTTTAGCTGTCTAATTTTTTACATGTCAACTCATAAAAATAAATGTTAGTTTTTAATACATAAAAAATATAAATACAACAGCATAAAAATCTTTACTTAAAAAAAAGCAATCAAACCCAGAAATTTTTTCTTGCACGATATTGCTCATAGTTTGAAAATTATCAAATATAGAACTGAAAGCTTATTAGTTTAGTTTAATCATCTAATTTGTGTTAAGTCACCTTTAAAAAGAATAAAGGGTCAATTTTTAAAAACATAAAATATACATCTTTGTTACAATAAAAATATTACAAACCCTGAAATTTCATATTCTATGCTATTAATCATAGTTTGAATACAATAGATCAGTTCTCTGACTTAAAATTTTTGAGTTTGCTCCTAAGTGATTTGAGAATACCATTCAAAAACAGACAAATAAGTTGACTAATCAGTTTTAATCTTAAAAAAAGAGTTGAGATATTCTATCTTTCCCTTTTTGTTACAAATGAACAATTATGTATTGAATTATAATGTTTTAAAAACTGACTTTTCACTTTAATAAAAAATATTTTCTAACACTGCACTGACAGTATTTTTTGTTGAAACTTTTTCATTAAAATAAAAATTCATTGAAAAATGCATTTAGAAATTGAGAATATGATTGGTACATTTTAAATAGAACAATCAAACCAGATTCAGTAAATATGTTCCGTAAGTATCGAATAATTGTGAATAGTAATTTATTATTCTTTAAGATGTTAACTTCTTCCATTGTAGTTAGTTTTTTTGATAGAATTATTTAAAATATTGATGAAAGAATTATTATTAAAATAAGAATAATGATGTCACATGTAAATTATTAACTGGCTCAGTTGAAAAGGCGACAGTCATACAAATGTTTACTTTTCAAATATTGGAAGAATTTGGAATGAGCTCTAAAAGCTCCATGTTGTACACTAAACAAATTAATAAATATTGAATTAAAAACTTATTACCATATATCCGGGTGAATAAGTAGACTTTTCAATTCTCTAAAATTTCACAAAAATCAGGGGGTCTACTTCTACACTGGTAATAAAATCGGACATTCGTTGATTGTGAATTATCGATGCAGTATAAACAAAGAGATTCATAACTGAGTATCAATTTACTCCTTTCAAAAACTATATTCTATATGTTGACTGCAAGTAATTTTGTATTTTCTTTCATAATATGTTTCTCACATTTAAAGGGGTTTTTTTTCGAAATAATACTTTAAATTACGTTCAGGAAAAAAAATGAAGAAAAACAAACGTTATGATAATTTGTTCAAGAGTATTTAAAACATACAATAAAGCAACAACATCTGCTTCAAATAACACCCTGGATTCTATTCCATGCTTATCTGCAGAGTTCAACAAAAATCATCTTTACCCCATCCCCTTTTTGGAAGATTTTAAAATACCATTTGAATTACCATTTTGCTACGCGTCTAGTATTTTTTGACACGCGAATTATACAGGACCAGACTAAAATTGCCAGTTTTTGATGCGAAATATTCTTAACTTGGAACAATTTTGTAGACATCCCTTTACGGAAATTATCCCTTATTTTCTTCAAACTTTAGAAATTTACATACTAAGTTGTTGTTTTTTTTTCAATGATCGAATTATGCTCTCAACATACCAGTAATTTCGGTATTTCGTAATCAAAAATAGGGGGTCGACTTATACACCGGTGTATACGGTAGTTTAGTTGTGTAATTTGCCTCGTAAAGTGTCAAATTTTAATAGATATAAAACATAGATACAGTATAATATCTTTACTTAAAAAGAAATTAATCAAACCCAGAAATTTCTTCTTCCATGCTTTTACTCGTAGTTACAATAGAATCGGTCGTATTTCATTTCGAAGTTTCTGAAATACATCTTAAGTTATAAGTTCAGAATTACCAAAGACTATTAGTGAACTAAAGGCAAGAACTTTAATAAAAGGAAAAAATTAGTAAAGTCTAATTTGGAAGAATTCAATCAAATGTCTAATAATTTCATTAACATATTTTTAAAACAAAACAGAAAACTTCGGTTTAACCGGGGCAATGTTGCCACGCATTGTTTAAATAAAGCTTAAATTATTTCAGTAATTCTCACTGTATAAGAATTTAGAAATGCGAAAGAGAACCTGATTGGCGAATTTACCTTGACTGGTGTTGCTTCATGTTTTCCTTAGGCTGCGAGTGCGAGGTTTGGTTCAAGCGTCCTTAAACCGGAAGAAATTTAGAAAATTTCCGGTGTATCCCTCCGCTTATGTTATGACTACGAGGCGATGTGTGAAGAAGCCTAATATTCTATGCAGTTTTGTTATTGCAATTTGGGATATTGCATAAGAGCTTTCAGAAATGTATTGATTCTCAGAGGTCGTAAGGCCCAAAAAAATTTTGGAAAGTTAATATCTCATTGTGAATAATTCTTAAGGTTTACCAGGTTTCGTATTTCATCCCTTATTTGGCTATATTTGAATAAAATGTCGCCAAAAATATCTTTTTAAGTTAGCCTAATTAGAAAATATTCTAATGATTATAAATTATAATGCTGAAGTTTAAAGCGGTCCTAAAGTGGATTCTAGCCTCAAACTTGAAAACTAGATGGCGCTGAAAATCACACCCCGCCTCAGGCTAANGCTCGAATACGCCATCTGGAGAGAAGACCTATGCTTTTGGCCCTACTCCTTTTCTCCTCTTTTCAGTTGTATAGGAATGTTCTACGACATTTACCCCTTCTCAATATTTTTCGTAATTAATTGTCCCAAATATTTTTTAAAATTTTCAAAATGCTTTCTTTTAGAGCTATGTTCTATGTAGTTTTCAGTTCCGTATAGTGTCCTAACTTGAAAGTTTTTAATCTATTTGAAAATCAAGAGAGGAACTGAAATACATCCTTCCAATCCCATGCTAATGGTGAAAGCATGTGAAGTGTTGCCATAGGTAAAGAGTTCTGCTCTACGCCACCTATAGCCCATTTCGATACCTAAAATTGGCGTAATTAATTTGCTTTATATTAATAACCCCCTACAAATTAATTCTTCTCCCAAAAAAAATTTAAAAATATATATTTCTACTCTTAATGATGCTTCATCTTTGCAATGATGAATTAATTCATCATGCAATGATGCATTAATTCATCATTGCAAAGATGAATGCAATGATGAATTAATTCATTATTGCAAAGATGAAGTATTGCATGTTTACAGTTGCGTACAGTTTACAGTTGCGATGCGTACAGTTGCGGCATAATAAGCATAAAATTAACTTTTGATTGTCCAAACCGGGTCCTCGTATGCCAAATACTTCAAACTAAATGGCTAATAAAACCTGAAAATGGAAGGACAAAAAAATCAAAAATACTTCTACCCCCAAGTATCAAAAAAAAAAAAAAAACAAAAAACACAGCTTCGAACATCGTACGCAGCGAAATATTGTGCAACATAAAAATGAACTCTATTTTTAATACTGTTCGATATTTTAAAAAACGCAGTGGAATGTCGATCTATCTTACAGGATTTAGAAACGTTGTAGAATATCGATCGACATCGTCAACACGATATTCACAAAAAGAATGCTGGTTACCATCATCATTGTGTTATTTGTAAAAATCAAAAATCGCGTTTCATATATTTTCCATGGAGCTAGGCTCCATGATATTTTCAGGCCTATTTGTTTTGTACACCAGGAAAAAAAAAGAGAGAAAAAACTGGTAATTGGCGATCGAAATGGGCTGCAGGTGGCGTAACTCTTTTCCTATAGCAACACTTCACATGCTTCCCCCTTTAGCGTGTGGAAAGTCATAGAGGAAGGAAGTACGTTAGTTTCTCTCTTGATTTTCATATAAATTAAAATCTTTTAACTTGAAAAACTATATGGAACTGAAAACTACATTAAACTAAAGAAAAGTATCATGGAAATTTAAAAAAATATTTTCATTAAGTAAAAATATTAAGAAAAGGGAAAATATCGTAGTACATTCCTATATAACTGAAAAGAGGAGGAGAGGGAGGGGAGAAGGGCTAAAGGTATGAAACCGGTCTCTCCCCAGATGGCGTATTCGAGTGTTGCGATCGCGAATAAAACCATTTCTAGCTAGTTTTCTAAAGAAACAAAATATCTTTCATTAAAAACTTTTAATGAGTCTTGGTACTAAGGGATATTTAGGAATAAGGCTGCAATGAAATGGCTTTGCTTTCAGCAGTTTAATTTGCCATTTCTTTTAATAATTATTGTTAAAATAAAAAAAAGAATTAAAATGAAATTTACATTACTACAATAAGTTTTTTTTTTCACTTACTTTTTTCTCTTCCTCTTTTTTTTCTCACTGAAATTGAATCTTAGCAGAACTTTATTTTTACAATTCCTAAAATTTCTTTAAAAAAAAAGAAAAAAAAGAATTTGCAACTATAGCTAGAGAGAAAAGTACCGTGTGTTGTTCACATGTATACTGAGTGGAAAGAAAAATACCAAAATATTTTATGAATGCTTTAATGTTAGTGATCCATTTGTTTCAACAAAACATAGGTAATAACTTAGTATTTAAAAGTTTTCCTTATAAAAAAAATAGTAATAGAAACTTTCTTTAAATTGTGACTGCAATTCTCAGATAAAACATATTTTTTTCTTTCTCAAATAAATAATTTTTTATAAGTCCAGTAGCAAAAAGTTGCACAAATAAGCAAATGCTTATAAATGCAATGCAAAAATACTCCTTTTTCACAAAGAAGATTAAAAAGATGCAAATAATTACCTTTGGTAACAGTTAATGAAATTTTTTTTTACTGGTATCAGTATAGAACACAAATTATTTGTTTATCATCCAATAACATTTATAATCATTAAAACATAGGCAATATAATTTACTTTAGACCTTGTTTCCATGATGTTTGTGCACTTTTTCATTGCTTTCTCTTACAATAAAAATTAAAAAACCTAGAGGGAAAAGTTATGCATCATATGACCATTGTAACTATGTTTTGCAGATGCATTCCATTGCAAAACTACCTCTATTGTCACTTTCAGCAAAATGGTCCTTTAGACAGGGATTTAATAAGAAAAATTAACTTGAGAACTTGAAAAAATTAATTATACTAGATACTCATTAAAATGTTTCAGATTCTATTAATAAAATTATTCAATAATAAAAGGAATATACTATCATAAACAAAAAGAGAAAAGAAAAAAAAAAGAGAGCATGTAAAATTGTGCATCATATGCTTAAGTGATTTGAAAATATTTTGGGAAATCTTTTTCAAAAAAGATTTTATTACTGTTTCCTTCCAGCTTTCATAAGCAAAGCAGTAAATAGTTGATTAATTAGATTAGATGTTTTGTTGTTTAATTGATATACTAAATAAATAGCATTTTTGTCAAAATCTGAGTTTAACTAATGCTTCATTTTTAAACATAAATTAGATGGGATGTTTTGTCTTACAGTTGATATTCTAAATTAAATAGTTTTTTCTTTGCTAAACTCTAATTTAATATTTCATTTTTAAAAATAGAGTTTTGCCAAGCGAGTAAAATAGGCACTTCAGTCTAAAATAGAATTATTTAAAAGTGATTGGAACAATTTGGTATAATATGGCTAAATTTCTTTCTGTATACTTTATCTAAATATTTATACATCATATTCATTTTGAAACAAATATTGAATGTATTTTATGATATATATCTGATGTGTTTTAATAGGCCCTGAACGGGTTACATTTCAAATAAATTATTTGATATGTGTTATCTGTATGCATAATTAATTTCATACATAAGTGATGAATAACAATTATTATTTTTTTTCTTAATCATGTGCTCTATTTTTTACTCATTTAGTTCCTGTATCGTAAATTTTGGGTCCCAAAATCAAACTACTTAAACATCTTTTACTAACAAAATTTTTAACAGTTGCAAAGAAAATTAATTGAAAATGTGATTTAAAGTCGTAAAATGTAAAGGAAAAAAACCCAGATTGGTGGTTTTAAAGATGGGTATTTTCCATGTGGGCCCAATCTTAAAAAACTCAGTATTTCTGTACTGGGCATAATTTGATAAGCCTTTTTTCAGTGCTTTTTTTATATCTTTAAAGTTTATTTAATGCTTTACAAGAATAAAATCATCGTACAATACAATAAATAAAGTAGTTTAGTAAATAAAAGAATTAAGGCAAAATTAACTTCTTATAATACTAATTATATATTAATTCGACTAATTATAATATATCGAGGTACATGGAAATAAACCAAGAAAATAATTACAAATTAAGTTTGCTAAAAGAAACATCATAGATGGTAACTTTTCAATCTTTTAATTTGTATTTTCTTTATTTTTGAACATTTGGATATTTTTTGCTTAGCCACGCCAACTACAATCCCCAAGGCACCAAATGTACTTTAAAAGTTGCATTTTCAAAAACAAAAAAAAAATGGTTTAAAAATTAAAGGAATAATAAAACTAGTGATGGAAAAATTGTGATAGTTAAAATAAATTTCAAATATATTTCAAATTTTCTAAACATTAACTTGACTATTATTGCTCAAAACCAAAATTTTTCCAAAGTGGGAGATTTTTCCGTATCAGTACCAGTTTACGTGAATTACCATCATCAAGGCGCCAAAGGAATTTTGAAAGATCCAGGGATTTGCCTAGGAAAGACTGTGAATTATACTCTTCGAGTTGGTCCCCTTCTGTGACATTTATTTTAATTTCTTGGATTCTACTGCCAAGAAGTTGGTAAAACTTTAAAATTATTTTGGTACATTTATCGATTCCAAAATCTTATATTCTGTTAATTTGGCATTACTATAGTTAAATTTCAGTATTTCTGACTTATTTCACAGACTAGACTTATACTGGGTTATAGAAACTAGGCTTTCTCAACAGCTTGAGTAAAGGCAATGTTAAGTAAAGTTTCTTAGTAAATATTTCATTATATACACTACATGAAAAATTGTTTTGTTTTTAACCATGTATTAGAAAATGTCGATTTAAGTTATGTTTCTGTGCAAAGGATTTATCACACACACTGCAAGAATGAGGTTTCTCACCGGTATGAACAATATAGTGCTTTTTTAATGTTTCTTTCTGTGAGAATGGTTTATCACATACATTGCATGAATAGGATTTCTCTTGTGTATGAATAAATGAATGTCTATTTAAATTGCCTTTCTGTGAGAAAGTTTTATCACATAAACTACATGAATGAGACTTCTTTCCAGTATGAATAAGAATATGCTTTGTTAAACTGCTTTTTTCTGTGAATTTTCTATTGCACACACTGCATGAATGAGGCTTCTCTCCTGTATGAATAAGTAAATGTATTTTTAATTTATCTCTTCCCCAGAATGTTTGATCACATTCATTGCATGAATAAGGCTTTTCTGCTCCAGTATGGACAAGAGTATGTCTCGTTAAATTGCCTTTGTGTGAGAATGTTTTATCACATAGACTGCATGAATAAGCTTTCTCACCAGTATGAACGAGATAATGTCTCTTTAAAGTGCCTAGGTGTGAAAATGTTTTATCACAAACACAGCATGAGTAATACTTCTTGCATTTAACAGTTGAAGATTTATCAGACATATTGGATAAATACCCAATATAAAAAGTCAAATCACTGCATTCTTAAAAATATTTTTACAACATTGAAGGAAAGAACTAAGTGCACTTCGCTAAAGTTTTATTCAATGGTTTAAAACATATGATCTCAATCAAGTTAAAGTGCATTACTCAATACTCAATTTGAATTTGCAGCAATAAGGACAATTTGATTAATCTCAATTTGAACTCAAATAACATGCCTGAACAAACTGTCTGAACAAGCTTTTGACTTTATCATACTTTCGACTTGAGAAATGCCTTCGCAGCCGATGTTCTTAATAAAAATATTAAAAAAAAAAATTTTTTTTTTACACCTTGCTTTTATAGCTTCCGGTTAAACAGTTATCGACAGTTTCTATAAAAGAAGGAAATACTAATATAATTTCTGAGCTCAAATCTATGGATAATATGGATGGTGTTTTCTACAATAGGGAGCGCTGCAATCTCTATATCACCTATACTTCCGAGCCAAGCTTCCGGGTTACTGTTTCTAGTGTAGTTTGAAGCCATTTGGCTCAGAGCGTGATCATTGTGTTTTGAGGTTCTTTTGAATAGTAGTTCTTGCAAACGTTATATTTGTTTATTTATTACTTGTGTTTACAATGAAGTCTAAGTCTAAATGCAATAACTAATAAAGATGTCGTTATATAATAAGAAAAATAGTGAAAGGACACTTACGCTTATAAAGTTAAAATTGAAAAGGGTATATAATTTTAACATTAACAGATGGTGTTTTCGACACTAGGTAGCGCTGCGAGCTGCATGCCACTTTTACTTCCGGGTTACTGTTTCCAGTGTATTTTAAAGCCATCTCACAATGTGATAATTGTGTTTTAAGATTCTTGCATACATGGTATTTGAATACTTATTACTAAACTTAATCTTTCTCCTCGATCAATATGCTAACACTAACGTAAGATGGTGCACAGCTTGTGACACGAATAAACAGTAATAAACAAATGTAAAGAGACCGAATCAAGACTGCCAAAAAAGCGAGTTATTCAAAATCTAGCAACCATGTCACTTTTTTTAACAATATATCTATAAAAAAAGCAGCTGCAAACTTTCTAACCGGAACTAGAGCAGGCATACAACTCGATATTGTTATTGTTTACATTTCTACTGAAAACACCATCCATTGCTTGTGAAATAGTAGTGTTAAGAAACAGGTGGTTCGATCAATAATAAATATGTAAACCTAGTATTTGAAAAAAGAATCGTTATAAAACACTTCTTACCTTTTCAATAATCTATGCCAACTTTCAAATTTAAAGCTGAATAATAATTTATAAACTTAATCTTTCTGCTCAAACGATATGCTAACACTAACGTAAGATGGTGTACAGCTTGCAACAGGAATAAACAAATGGAAAGAGGCCAAACCAGGACTGCCAAAATAGCAAGTGTTTCAAAATCTAGCAACCATGTCACCTTTTTTAACAATATATCTATAAAAAACTAAAACAAAATTTCCCTTCAAACTCACCAGAATTACTTAATAACATTAATATCTTATGAAATACGACAAGTTTGAACTCAGAAATTACCTAATTTATTCTGCTTCTGAAAACAAAATTATCCATTTGAAAATATCGCCTTGCAGAATAAGCTGAAGCAAGCAGCTGCAAACTTTCTAACCAGAACTAGAACAGGTAAAGAGCTCGAGATTGTTATTGTTTGCATTTATATTGAAAACACCATCCATAAGATATTAATGGTAATAAATAGGTAATTTTGGAGGGATTGAAGTTGAAATTTGTTTTACCTACTTATAGATATATAGTGTAAGTACTACTACAATAATACAATCCCAAATCACTAGTATGGATGGGTGATCGTGTAAAGCTAAGGGTGGCGGCGCCAGTGGTTAAATTGCTCTCGCAAGACTTCCGGATTACTTCTTCCGATATATTATTACGCCGCAGATTGAAAAAACACGCCATCATATTATTGCATCATATCTTTTGCAGTATTTCACATGTACCGAGTTCTTTCTTTCAGCCTTTAAACTTCAGCATTATCATATTAATATTATAATCATTAGAATATTTTCTAACTTAAAAAAATATTTTTGGCGACATTTTATTTTATTGTAGCTAAATAAGGGATAAAATACAAAACATGGCAAACCTTAAGAATTATTCACGAGATATTAACTTTTCAAAATTTTTTTTGGCCTTACGACCTCTGAGAATCAATACATTTCTGAAAGTTCTTATGAATGGTACAATTATGTTTAGATTTGAATCCAAATTACATTAACAAAACTGCATAGAATATTAGGCTTGTTCACACATCGCCTCGTAGTCATAACATAAGCGGAGGGATACACCGGAAATTTTCTAAATTTCTTCCGGTTTAAGGCAATGAGAAAGACATTTGCGTGCATTTTAAGAACCATCAGACTATTCTTTGACTTGATTTTAAGGTTTAACTTTTTGCTTTAACTTGAGATGAGCAAGATAGTGGCTTTTCACATGGTTCAAAAGATCAACCAAGTCATGTGACTGAAATTTCTTACATCTTTCCGTATGTTTAGAACCTTTAAGGGAGAACAAAATGAATAAATATATTACAAAAAACAAAAAAAATAATAATAATAAACATGAAAAATTGCAAAATACTTTTTCATTAGCATAACAAAAATTCATTTCTATGTAAAAAATATTTTCTTTTTATAATAAGAAATACACTAGCTAAATATAAGCATAACTTAAAATGAGACAATAAGAAATTAATGGCCAATTTCAATTAGCCACAAAAAGGTTTTAAAAGGAACATCTTTTAACATGTCCTACTGAAAACAGGTAGCTACACTATATCAATCGTTTAAGAGTGATAATCTATAAAGATAAGGGCTGGGATAGCCTGTGTGGTAGGGCGAGGGGTCGCAAAGAAATTCCTTGAAATTTTCGAAACGTTCTTAAATTGGATTCAATTCTTATTAGGAAATATGGTTATAATACATTAAACAGTATAGACTGTTAGAAAACAACGTTGTAAGTACTGCAAAAATTTTATGTAATCTCAAAAGTTATTTTGAGACGGATAAGTGGAAAGATTTTATTTATTACTGATTTGAAAAACTGTTCAGGTAGAATATCAATCAGGGTGGCTACACAAATCAGGTATCAAATTTCACTGATTTTTCCAGTAAAAATCTGAAAGTTTTTCAGCGTGTTTTTCTCTCTGCTAAAGTGTAGTATAGGTACAAGAAAAGCGTCAATATTTGTGTATTAGTCAATAGTGTAGTATTTCATTTAAAATGTCATTTTGAATAGATGTGGAGGAAACNGTGAGCAATCCTGAACAATGTTGCTATTTGGCGATCGTTTGGCAAAAATATTTATTTCGCAAACTTTATGTGCATTTTCAACAATAAATATTTCATAAATTTGATTGTATTTTGCCACATTTTTTATGATATTTCTTTCTTTTGAGTGAATAGTTTGTCCTTTATGAGACATTTTGCTGGGAGAGCAGCAGTTTTTAAATTTAAACTATATTTAATTAGCTAGAGTAACAACAGGTATAATAGCAGATGATAAAGCGAAGTATGTTACTGAAAAAGAATTCACTGTTTGTGTTTGGCGCAAATTAAGGGTTGTCTCAATTTCAAGCACGGAGATGTTTCTCTTCTGACTCCCACGCTGAAATGAACTCTGCGTCCGAGGAGGTGGAGCCAAGTGTCAACTCCTGGTGAACGAACTATACCAATGACCCAAAACAACCTTGGATAAATACTGTTTAATATATTTATATAAGCAAAAGAAAATAATTTAGGGTGATTAGAAACAAATAAATTTTCAGATTCATTTACATTTCAATATAGAGCAATTTTATACTGTATTTTATCCAAACACTGCTATTTATAAAATTCATTAAAATAATTTTCTTTAAACCAATATCATAAGTCAAATGTTTAAATAATGTTGTTTGTGTCAAATTAGCACTATTATTTTAAGAGATATTCAGTATTCGTAAAGGAAAAATTGTCAAATTTCTTGTTGTATATTCTATATAAAAAGACTAAAAAAAAAAAAGAAGTTAATCAGTACTTATCAGAAATTAGAATATATTAATTCCAATCTAACATGATTTCCTAGATTAGATGAGTTAATTGTTTTTACATCTGGGCAATTCCATGATGTCGGGAAAAAAATTAACATTAATTTCTTAGAAAAACTATCTTATAAAACAAAAGTTTACTATCATCAAATTTTTACATTAAAAATTTAGTACATCATAACCTATTGAAAAACAATTTGTTTTATAAAAACTAATTATTATAAGTTCAAATTCTTACTAATTTACAAATTGTCTAAACTCTTGTGAATTTATTTGTAATTTAAATGCAAATTTGACTGAATTTTGAAGCTGATATTGGAATGAAAAATTCTATGCAGTTGATTGTGAAACATGATACATAATTAATTTGAAATTTTTTACTTAAGTGTCAGAAATGCAAGAAAAATATTGCTGAGTTGCTGATATTTCAACTTTTTTATGATAAATTTACGTCTAAATAAAAGTAGATATAACAGATGGTTAAATAATTCAAACTATAAGAAAAATTCCAGGTTTTCTTTAAAATTCCATGTTTTCCAAGTTGTTGTCAAAATTTCCCCGACTTTTCCAGTATAAAAAAATTCCCTGATAATCAGGGTTGCAAAAAACCCACCTGGGTTTTACTGGGTAAAACCCACCCTAGAGTGGGTTTTTCTAAGATTGATTTCTTTTTTTATCCTCTGTTATATTAAAGAGCTATTCTACTGAAATATATATGTAGTCTAGCCTAAAAACAATTAACCTATAGTGAAGAAACTAATTGTGTTGGAAACTGGAGAGTTACCTTGCTGGCTAGATTTGACTGTATGGCCATTGATTATTCAGTGCCATTGATTCGCTTTTTATGCAAATAAAAATTTTTCCTCAAATATTTTTTTAAATTAAAATATAAATAAAAAGTAATCCTGTGTTAAAATAAGTTTCAAATGCGTGACGTATGTGAGTACATATAACATTTTGCATCGTGATGTCATAAGAAACTTTTTTTAGACTTTCACATCAATTTATTCGTAATAATTATCTATATGAAGTCAACTTATAAAATTAAACTTAGTTATTAATATTAAAATAAGCTTTTTTAAAATAAGGTACTTATCCCTGCCCTCTCTTTTGAAAACCCCTCATAAAAACATGAAAAACCCAGAAAAGCTCAATAAAACTCACCCGGGTTGGGTTCTTGTAGAAAAACCCGGGTTTTTTGTAACCCTGCTGATAATTCCAGGCTTTCCATGTGGGTGGCCACGCTGTCGATTCGCAAAAAATAATACGAGTGCTGTTAATACGTTTATCTATATTAATCTTTATTATCAATAATAAAATTAACAAAAATTCTTACCTTTGATAAAAGACTTCAAAGCAGATTATCCCATTCTGCAGATGTCAAATTCCGTGTAACATAATTTGCTGTATGGTCTATTCTTATCCCCAACAGAAACGAGTCGAATTTTATTAGCCTTTTCCTAGCCAGCAAATATTAAATACACACTTACACAACATTTTGAACTAATGTTAAAGAGAAAAAAAAAATCCTTATCACTAAAATGCAACCTTTATGTATCTCTTAAAAACATAGCTAATACTAGGCATGATTGATTTGGTTCAATATTTTTATTACACTATTAGTCTCCCCCACTACTGATATTTTGATATCTAACCGCAAGTGAGGGGTAAGTAAGGATAAGGCTTAGCTGTGGTCCCCGTCAATGCCCGGACAACTTCTTTCCACTTAGATGAACTTGAACAGCGACAGAGAAAACCAAAAAAGGAAAGAGAGTAATCAGGATTCCAATAATTTCTGCTTGAATTTTTCTAATGCTTTTTTACTGGAAAGTTAATATAATCATACATTTAATATCAGAAAATCAAAATTAACTTTTCGCAGAATTGAAGGACGTCTCGGGGCTCCGATTTTTTCAACAAAATTCAAGAACTACCAAGGTTTCTCAAGTACAGTATAGAACCGATTATCAGGAACGATTGGGACCATTGCGATTCCGGATAACTGATTTTTCCGGTTTTCTGAATAGCTACAAAATGCCGTTTCTCTAATGTTTATAAAACGAAACTAAAAAATTATTTTGAAATAGTTTTAGAAATAATAAAAAATGATAAATAATAATAATACACTTAAGTTTAAATAAGGAAAGAAATTATGAAATAAAATTTATATACAGGCTTATATATGTTATTATTAACATTAATAACACATATAAGCTATTTGTGCTCATGTGAGATTCTTCTACAAACGACTTTTGATCCGTCCTCTAAATCAGTTCTTTCGTCAACTCGATACGCCGTACGCTCTAAAAAACAAAATGGGCTCAAAATCTTGCAGGAAAAATTTTTTTTTTAATGGAAGAAAATTAATTTCCGGTTCCGAATTTCATTCCGGTTATCTGATTTCCGGATAAGAGGTTCTGCACTGCAGGGGTAGAAATTAAAAAGAATAATTACTGGTCCATAGGACCAGTAACTTAAACATTTTACTAGTCCGCACAAAACTTTACTGGTCCGTCTACGTGTTCCTATTAGCTGCAAATAAAAAAAAATAAAAAATTTTGATGGAAAAAAGTCATGATTTTTTTTTAAAAATCATAAATTTTTGATTTAAATTGCATTTTTTTGATTAATATTAATTTTGTATAAAAAATTTTTTAAAAAAAATTTTGAATAAGCTCTAAAATAGTTTTAAGTAACTCAAATATACAAGTTGCATAAATATACTTAGAATTTAAGAAGGAAATAAGATTAACTATACTACTTACTAAGATTAATTAGAAAAGAATATTTTAGCAATCAAGAACTATGATTTTTACTCAATTTTGAAGTAATCACAAAATTATTAAACTATACATAATCATAATGTAACAAAAATAAACAATATGATTGTTTTAGAACATAAAATAAAAAATAAAGGAGAAAAACATCTGAAATTAGCACGAATTATCAAGATGATTTAAACAAAGCATTTAGTAATATTAAAAAAAAATTTGTAATTTGTTTAAATCTTTAGTTATTTATAATTAGTCTTACAACCATAGCATTTATTATTCCTTTTGGCTTTTATTTTATAAAATATATTCTCAATTATAAATTAAACAGTGGTCCGGCGGACCACTGTTTATTATTTTATTCTGGTCCGACTCCGATTTTAGTGGTCACGGACCAACGGACCACCGTTAATTTCGAGCCCTGCACTGTATTATGGGAACCCTGTATATAAATAAGGTAGTTTAAACAGTAATGAAAACTAAACCAAAATCAAATTTTTAAACAGTTTATAGCATTTCAGGAATGCTTATTTATTACATTAAAAAAATGAAAAATAATAATTTTCAATAATTATGGCACATAGAAATCGAGCGAGAAAATAATTAAAATTGATAAAAGAAACATAAAAGTGTAACTTTTCAATCACTTGGTTTTTATTTCCGTCACTTTTTTTCAAGGACTAGAAAAAGTATTATATGGAATAAGTATAATAATCATATCAATGTGTTTAAAACTTGCAAGTTTTTTTTAAAAAAAAAAATGTTGAGTTGTGCCCACTAGTGGCTATGAATTATACCCTTTGAACAGTTCTTCAGTGATGATTTATTTAGTTTCTCGAGGGCTACTGCCTGGAAGTCGTCAAGACTTGCCGATTGTTTTGGCATAGAACATGATATGAATATCTTTCTGAATTCCTTATCTAGTTGGCTTAAGAATCTAAAGGAATAATAAAATCCTAATAAAACCAATGATGGAAAAGTTATAATATACATTTAATAATACATTTTGCTTTTTCTAAAAATTAACTTGATTAGAAAATTATTCTTGCTAACAACCAAAGTTCTTATTTGGGGATATTTCTCTATCAGTATCACTTTAATTCAACTTATAACAAATTCTTAGAGAGCCAAACGATTTTTGAACTAGCAAAATTTTTTAAAATTATATAAATTTTGCAGTTTGCTTAGGGTAGGCTTTGAATTATAACCTATTATGATAGTAGCTGTAATTTCTTGCATTACCCTGTTAGAAAGTCACCATAAATCTAAAATAATTTTGGTGTTCTTATCGATACGAAAATCTAATCCTGTGCTGATTTGGCAATACTAAAGTAAAATTTCTGTGTAAATGACTATATTCCAAAATCTAATAGTAATATAGCATTTTAGAATATAGGGTTTCTCAACAGCACGAGTTAAAAATAATATTTGGTTAAGTTAAGTTTTTTTAGAAAATATTCTACTAGGTACATACATTACATAAAAAACTGTTTTGTGTTTTAACTATGTATTAGAAAATGTCTATTTAAAGAATATTTCCGTGAAAAGATTTTATCACATACACTGCAGGAATGAGGTTTCTCGCCAGTATGAACAGTATAGTGTTTGTTTAATGCATCTTTCTGTGTGAATGGTTTATCACATATGGCACACGAATAACACTTCTCTTGCGCATGAACAAAAGAATGCCTAGTTAAACTCCATTTCTGTGCAAATGTTTTACCACATAAACTACATGAATAAGACTTCTCACCAGTATGAACAAGATAATGCTTTTTTAAATTGTGGTTATTTGCGAATTTTTGATTGCACACACTACATGAATAAGGTTTCTCTCCAGTATGAACAAGAGTATGTTTCTTTAAATTGCTTTTCTTTGCGAATGTTTTATCACAAACACTGCATGAATAAGCCTTCTCTCCAGTATGAACAATATAATGTTTATTCAAAATGCCTTTCTCTTTGAATGTTTTATTACAAATACTGCATGTGTAATTCTTCTTGCACTTAACAGTTAAGGATTTATCGGACATATTGGGTAAATACCAATATGAAAAACTTAAGCTCCCAAATGCGTCATTCAAATCACGACATAATTATTTGCGATTTTATTACATCATTGAAGGAAAGTAATTGTAAAAGTTTCATTCAATGATTTAAAAGATATACTCTTAAAGTTAAAAGGTTAAGGAGGCTTACTCAATACTCATTTTGGAATTGCATCAATAAGTTTCTAAAAAGAGAGATCGATCAATGAGAATGAGGTATAAGAGATAAGCTTAAAACAATGAGCCTGAACAAGCTTTTGACTTTATTATGCATTTGACTTGAAAACTGCCTTCGCAGCCGGTATACTTTTTAATAAAATATAAACAAAAACTAATCTCGAACTCCTTACAGTCATGATTTCCGGTTAGACATCCGGTTAGATTTCCGGTTAGCTCGGTAACCAAGCCACAGTAACCGGGTCTCTATCTTTTAAGGAATTGGTAACTAATTTTANTTGGCCCGAAGGGCCACCAACTGATTCGTCATATTCTGTTCGGTCGTAAAACTAGTAGTCTTGTACCTATAAGAAATGGGATAAAAGAAATTCACAGCAGTGGGCTGTGACGTCAGGATAGAATAAATCCTGGGAGAAATGAGTCTTTCATCAGTTTTGGGACTCTGGAAGTAAGGAACGTAGAAACCCAAGAAGCTCTTCGTCCTTCAAAAGTTCCTTCATCTCCTTGATGAGCTGTAAAAATCTGGTGGCTTTGTCGGCAGCTTTCACGGGAAGAAAGTTCCTTGGTTGCGGCACTTTCCTGGGTCTTGCACCGCAGCCCGAAAAACAGGCCGGGTGCTCACCATCACAGTTTATGCATTTTGCAGGTGTGGATCTGGGTTTCGTACACATGTACGAGAAGTGTGCTTCAGCACATTTCATGCAGGCTGGTTCGGTGGCTTGGCAGTTGCGCTGGGTGTGTCCATACTTCTGGCACTTAGAGCATTGAGTTTGAAATCGTCCTCCTCTGAATCTTTCAACTGTAACATTTTTCTCCAACATGGAACTAATGTTGAAGATATTTCTGCTAGTGGGCGTGTCAGTTTGGATGATGAGGAAAAGTGGGAGGGGCCTAAGCTCCTGCCCACTTCTTCTAAGCTGTATAATTTTCTCGGGCTGACGTCCAAATTCGATGAGATCTCGTTCTAAAACGAGCGGGATATCTGTGTCTGCTTGCAGTTCTCTGATGAGGGATTTCAGCTTTTTGTTGGGGGGAGTGTCCATAGTTGTGGTGGGCGTGGTTTCAACCGAAGCGGAATTCTCCTTGGGGTCTGCCGGGACTGGATCCGCTGGGATGGCGGAAGCTAGGTCTTGATCTACCGGCACCGTTTCCGATGCGGTAGGAGTCGTGATTTCCGGCTGGGCAGAAGATTCTGAAGAAGAGCAGTCTTGGTTCGGGGTAGTCATGGAGTCTTTAGCAGCATTGTCAGTCTTTTTCTTCCTCTTTCTAGGCGGTTCACTCGGGGGGTCCGATTTGGATTCCGTGATAGAGACCAGATAATAGGTAGAGGAACTTAGCTCGCTTTATTCCTTCCGAAAAGCCACAATAACCAAGCAAAGAGCTGGAGTCACGTGATGGAAAGAGTGCAATACTTGGCGCAATATCACAAATGTTGGCGCACAATTTTTTTTTTTTAGCGTGCTTTATTTCGATACATGGAGCTACTCCTAGCTCCATGTTTCAATATTACCGATGCGCAAATATTCGCAGCGTTTGAAAGAGGGAATTTGTTGTTTCAGAAATATACATTTTTTTAGGATTATTAAATTGGTTTTTAATACATAGGGAGTTTTTTTTCTAACAAATAATTTTTAATTAAAATACCGCCTTTATTGGAAAATTTAAGCAGTTATTAAATTTAAGCATTATATAAAAATAAAAAACGATATTCTGTCCTACTTATAGTTATTACTATATTCAGAAAAATTTTGTAAATGTTTTTATTACAAAGACCAATTTTTTTAAAAAAAATTTAACAATATATATTGTAATAACTGTATAACTCCAACGTTTAGTTATTTTCAAAAATAAAAAATGATAATAACTTCGATATAAAAATCACGATATTTTTACACCTACCAGGACTTGACACCTACCAGGACTCAATTTGAAAATGTTGCCTTTCTTTTTAATGAAACACAAGTTCATTTAAAAAATAAATTTAATCTTTACGCTTTAAAAATTTTATCACTGTCAGATAAAACAAATTTTAAAATTAAACAGATTGTCTGAAAATAGTTCGATGGTTAGAAATAACATAAGGAAAAAAATGTTTTGTTTTAACACGTAAAAGATGCGTTAATGCTGCAACACTTTTATCATTATTATTTATGTGCACTAAGAAACTGCTCCAGAGGCAATATTAAATTTCGGGAAAAATAGCATAGTTATTTTCACCAAATTATAACTGTTAAGTGTCTATCGTCTATATTCTGTAATTATTGTCAAGTTTTGATATTCTGATTACCTAAGTTAGGAACATCTGGCATCCGCGATAGTACTGCAAAATTTGTGATTGAGTAAGTCGACATTTTTTAAATGATTTATTCGAGTGAAAATTTGTTCTTTATTCAGAATATGGCTTCTTAAAATATTGACGAGTTAAAAAAAAAGCTTGAATACAATATCGAAAATAATTCTCTAAATCTTGCAATGATTTTGATAAAAAAAAGAATATTTGAATTTAACATGTTAATTAAAATGGTGACAGGTTAATTAAACTTATATCTGCTTTTGAAGCTATGTCACCAAGGAAAATAAATAATTAAAAAAAAACATAATTTAAGTGCCTTAAACTTGAAGCAATGCAAGGATTTCAAATTGTATAATCTTGCAGCGAAGAATTATCTGGTCCTTAGAACAAAGAAATAACTTAAATATCTTAAAAGTTATCAAACTTTTTTGTAAATCGCTAACTTGGCAACATTTTTCAACCTAGATGAAAATTATCAAAATCACTGCCTTATTCTTAGTTTTTTTTTCTTCAAATTATTAAGAGAGCAGTTATGCAGTATTGAAGTAGGTGTTTAAAAATTAAAAAGTTTGACCATAAAAGCTCTTCATTTTTACAAAACTGTGGCTTTTTTTTCTTCATACTGACGCCATGTGTTATTTTCAAAATAAGCGCATAGTAAGTGTTATTTTCAAAATTTGAAACATGTTTATGTTTCAAATTTAGCCTATCTAAAGGCAGTGCTGCCTTTAGATAGGCTAAACTTGATCTTGCTAACAGTCATGCATAACAGTTTCAAACACACAGGAGTTTCAAAAATAGCATATTATTCCCAAAAAAGTATCATTTCATAGATCTCATTAAACAAAAAGTCAACTGGCTGTACTCTGAAATGAAATCAAAGACAATCTTAATGCTAGTGAAGTTGATGAAGGAACATGCGAAGCTGAATTTGATGAATCAGAAACATATATTGATCATTGGCGTCATTTAGAACAAAAACTTACAAAATTTGCAAGTTCTGAGAAAGATTCTATATTTAGTAAGAATGCTTTTTAAGGAAATTTCTTTTTACGTTACCCTAAAATTGAACTTCTAGTTTTTGATGGAGATCAGAAACTGGTTTGGTTTTTGGAGACAATTTTATAAAATTGATAAAAATTCCTAATTTAGATAATCATGATAAATTTTCGTATCTACCACAAGCACAAGCCATGGTGAAATGAAGCATTTCTGAGGAGTTGATTAAAAGTTTTCCTCCAGGTGGATATAGTTATGAAAAAGCTATTGGCAATCAAAATGGGCTACAGGTGGCGAAGATTTGGGAAAGAAGAGCTAAAGATTCAAGTTTATGTGAGAGAACTACTTTCTTTTGTCCTCAAGGATGGCGCCAGATTTGGAATGACAGGTAGTCAATTCTCCTCCGACATGGCCGGCTCAAATAAATTAATTCAAAATGTTTATATTAAAGCGTATTTTATACATTAAATTTTTTCTGGTGTATTTTTAGCAGTCTAAAACCACTTATTTTGAGTCCATAATGGATTCGTTAGAGACTGAATTACGTACATTGGAACTTTAGGTGCAACCAGACTTAAGTATGCATCCTTGTTGTTCCCCATGATTATAAAAAAGAAATAAAAGATATATGATATATGAAAGTTCATATCAATAATGTGCATTTTTTTTTAAAAATAAAATATTTTAGATGAAATCAGAAATTTTTATTGGGTTTAGATTTATGATTTATTTTTTAAAACAGATTATAATACACTATATCATTATAGAAAAACATAAATAAATGCTATTTAGCACAAAAAGTGATCAATATTGGTTTATTTTGAAATGTTCAATCTATTTTTTTTTTTTCAGTTTTAGCACTATTAATTCAATGATGCCCCCCAATATATTAATTCAAATAACAGTCATATCTCAACACTGGTGCAATGCTTGCTCTAATAACGTCAATGGAGCTTATCATGTAATAGGCTTGGCTGCTTGCCTTGCAACAAATCAGGCACTTTCACACAGTCAGCAATACTATTCTCTACAATAGAACTATTCCAGAGTGAACATTTAAGAAACCTTTCTGTGAGAACCTTTCATTACTCACTTCAGGAATAAGGTTTTTCCTTAGTATGAACAAGGAAGTGTTTACATAAATGACATTTTAGAGTAAATGCTTTATCACATTCACTGCATGAATAAGACTTTTCTCCAGTATGAATAAGAAAATGTTGCTTTAAATTACTTCTCTGTGAGAATGTTTTGTCACATACACTGCATGAATATGACTTCTGTCCAGTGTGAACAAGAGAATGTCGTTCTAAACTTCTTTTATGAGGGAAAGATTTATCACATTCACAACAACAATAAGGCTTTTCTCCCGTATGAAGAATAGAATGTTGACTTAAATGATGTTTCTGTCTAAATGTTTTATCACATACAGTACAAGAATAAAATTTCTCTCCCGTGTGTACGTGATAATGTCGATCTAAACTTTTTTTATGCAAGAAAGATTTATTGCATACACTGCATGAATAAGGTTTTTCTCCAGTATGAGCAATTGAGTGTTGATTTAATTGGAATTTCTCTGTGAATCTTTTATTACATACACTGCATGAATAAGGCTTTTCTCCTGCATGAACAAAAGAATGCTTATTTAAAGTTTGTTTCTTAGAGAATGTTTTATCACACACACTGCAGGAGAAAGGTTTTTCTCCAGTATGAATTAAAGAGTGATTTTTTAAACCTTTTGCATGTGTGAAAGATTTAACACACATATTGCAAGAATAAGGCCTTTCTACAGTATGAGAAATGTAGTACTTATTTAAGTTACAATCATCTGTGGAGGATTTTTCTGTACACATACTGTTCATACTCAGAATATCTGTTACTATTTTCATTGCATAAATGAGCAACAGTGTTTAAAAAAGTGATGTTTTTTGTTTGCTTGTGAATTTTCACATAAACAATATATAAAGGCCCGATTAAATTTTAATTCATCAATTTATACACTAAACACAAAATAAGGTAAAAATTTGGAATCTAGATACTAGTTTTGAACTTTTTTTTTTGAGAATTCATAAAATTTTACTAGCGGCTTGGGAAAAGACGATTATTTTAAAATGCTTTTTTTCTTATTGCAACATATTTCTCATGTGTTACTTTTAAAGTTTTATTCAAAGAAATGTATAATGAGGCACTATAGATATTTTTTTGCAGTGAAGGGAGAAATTGCGCTGATTATAACTGTGAAAATTTGCTCAAGTTCTTTTCTCAGATGATTTAAAAGAAATAACCTCATAGATAAGACTATCATCATGGAAATGGAAAGGTTTAGTTAGATGATATCAGTGATTTTTGAGAAAAATAACAAGTAAAACCAAATCTTGTCATAACTTTTGGTTTTTGTTTTCCAAGAATGAAATATATTAAGGAGTTTCAAGCTACTTGTTTCTGTTTCAGCCAATGCTTAACAAAATGCTAAAAGAGCCCTGTGCCCCACTTTTAGATTGTAAATCAATTTAAAAGTGTGCCATTTACAAGGGCAAGAATGTAAAAAAGATGAAGTAATTAAAAAATCCCTTAAAAATAGTCTTATTTCTGTTTTCTACTTATAAATTTTTATTAATATTTATCTTGCAGTTAAAATACAGTTAAAAAGTGAAGCAAAAAAGTTTTTTTTTTATTTTTTAGTCCAATTTTCGTCTGCATTTAATTCCTGCAGTTTGTATTTTAACTACATTAAATTTATAGAAGTATGATTTATACATCGATGACTTATAACCATAAAAAGTTCCTTAATTTTTTTGATTGATTAGTTATTTCCTGTTTTCCTTTTGAAAAAAGAATAAATAGTATTAATATTTGATGATAGTTTTTGTTTTTATTAAGTATTATTAAATGCCTTTTTATAAACTTCTACTGTTTTTATACTAAATATGATGTCAGCAGGATATAGAGATTTATTTTGATTGTTTGATTTCTCCTACGATATTGCTGAACCATCCGTTATAATTAGAGCGTGACGCTGGTAATTTTTTTTGCATTATTTCGTTCATCCTGATTATTAATTTATTTGTAATTAGTTACATTTTACTCAAGTGAAATTTTTGTGTTGTTAAGCAATTTTTTCATTTAAAATTTCAATTTATTTTAATTGATATTCGGTGATATTCTATATTTAAATAGTTTTCTCTAAAGAAATCCTATGAATCATAAAATTTGGAAAGATAATCAATTTTATATTAGAAAGTTTTTGCTGTGTGCCAATGTAAAATTAATCAGGTATTCTAAACTTATTTAAAATTTAAATCATCTTCAAGTCTAAGAGTCTAACTTATTAGTATTATTACATTGTAATTGCCAAGTTTGCTTGATTATAAATGAAGTTTAGGGCACCTATTATAAGCTAAAAATTATTTTTTCCCCATTTTTTAAATGTTTTTTTAAAAATTTTTTAATAAAAAATATCTCATATTTTAAGATTTTCTATTGCATATTTATTTCAAATAATTTAAAAGAAATTTTAATAACAATTTTTATTTTAAGGAAGATTTTCAAATGAAAACTTACTGCTCAATTTGACCCTTATCAACTTTAGAGGAAAATGAAATGAAAAGTGATGTTGATCATGAAAATGTATATCATGAAATTGAAAATATATTATGAAAATGTACTTGCATATGAAAACTAAAAATAATTGTTGGAAGCATTTTTTGTTTTTGAGTTGAAGAAATAATTTCCATATTGGTACCTGTGCTAAATTATTCTACAAGTTTTGGGTGTAAACTACACAATCCCACAGGAGATATTAAATTTTTATTTATTTATCAGAATGGGGCAAACTCAATGGTTAAAACTCAGAGTCTTTCCAAATTTATTCAAACTGTCCAACTGCAAAAACCAATCCGATTTACTTAGTAATTTTAATTGGCTGGAATATGTACCAATATGAAATTAATTTTCTGTGGAATATAAAATACTGTTTGTGTAATTTTTTTTATAGATTTCTAAAATGAGTTGCTTCAAGCAGTCCATAATTCCCAGATTACAAAAATACATTCCTATTTTACAATGGCTGCCAAAGTACACTTTAAGTGATCTAAAAGGTGATCTTATTGCCGGATTTACAGTTGGTTTAACTGTTGTTCCACAAGGCCTGGCATTAGCTCAACTTGCTAATTTACCTCCACAAGTAAATATATGTTTATACCACTTGCATATTTGTACTTTTAGGTAACTATAATACGTATATTTACATATATTATAAATATAATGCATATATTTATTTTTTCTAAAACTGCAACTGCCTTATGTTATTATTAATGTTCTTTTCTTAGCAACTAAGGAATATCTCGTTTTTTTTTTTATTATAGTCAAAGCTATCTTTTTATTTTATTAAATATTTCTTAAGTTTCCACTGACAAATAGGTCAGACAGTTTACAGACATTTTTTGCATTAATGTGAGAATAAAATTAAAAAATTCGGTAGATTTTCATTAGATTTTTGTTAACACTTTTTATTATCTATGTTTTCGAAGTTTTAGCTGTATTATTTTTAATAAATTCAAACTTAACAGTTAAGTTTTTAAGTAAAGTTAAGTCATAATAAATCTCAAACTTGGACGGGCTCAGTCACAAAAAGATCTTTTTAATCTCTGACTTGGATTTAATGTTTTCGGGCTTGGGTCTCAATAAGTGTGCTTGAACTCATCTCTTATAGGTATGAATTATAGATATACTAAGCCCATAAATTTTGCCTGGTACCTGGCACATCTCTAGTATGAATAATTCTATACAAGACTTGCTGCTATTTGGTTAGATGTGTTCACTGTTTTAACTATTTTTATTATTTCCAGTGGTGTAGTTTTAATGTATGTTTGGAGGGTTTTATATGTATATATATATATTCTAAAAAATCAGTAATGAAAATTTTATAACTAGATCCTGCTTACTGTACAATAGCTCATTTATAAAGTAATATTTAATTTCGGAGGGGTTTAAGGATTCGGAATTTTGATATTAAGATTTGAAAAGTATGAAATATGTTTAAACATTGTTTCTTTATTTTATATTTTGTTTATTGTTATAGTATACATATTTTTAAATTGTTTTTAGTATGGATTGTATACTGCTTTTATGGGCAGTTTTATGTATGCCATTTTTGGTACCTGCAAGGACCTAGTAATAGGACCTACATCAGTCATGGCAATTATGACTGCCGAATATGCTCAAATGGGTGGTCCAATTTATGCTGCCCTGCTCACCTTCCTCTGTGGCTGTTTTCAACTTTTATTAGGAATTTTCAATCTAGGTAAAAAGGATTTTTTTATGGTTTAGTTATTTTAATTAATTCTTTTCCTATTTTGCCTAAGTTTGATTAAACAGTAAGCCTTGTAAGTTTAGATTAAACAGTTAGAATGATTCTAGTTCATGTATTATTTTTTAGGTTTTTTAATGAATTTTATATCTACTCCTGTTTTAAATGGATTTATCTCAGCTGCTGCAATTATATCAGCAACCATGCAAGTAAAAGTGAGTTATCTGCTGTATTAGTTAGTTATATCTTAATATTTTGTTCAATAAAATGTTTTTACACTTGATAAGAAGTTAGAAGCTATTTACAGCATTTTAATCAAAAATCAACAACCATTGTGTAAAAAGATTAAAAAGAAAATTTAAATATTAGTTTTTTTCTTCTTTTTTAAAATTTTAATGTATCCAATTTAGATATTTACTTTATTACATTTAAAAGTGTGAACATTTAGGTTTATAAATACCCTAAAAATAATTTTATTTAGTGTTATTAAAAAAAACTGATAGTTTTTTTTTACCATAATTCAAAAATAAGAAAAGTCACCAATTTTATCAAAACCAGCTCAATTTAAAATACTAAGTAGAATGAGATTTTGCTTGTTTTACAATGAGAACTATCACTATTCTTTTATTATCTGTCTTTTTTTAAATATCCTAAAATCTTAAGTTTAAAGAACTGAGAGAGAGAGAGAGATGTTTCCCTTATTTAAAATCCATACGATTTGCGTAGACCTCTCTCTAGACCTCTTGTAGCTAATTTCAAAATAAACAAATGCCTCACATAACATCAGTACAAGTTCAAATTTGTAGATTCAAAGCTTGTCCTTTATGTAATGCTAACGGCATTTGTATTCACTTTTTGGAGCATTGTTCTGGATTTAGAGATGTAGTAGCAGTTAATGGTGTTAAAAAATCATTGTTTCTTTTATTATGTTTCTGAATTGTATTAAGCAGCCTGTCATGGTTTTTTGGCAGTCATCTCTATGTCTGGCATATCCTTAATTTAAGAAAACATTAAAAATTTATAAAAATAGACTAAACTTGTAGATTACCACAATTAATGCTGCCTTTAGATATTTATTAAATTCTAAATTAATATACTAAAATAATCTTTTTCTTATTGACTTATTGTACGTATCGATAAAAGAAGTGTCTCTTAATTTTTTTATTAATTATAACTGTAGAAACAATTTTCAATTATGTTTATTTATTATATTCTTAAATTACTTTATTTTGTGAAACATTTTGTTTGAAATTTATTTATTAAACCAATTTTTTCTTCTTTTTCTTGAACAATAAAAATAAAGAGTGTTATTGAAGTGTCTTTTTAAAACTTTTTGAAAAATTCGCAATTCTTGTTAAGGGCAGTTCTATGATACAAAGGATGCCATAATAAAAGAAAATATACATTTAATAGCCCTCCATTAAATTTTTTCTTAGTTTTTTATTAACTATTTTGGTTATAAAATCAAAAATTGTAGTTAAGTATTATGTGGTAATAATAAAAAAAAAATTATTAAAATTTTAACATAGCCCGTATTTGTAACATCAATTACATACAAATTGTAACATCAGTCACGAGAGCTTTTTCTCCATTTGCCACTTTCTGAAGGTCATTTCATTCATTTTTTAATGTTTCCTGTTAATTTGAAGTTTCTTTTTAAATAAATTTAAAAAAATAATTCCATTATTGCTTATAGAAGGAGAATCATTACTTCTTATAATAAATGCATGCATACATATCTATTAATAAGTGTTAACAGTTCTACCTAAGTCCAAAAATCTTGATAGATTTATAGACTTTAAATTTTAAAAGGGACAATTTTATCCCATTGTGTTAAAATATGTTTTTTTTTTTGTTTCGAACTTTAAATTTCAGCATTCACTTCAGTCTTATAAAATCAGCCTTTTGTTAGAATTGCTTAAAATTTTTTGTAAGAAAAAACTTTGTTTATAAGTGAAATTAAGTGTTAATGATATAACATACAAGCTTAATAAAATTATGTCTGTTTTTTTTTCTTCATTCATATTATTGGTAGTTCTCAAAAATGTATTTTTGATTTTTCTATGGATTTTTCTGTAATCAAAAAGTAATAATTTAGTGACCACCAGTTATTTATATTTTTAGACGTTAATAGTTTTTATTTTCAATGAAATTTACAGGGCCTGTTTGGTTTGAAATTCGATTCGCACGGTTTTCTTAGTACAGTTTACAATATATTTCTAAATATTCCTCATACAAAGTAAGTATATTTTAAAATATGTTTTGTTTATTAGTAGAGTTATTATTACATTATAATAATGTATTTTTAATATGCAATTGTTTTTTTTTTTTTTTTTTTTTTAAAACTAACACTATGGAAAAGTATTGTATGGCTATAAATATAGCTTTAGTTTGTATTGAGAAAGTTTTGTAAAAATAATGACAAAAAAAAATAAAATAATAATTGACAACTCTAAATACTCTGGCATTTATAATTTATGTATAATCGATTAATAAGGGAATCGTACAATTTGCGTTTATATTTTTGAAACATAGTTAGTTGAAGCTGTAACAAAATTAAACATCCCTGTTAGATTTTGAAATATTTGCATTAAATGAAGGTTAAAAAATGTAATAAAATGATTATGATTAACAATGTTAATTAGTATAGTAACATGCATTTGTGATAAGTATAGGCTTTAGTTTAGAAATTAAAGCAGTATAAAATTCAAGTGAATTTGCTTATGTGGGATTTTTAATGACAATAGATTTTTCAAGATCATAGAGTGTCAAAATACTTGGCACAAAAAAAAGAAAGAAAAAAGACAAGCACTTGCTTCTCGTTTTTAAGTTATTTATGCATCAAGTTAGTTAATTGCTATTTTTTTATGTTATTTATCTGAAGGAAATTTGTAACAATACTGTCTTATTTGCAGACAAAAGTAATTATGTCTTTTTTTTTCTTCGAGTTATGCCACTTAAACTCTCTTGCTCGTACTTTTGAAGAAGTTGTCAGTAGAATAAATTTAGTAATTTATTAGAAGATAGTATTTTTACAATCTTCATATTTTCACCATATATTTAGAAATCAACATATTATTAATCAACAAATATTGTATATTATAAATAAAAATATATTTAAAAAATATTAATTCTAAATATTTAAGAGATTTAATTATGATGGCAATAAATACTTGCTTAAAAATATAATGGTACTGGTTTTAAATAAAACAGTTTTATTAACCATTGAAAGTGATATGTTTTAAAAAATTAATCCAAAATGTTAATAAAAAACTAACTCTTAATTTCAACAAGGATGAATGATAAATTTTTTGTTTGTGAAACATTTATTTTACGTGCAACAAGCTGCCAGTTTAATTCTGTGTAGATTTATGCATGCAAGAGTAACAACTAACATTTAAAAAATATATAATATATATTTTAAATTTATAAAAAATTACTACTTTAGCTTTCTATGTTTTTGAATTATGCATTTATTTTGCATTTAAATGATTGAATGATAATTACACATAACTGAGTCAGTATTTTGAGAAAGGAAATGTCTTAAAATCAAAAGAATTTTTTTCAAGCACAACATGTGAGTTATATTGATTCTTATTGTCAGTTATGTTTTACAAAAAGTACATTAAAACAGAAATGTGGTCACGAATGAATGTACATCAAGTTAACATTTAAAAAAATGTAAACATAACTATTTTTTGAGAAGAAAGTATTTTGTAAATTTTTGTAATTACAAAATTATCCATTGAAACATATATTTTAAAATTTATTTGGATTATTCTTTATACATTATGATAGTAAATATTTCAATGAATATAAAAAAGTCTGTTATTCATTGCATATGAGCATTGAATTATAGGTTTCCATGTTTCCCTTGCATTGTATTTGTTTTAGCCACTTAATATTTAGTAAACAATTTTAAAGACAAAATAGAAAATATTGGGTAATCTCTAAAAACCAAAGACAGTGGATCTTATGGAATAGTACAGTGGAATAGTTAAAACCATTGTCACTTGTATAAATTTGGAAAAAATCTGTTTAAATTATTTACTCTAAATTCCATTTGGTCAGTTTTTTAGAGCACTTCTTATAAGAATTGTCTAAAGTTTTCAATTTTTAATTTTGAATTCACTGATAGCAATGACTAGATTTTTTTTTACCATCTGTATGATTTTTTTTATTGTTTTGCAGTTTATATGATTTGGCTATGGGATCTTTATCTATATTTTCGCTTCTTCTTCTCAGGGTAAGTTGTTTATCTGTCTGTCGGTCGGTCGGTCCGTATTTATTTATTTATTTTTTAAAAATTAATTAATTAATTAATTATAACTTTAATTAATTTTCTCTTGATGAGAGCCTAAATTTCTCAGATTTTCTTTTAATTAATGATTCCACCAAATGATGTTTTTATTCAGTAAGAAAGCACCAATAACAGTGAGATATGATTTTAATTCATTATCATTTTGTGTTATAACAAGAAAAGTTTATTTTTTGAAAATTTTTATTATATATATTTAAAATATTTAATACAGTTTATTCTGTGTTATTTTTTGTTTAAAATAAAGAAATGTTCTAATTTTTCATAGACATATCAAACAAATATTGACTTGTCATTTTGAACATCCCATTTTGAAATCACTTCGATGAAATTTTACTAGCTTGTAATAGCTAGTAATAATTAGATATCAACTAGCAAACTTTAGTATCAACTTAATTATATATTAACTTTATATATAACCAGTATAATATTAACCTTATTCTTACAGAATGTTAGCTACTTTTATTTTGAAACTATTTTTCTGTGTTAGTCATGCAGAGTGCATTTGTTTTATTTAACATGCATTCACTTAGAATTTGTGTATTTATTTTTCTCAGAAATTTAAGGATCAGAAGTTTAATTGCTGCAATTATTTGAAAGGTTCTATAGCATTAGAAGGTTTATGGTGGTGTATTGCAACAGGTATAATATTACCTACTATAATTTTATTTATGTGTTTTTTTGTGTGAATATGCATTTTTAAAACTTATATAAGAATGGAAATTTTAGTAGCATTTGTTTTTCTTTTTTGCAGCCCGTAATGCTTTACTTGTTATTGTTTGTTCACTTGTGGCGTCACTTTGTTTGTCGCTTGGTTATGATGTCTTCTCCCTTACCAAACGTGTTGATGCTGGTATGCCAACTTTTCAGTTGCCCCAGTTTTCCCTTCATCAATTTGACCCTGTAGAGAATTTAACAATTAGCAAAAGTCCTCTTGAAGTATTTAAGGTCTGTGTCATGAAATGTGATGTTAATTTAATTCTATACTTAATTGTAAATATTAGTTCTCAAATGTTAACAAAAATTAAGTGCTAATGTTTTTATGATCTTGAGAGAAAATCTAGTTTTAAATAAATGAAAAAAAGAAATTTTTTTTTGTTCATTAAAGATAAAAATTGAAAACTGTTTTTTCAAAATTTTTATTACTGATTGCCAAAAAATGTCTCACTTGTCACTGATTGTAACAAAATTTTTGATTGTAAAACATTTGTCTCCATTATCACATGTCACACTTTATTACATAAACTTATAGAAGCAGTTTAGAAATAAAACACAGGTTATTTTAGATTTTAAAATTTTATTTTCAATTATTTAAGTCTGTGTTTTAATAACATGTATGAGCATAAATAATATGAAAAAAATACAAAAACTTAATTCTGTAAAAATATTTAATCTGCTGATTTTAAATGTTTAGTTTTAATCCAAATGTCTGGTGTTTAACTTTTTGGTACCCCTTCCAAGTGTGACATAATTTATAAATGGCCCATAAATTATATTTGTTAAATGAATTATGTGATAGCAATGATTTAAGTTCTAATCTTGTTACATGCGAACTTTGCTGTCTTAATTATTAATTGCAATACATAGTAACCTCATATCAGTATGTGTTTAATTTTGTCAAAATAATGTGTGTTTTGTTGACACACTCTTTAGATAGCAAACACTAACTGTATTTTCATATCAGGGCTACATTGAAAATTTCAATACTTTTTGGTTATATTTATTTGTTTAATTTTGTTAAATAGGCATTCATGGATTGCATGCGTTATAAAATGTTTATTGGTATTGAATAGTTCATTAAAATTACTATTTAGAGTTTCTGTATTTAAAAACATATTATTGCTAGCACTTTAACTATGGTTTCCGCGTACAGGAACTGCAAATAAATTCTCGTGGCAAATACAATGTTTACACAGGAAATGGTATTTGTGCTGTTTGAGTCATTGTTCATTAAATTCTTTATACAGAAAATTATGTATCAGTGCTATATAAAGTATTTTAGTGCTTCGTATTAAATATTTTTGAATTTGTTTTTCTCACAAAAGTTAGTGTGCTAGAATTAAATAATTATTTTATTATTTTTAAATTGGCAAAACTTAATTTTCTTAAGCTGTCGATATTAAAAATCGTTTTGCAGCAATCCACTGTAGATTATTTATAATATAAATATGGTAGATATTTATAATATATATGTAAATTGTTTATAATATTTATAGTTTAATATCTAACTGTGTAATCTTTTTCTGTAAATTATTATTTTTTAGCAGTTTATTTATTTTTTTCTTACAGGACCTTGGCTCTGGTGCTATAGTTATTCCATTTATATCTCTTTTAGAAGCCATTGCTATAGCTAAAACATTTAGTAAGTTGCATTTAGATAAATATGTTTTTTCCAGGTATTATTCCATTAGATTTAGGACCAATTCCATTTACATTTCATTGCACAAATTCTTTGCCATATTGGATTTGCCTGCAGGAAAATTGTAATTCAAATAATAAAACAAACCCTCGAGGACATTTTAGCCCCAGATCAACTGACCCCAGTCATGAACTAACAATAGAAACATCTTAATTTTATACTGATCAACTTTTAGCCTCTTCTACATTTTGAACTTTTATCTACATGTGATTTTAGACTTCATCGACTTTTATTCAAACCTTTACTTTTAGCCATTTACACTTAGGACTTTGAACTCTTATTGACTTTTAGTTTAGTGATTTTATTTTCATTTCAATTTCCTAAGTATTATCATTATTTTATTCTTGACATTTACACCGGCGCTTTTAGCTAGCAGGATTTTAAATCATGTTTATCATTACATAAGTTTTTAGCTAATTCACTTTTAAATGATCACCACCACTGTCATTTGGGAAAATTTTACTGTATTTTTAGCTTAAATATTTAATGTAATGATTTATCTTTCTATCTCCGTATTTCCTCCTGTGGTGTGTCGGGAATCTACCTATCTTGCATTGCATTGCTTAATTTTTTTTTACGCTTTACTGATCAGTTAAATCAAATTAAATTTTTTCATTTAAATTATATTTTGGTAAGTTCATTTGACAAGTATATGTAAAAAAATTTCTGGTTTGTCTTATTGTTACCTTGATTTTATTACTGTTATTGAACAGCTGACCCAATTTTTGGGGTTTAAGACTACTAATGTTCAACTCCGTAGCCTTGTAATTTTGAACCCAATTCCGAAGACAAGAGAACTCATGGATCAAGTATTGGGAGAAATTTGCCTTTGAGAAGGACTTTTTGATGGAACTAACTCACATTTGCGTTATATGGAAAGGAAGACCACGAGAACCTCCCATGGTTACCCTGATGGCAAGGGGACTCTAACCCATGATCCGTCTACCACTGAGGATATTTCACGTCAGCACTGTGGTCATTGCAAGCCGGATGCGTATAGACGAGCCATCGCCGGGATTGAATTGGAAGGCGAACGTTCTACGCCCGGAGCCATTGCGGCTCAAATTACATGGATTAACATGGAGGAAGAATGGTTAGATTCACATATCTTACAAAATGGAAAAATTAATGTTATTCTACCTCATTAAAATAAATTGAGGGGCCATAGTAGCTCAGCGGTTAGGAAGTCAAACTCTAGTTTGGAGTTCAATCTTAGACTCTACTGAGACCTCGCCGAGTACATGCAATGTACATGCTCGTAAAATTTGTGGAATTGAAGTTCTGAGTTGGTCGCTACTATGAGTACATGGATCTCAAGAAAATTTCCTTCACCTTCAGATCTATGTCTAAGGGATCTTACTAATGAGTGGTGCGGCCATCTATCTGTGGTTTCTGAGTTCAGACGTTCCTTCACCCTTGCGATGCTCTCTTGTCAAATGAAAGAAATTCCTTCCTCATTTAATTTGCAAAAGGCCAATGGCTGGCAAGTTTAGCTTGTCCAAGTGCCATTAGAAACAACAAGTGTAAGTTGAGGCATTATATTTATACTTATGTCTTCTACATCTGTCGATCTGTGAATTTTCTATTTACGTATAGCTTATTGATTATTATATCTATGATCTTTTTTAGATTTGTTAATTTCTATAAAACTATGATTCTAGTACCAATTCTTTACCAATATAAGTTTTTTGTTGACTGCATTCGACTATTGAAAAATGAAATACTTTTAAAAAAAGAAATTTATTTATGAATTATTTTTGGGATGTGTCATTATGAAGAAAATCTTATAACCTGAAATTATTTTCAGCTAGAGGTGAGAAATTACACGCCAGTAGAGAAATGATTGCTTTAGGTATGAAGAAATGTTCTATTTTTTTAATATTTTAATTGTGCTTCATTTTTGAAGCAATATTTTTGTAAACTTTTTTTCTTATTGAAAAAAATATCAATAAAACTGCATATCAAAAATGGATAAATTTTTTAGCCCAATTTCCATGTTTTGGAGATTTTTGCTTCTGTTAATTAGATACTTTCAATACTTAGTGATGAATAAACTAGAAAAATTTGTTGTAATTTTTTGGGTAATATTCATGCTTGTGCAAACTATGCTCAAATCAACAGATTTTAAATGTCTTTATTTTAAGCAAATCTTATGGCAAAGAACTACCCATTTTCAAATTCTCTCCTGTTGGTTGCCATTAGATAATTGTTATGAAAATCAGAACTATATGAACTACATGAGCAGTAAGTTTTGATTTCATAACTGTTATGAAGAACAGAACAATAAATTTATTTCGATCAATTTTTTTTCCAGTTCATTACATAAATCTTTGTCACATTCATTTCAAATATGACAAATATTAAATATTTTTAATTGATTAAATGCTACGTCGTATTTTTTAATCATAAGAGAAGGAACCCGTGATTATCAATGTAATACAGTATATACACATTCCAAGGTATGTCTGTGTATAATGTTATTTCTTTCTTATTCCAGTTATTACATAATAAATATAATTGAATGCATAATTCATTATTCAGGTTATAGTAATTAGAAACATCTGTGTTTTGGAACATATTAAAATCATCTTCAGAATTTAAAGCTTTTATCAATATAGGTAGTTTTTGTATTTCTGAGTTTTGCATGTTTTACCAAAAAACTTAAATAATTTATAATATCATAATATTCTTATAATTATAGCTTTAGTGATTTACTGTTTATTTTGATCACTTCCTTGGCATAGATATTTAAAAAGATGTAGCATTTTTAATTTTGTTCTGTTAAAAAGATTTAAATAATTATGAAACATTGAGATAATATTTACCAGTTTCTTTCACATATTTTATTTTAAAAGGTATGGGAAATCTTATGGGATCTTTTGTTTCATCATATCCAGTAACTGGAAGTTTTTCAAGGTATGAATCTTCTAATTGTTTTATTAGAATTTAATGAACTTGTAACAATATAATCTATAAAAATTAATTTTTAATTGATTTATATAAATAAGTATCCCTATAAATTATATTCTTAACTGTGTAATTAATAAAAATAATAACAAAAACTATGATTTTGTAACATTTTTTAACAAATCATGAAAATAAAGTTGTAGAAGATTTTGAGCCATTAGAATTTTTTTTAATGCTCAAGTGGGTACAAGAACATCTGGTCAAGAGAGAAATATTAAAATAAAAATTATGCAAATTTAGAGGGTTTAGTTGTAGAAGTATAGTTGCTTGCTTCATTTAATGAAAGACTAAGTAAATGTTTGTTATATAAAGACTCAAATATTGCTAAATATATGTTATATTAGTAAATATTAAATGTAGAAAGTGTTCTTTAATAATGGGTAAAAGAAAAGTTAATATAAGTATTTTGGATTTGATCATGTCCAGCAGCTTAAAAAAGCTTAAGTTCTAGACTTATAACATACTTTACCTTCCTAGCATTCAAAAAAATAATTCCACCTGTTTTTTTCCTTACATTTTCTTTTACCCATATTCTTTTTAATTGCAGTAAATTCTAAGAAAACAATTAACATTTATTTAGTTCTTAACTAAATGTCTTTCTTTTCTTTGAATTAATCTTTTTATTCTTTTTGTTTATGTCCCTTTTGACTCTGTCACTTAAAGTAAAATTTTATAGCTACCTATTTTTTATTCGTTTGTGTTTAGAATTATGTTCCTATAATACTCCATGTAAATTAAATGAGCGTTTCAAGATCACATTTTCTACCTTCGTCGCCTTGGAAATGATGTGACAGGCAGCAATGCCACTTATTTTAATTCACATGGCTATTAAGGTGTATGTTAATGTATAGCTCTTTGTAATTCTATTGATCATTGTAGTTCTTGATTATAAGTGGATTTGTCTTCACAAAATAGTGCTAAATTATATTTTAAAACTCTGCTATAATGAATAGCTCTGATGTCAAGAGACAATCAAATATCTGCAATATCTACAACTACTTAAAAGAGTTGGCCACGAGTATGAACTTTCAAGCAGTAGCCAGAGTATCAACTTCTTGTTTCTTATTATAACTTCATTCTGAAATGCACTGGTGTGGGAAAAAACGAGATTTGTGGATAACATGTTAATGGAGGTGGTAATATGTGGAGAGTTAGAAAATTACATGACGCCTATTCTATTTACAAAACCTATAGTGCTGAAATACCCTCACTAGCTTATTTTTATTTAATTTTTAATTGTGTATTTGTTCATTCTTTCAACATTTCATTAATTGTCTGATTTTATTGCTTAGAAATATGCATATTAGAAATTTATATAATAAAATTTATTTTAACTGCATTATCCCTCTTTGTTATTAAAGCTATTGTAGCTGTTATTGATTTATTCATATGGGGTAGGGTATTTTTTTATGTACATATTGACTATACATTTGTGCAACTTAAATATTTTTCATTTAGAATTGGACATGTATTATAAACATTTGGTATTATTCCAAATTTTATGGGACATGCTTAAAACAAAAAATTTAAGTTTCATCTTCGGAACATGCAGTAAATGTCTATTAATTTTAGTTTTTTTTAATTTTATTAAATTAAGGATTAGAATTATTTATTAATTTATCAATTTTTCTGAATAATAATTAATGGATACTATTTTTTAAAGATAACTTACGTCGAAAAAAAGTTTTTTTTATATTGAAAATTTTATCAGTTGCCATTTTCAGAAAAGACCCAGCTATCAAAAATATTTCATTTTGTAATTGAATATTAGTGAATGTCTCACATTCAATATATACAAGAAAAATAATGTTATTTTACATTGTGAATTTTTGCATAAATAGGATTTTTACATTTTTAGATCTGTGATAAATAATGCCAGTGGTGTAAAGACACCATTAGGTGGAATTGTATCCGGTAAGAAGCTTATAGAAAAATTACTTTATTATTATCAGAAAATCATGTTTTATTAAATTTGAGTGTATTTAATATATTTAACTAACAAGAATCTTATTTTCTTTCAGGTATATTTGTGTTATTAGCATTATGTGTGATTGCTCCACTATTTCACTATATTCCAAAGTCTTGTCTTTCTGCAATAATATTTTCTGCTGTGATATTTATGGTTCATCTTGAAGATATACCAGCCATTTGGAAAGCCAATAGTAAGAATAAATAGTTTTCATTTTGACATGTTGAGTTTTATCAATGAAATACGGAATAGTTATTAGAGGGTTTATGCTTTGCAATCTCCTGGCTCAAATCAAATCGAACATTAACTAAACTTTATCATTTCACTATTTTTCATTGTTTAGTGAAGTTCAAGTTCATTATTAGCTTTTGTGAAACAACCAATAAGGTTATAATTAAACAAAATCATTCATATGGGATATTATTTAGTGCAATGTTTCCTAAAAGATGTTTCGTGGAACCCTAGGGTTCAGTGGTAAATTTCTCTCTCTCTCTCTTTTTTTTTTTAAAAAAAAGCTACATGATTTTTGAAACTTGTAATATTGCTTGCACCCAACCAACAACTAATTGTGTTTATTTATTCTTTTGGTTGTTTTTATGAAGTTATTTAAGTAAAATGTTAACTAAAGAGAAATAGGAAAATTAAAACAAAATAATTTTCCAGTAACAATATATTACTTCACTTATTTATAATTGCTTCAGTATACCTCATTGAGCTTTACAATTCAAAATAAAATAACCGAATTCAAAAAGGGTGAAACTGTATTTATTTAAATTAAGTATTTATTTAATTCTATTTGTATGAAATGTAATTGTCTTTTATGTTTTGTTTATTAATGAATGTAGCAATCCTTTTTTATTTCTATTTGTTGTAACTTTTTTTTCGTGCTTGATTTTGATAGGAGTGGAAATCATTCCATTTTTTGTGACATTCATTCTCTCATTTGCACTTGGATTGGAGGTAATTTATTTTAAACTTCAAATTAATCCTTAAATAGGAATTGTTTTTTACATTAACCTTAGTGAAATTTTTTTGATTTTTGTTGCAGTATGGACTTCTGTTTGGGACTGCTGTTTCTTTGAGTATTTTGCTGTGGAAGCAGAACAAATTAAATATACAAGTTTCTGTAGAGGTATTAATTCTTGTAATTTAAAAGCAAATTTTAATTATTATTGGAATTTGTTTTAAAGAAACAGCTTTTATATTTTTCTTCTTGATTTATTATGCATTTGTTTAAAATTTTTATGAATTGATAAGAAGATTCAGTTTTTAAAATTTGTAATTTTGGTTTGTTAACGTGTGCAGACCTTTATTTTCAACAGTTTTTTTTAAAGCATTGTTTAATTATTTTAATATGTTCATAGTTTTTTTTTAAAGCATTGTTTAATTATTTTAATCTGTTCAAGCAGACTGTATGAGTTAAGCTGTTCTGTTGAGCTTCATCAAATTATCATTATTTGTTATTATGATTTTTCTTAAAAAATTGTTCTTATTGTTTACAATGGTTAGTCTTGAAACTATTTAGTGTGGTAGATTCACACGCTACACGATAAGTGAAACAGCATATTTGTTTTTTATATCGAGAACAAACATGATAGTAGAATAGATGTACAATTGAAATTAGAAGTAAATACTTTCATATAAAATTTTAGTTTATACTGATATTTTTTGATGCAAATAAAATTATTCTTCGTATCTAATTGTGTATTATGCTAAGCAATTGTTTTTTAATTTTGTGTTAAATGATCTAGCAAACTTTGAGATTTTGCGTAAATATATGGAAATCTGATTTATAGATCATAACTCATTCTATGTTTCTGTTTTTTTTTCTTTCTGTCAACTTGCTAATTCGCAGCTAATTCTATTAAGAAATATTAATGTTTTTTAAGGTAAGATTTTTTTTTGAATAAAAAAACGAAATTTAATGGCCCGTATTGTAAACTGAAACTTATAAATGTTTTTTTTAGCGCTGTGCAATTTAAGTTAAAACTTTTATATTTAAAAAGTTTATATTACTGTTACTTACGAAATTTTTTGCATTACGTTAGATTATGAATTTTTTTGGGGTTGTGAATGTAATTATACCTAGGTGATAATATAGTAATTTAAAAAATATCAGGTAGTACATATATTTAGCATTATAATCATAATTTTATCATAAGTGTAGTTTTCTGCTGTTATTTTGTGAAATTATTGCTGCATGAAAGAAATCCAAGGAATGATATATTAGGATTTAAATTACCTGTTACTGATGATTAGTTATTATTTTCATTAAAAATTTTCATTTGATTTCACAACGAATTAAGGAAATAAGTGTTAGAGTTAAGGTTTAAGGTTTCATATTAAGCCATACTTTGTTTGCTTTAAGAATGAGTAAAATATTATAATAAATGCATTTTTATTTGTTACTAGTGACCTATACTTTGATTAGTATCTAAAATTTACATTTGATTTGTATACTTTCATTTCTATACTTAACTCTAGTGAACCTGTTTATATGAATTCTATTAAGCAAAAAGAAGAAAAAAATAATAAATAAAAATAAAAACTGTTGGTGTAAATAAAACATATATTAGCTGTTCATAAAAAATTAATAACATTTAAAAAAAACTCCATTTTTTCTTAAATTTGTATCAACATACAAAGTGTAGATGCATTCTATCCTTATGTAACTGAAATGCACTCCTTTGATTTCATTCTGAGATATGCCACTGCTAGATTTGACTTGGTACAGCATGTCCGGAAATCGGACTTCCACCAGACTGAGTTGTATCTTATTGCTCTGGCCACTATACACGACAGATACCCGTGCCAGGAATGGCTGCAGGTTTTTACTGATGGATCCGCCACTCCTTCAACGGTGCTTACTCTAAATATTTCAGCCTTGGAAAACCTCTTGACACTTGGGCAGATAATTTTGATGGAGAAATGTTTGCAATCCTTATGGCTATCACAGCTATTGGTGAGCCATCTGAACAAAACATTGTTATCTTTGCCGATTCTCAGGCTGCGATTCAGACCTTTTCTGAATATAATTTATACCCCTCTGAACCTGAATCTGAGTGTAAACAACGCATCAACTCTCTTCTTTGTTCTGGAAGAGAAGTAGTCCTCCAGTGGATCTCTGGCCATTGTGGCATCTACGGAAATGAACGGGCTGACATGTTGGCTAGAGAGGCTTCAGCATTGCACCCTCCTTCTCATCCAGTTCCTCTTAGAAATGCAAGGTGGCTTCTTAAGAGCAAATTCAGACACAGAACAATATCTGCTCTTAGGGACTTGGCTGATGGAAAGTCCTGGGCTAGCCTTCTTGATGGCCAGCAGCGCTCGCATCTTTCCCTTCTTCCCAGGGCCGAGGAAGTTGCTTGTCTTAGAATAATTACCAGACATGACTACTTGCAGGCCCATCTATTTAAAATTAACCTGGTCAATTCACTCTTTGTGTGCTCTGTAACACTTCGCCTATGACTAGGGAGCATCTTTTTGATTGCTCCTCTCTTCTTGACATTCGTTCCTGTGACGACTTCTGTGCCCTCTCACCTTCTGGAGCTACTTCACTATTGTATTGGACTGCAAGACGCCTTATGTCTGAGAAGATGATGGCGGACGTAATTTAATAAAAAATAAATAATTGGTCAGAACCAGTTTGATCTTACTTAGCCATCAAAGTCAAACTATCATGCTGGTCATGTGACAATAAAACTTTGTAGTGTAGTTAAATCAGGAAATTTGTAATTTTTTAAACAAATCTAGCAAAGAACAGTAGTTTGATCAAATTTTGTTTCAATTGCTTAAGGTCCTTAATGTAAAAATGGAGGTGTAGACTCTTTACTTTTTAAAAATATTAACAACTTAACATTTTTTCAGTGTGGAAATGACCAAACCATTATTCATGTGACTCCAGAAAGTAGCCTTTATTTCCCTTCATCTGATAATTTAAAAGGAACTATTTCTAAAATTCTTTATCGTAAGTAGATTATTAATTTCTTAAAAATTATAACTCTAACCCTNCATCTATTTGATTGCCCCTCTTTTCTTGACATTCGTTCCTGTGACGACTTTCGTGCCCTCTCACCTTCTGGAGCTACTTCACTAATGTATTGGACTGCAAGACACCTTATGTCTGAGAAGACGGTGGCGGGCGTAATTTAATAAAAAATAAATAATAAATAATTGGTCAGAAACAGTTTGATTTTACTTAGCCATCAAAGTCGCCATCAAAGTCAAACTATCATGATGGTCATATGACAAAAAAAACGTTTGTAATGTAGTTGAATCAGGAAATTTGTAATTTTTTAAATAAATCTAGCAGAAAACAGTAGTTTGATCAAATTTTATTTCAGTTGCTTAAGGGCTTTAATGTAAAAATAGAGGTGTAGACTCTTTACTTTTTAAAAATATTAACAACTTAACATTTTTTCAGTGTGGAAATGACCAAACCATTATTCATGTGACTCCAGAAAGTAGCCTTTATTTCCCTTCATCTGATAATTTAAAAGGAACTATTTCTAAAATTCTTTATCGTAAGTAGATTATTAATTTCTTAAAAATTATAACTCTAACCCTGATTATTTTCATGTATTAAATTTAATTAATGTGTTTTCTTTATGCATAGGTCAACCTGTAATTTCTAATTGTACAGTTGTTATTCACGCTGATCATGTTAAGGAACTTGATTACAGCACAACACTTGTAAGTATCTCAAAATAAGAATTTTTTTTTTTAATAAAAGAAAAATTTTCATACTTTGAAATGATTTAAAAAATAATTATTGCAAACTTTTTTAAAATGAGTATTTGTTACGTGTTCCAACTTATAACCATTCTTTTCATGGTAAGTTATAATCAAAATCTTCAATGTCAGCCCTTTATGTTTAACACTAAATCAACATAGTAAAACATTTTTTTAAAATAAAATATTCATTTTCATGGCATAAACTCTGTGATTTATCACAATCGAAAGCATAATTTAAGAATAGATAATATTACAGTCAAACGAATGCGAAGGGACCTCAATGTTTGTTTGTTTAAAGCGAGTGTTCGTAAAAAAATCATGTAAGTTCATACATGGTTATTAAATTACCTCTGCTTTCAAAAAAGTTTACATGTTTTCTAGATTTAAGTGACTCATCACTAAATTTCAGTTACTTACATATTGTTGAACCCATTTTTGAATGATTTAAAGTTTGAAACTTTTAATTTTTCTGTTTTTGTGATATTTAAAAAATTTAAATTTTAAATAAAAAATTTTTCTTATTTTTTTATAAAATATGTTTTTCTCTAGATAAAATTTATTTAATTTTTTTACAATGATAATATTTTCTGTAGTATTTATTTTTTTACAATTTAAATATAATTAAATTTTTTTCTATATTTTTAATTTCAGGGTGTGAAAAATATGATTAAGAGTTTTGAGAAAGATAATTGTCAAGTTGTTTTTCAAATTACTAAAGTAAGATTTTAAATATATTCAAAATATAGTGTGAATGTATAACTTATTTTTCTTGGTCTTATATCATATCTGTTGAATGTTATTTATTAGTTATATAGACATTTCTTTAAAGAGTAGTTTTAAACATTTGTATAAAATTATATCATTGATATAAATCGCTAATTTTGATTACGCATAAATGTGGCTGAAGACGAATTCTTGGCCCTAGGATGGCGCCACTGAAAAACAAGAAACGCACACTCAGCCTTAAATTTGCTCGGTTTCACCAAGCATGCTTGCCCGTGTGGAAAGGGGCATTCAAAACAACAACATTGATATAAATATTTTAAAAAGTGCATACTCAGAATTACTTGCTCAGAAATATTCCTACACGTAAAATATTTCTTTGAACTTTTTCTTAATATACACTGGTGGACAAAATTAAGAGATGGAAAGCATTTTCGCACATTTCTATGACACTATTTCTGGACGGTTATTGATATGGAGGGAACCTGGAACTCGATACCATCCCAGCAACATTATCGAAAGAGACTATTATGCTGGTGGAGGACTCATGGTTTGGGTAGGAATCATGCAAGATACCCGCACACCGCTCCATGTGTTTGACAATGGTTCCGTGAAGGCCAAGAGGTAAAGGCAGGAGGTCCTAGAGCCCTATGTGAATCTTTTCAGGGGCGCTGTTGGCCTTGAGTTCATTTTTATGGACGACAGTGCGCGACCACATAGGGCTCTCATGGTTGAAGAGTGTCTGGAAAGCGAGGATATTCAACGAATGGATTGGCCAGCCAAATCCCCTGACCTGAATCCTATTGAACATGCTTGGGATGCTCTTGGGAGAGCTATTGCGATGCGCCATCCTCCCCCCTGAGCCATTCTGGAGTTAAAAATTGTTCTGATGGAAGAATGGGAGGGTCCTCCACAAGTCCTCCTTAACTCCTTTATTAACAGTATGCATACTAGTTGTGCATGCTGTCTGTCTGTCAGGGGTGACCATACACCATACTAGAGGCAACACACTGTACAAGCCTCACTTTTATTGTCATCTTTTATCCTTAAGTTCAGACTACATTGGATTTATTGGCAATAGGTCTTGCCACTGAATGGCACTTTCATTTTTGTTTTGCATGGAATAAGCTATACCCATACCAAATTTCATTTATTTATTTTCAGTATTTTTTGATATATTTGGGAAAATGTCTTCCATCTCTTAATTTTGTCGACCAGTGTAAGTCAACCATTTTTAGCAACACATAAAAATAACCAGCACGGCACTAAATTGAACTTAACACACATCCATCCACCTGATAAAAATTCCTCGTTTCACAATCAATTGCTCATAACCAAATGACAGAAAAATGATAGCCTCAACTGTATATTGTAATAAATAATTGTACATTAAAAAAATGCTGGCGTTTGATCAATAGCAGTGCAAGTAATGCCAGGGTTGAAATAAATTTAAGTTATATCATATAATATTTACTGATTCTCATTTTTATAATTTAAGCCAAAACAAATTAACTTGCCTTTTTATTTTTCTAGCCTTCTTTCTTTAAAGCATTGAGCTCTTTGGAAGAGACAGTTTATGTGTGTAAAAATGAGACAGAGTTGCAGAATTGTCTAACATTTCCAAATAAGGATAATAGTAAGTTCTCAATTACATTGATGATTATAGAATCATGTTTTGTAAATATGTTTATTGTTGAAAAATACTAAGAGTTCTTAGACTTACAGTTGAGGAAATAGTTTTCATAATCATTTTCAGATTTTATTTCTCAAAATTTTTTAAAATCATTTTCAGATATCATTTTACTGGAGATAATACCATTTGAATTTTATTTTTTAATAAAAGGATCAATTGGCATAATTTTATATTTAATTTAATTGATTATTTACACTTGCAAAAAAATTTGGATTTCTACATTTATGAAAAAAATTAATTTTAACAGTAAAAAACTAAGCTCTTAAGCTGTATTTTGTTGCTGAGCTGTATTTTATGGGAAAATTAAGGTTTGATTTACTTCAATTAATTTTCATAGCAATTATGAAAAACTTATATCAATTACTTGGTATGTTTAATGTAATCTATTATTGTATTTCAAAAGAATTCTTTAGTGCCATATTTCTTGAGAAAATTAGGGTTTGAAGTACTTCACAATTTTTGTGGCAATTATAATTAACCTACATCAGATACTTGATAGCTCGATGTATTCTATTATTGTATCAAATGTTTTATGTTGTATGTTTTGACACTTTTCTGTTGGGTGGGTAGACTCTTATTCTATCCAATGTCTGCAACTTGGTTATAGAAAAATGTTCCAAAAAACTTTTATAAAGAAGAAAATACTTTTATAAAATGGATACAGTTTGTTAAAAAATAAAATTGCTCAGAACCGATTTTGACTGTTTTATTTGCTAACAGTTTTCTGAGATGGCATATAAGTTAAGCCACTGTACGGTCACTGTGAAAAGACGAGATTTCATCTTCTGTGATGGCTAAAAGCCAATCACAAGGGACATCGCTATTCCTGGAGATGGCTGGAAACCCAAACAAGTAATCTGGAAAGTAAAGGTGGCTCACAGAATAAAGAATTCTCTTGGTCTTAGAATAATAGAGCCTTAACTTTCATGGCCTTATTGGTCAACTACTAACTGTTTAAACAGGGGTCTGTTTCGAAGAAATTTGAGTCTGGTAATAGACCCTTCACAAAATATATTTTCATAAAAACGGACCCTTCACGAAATATTTTAATTTAAAAACGAACCCTTCACAAAATAATTTATCTTTTAAACGGACCCTTCACAAATTTGTTTTGTTAATTATTGTTTTTGTAATTATTGTTTTGTTAATCGAATAACCCTTGCCAGGAAGGGGGGGAGGAAAGACATATGTAAACGAACTAAGTTTTGTCTTCGACAGACGCTTCTTCCTTTTAAAATTTAATTTTTTTAAATTATAATTTTACAGTGTTGAGCATAATCTTGTTTGTCTTTACAATTTAAAAACTCCTTGAAAAAGTTTTTTGCTATAACAGGATCCTATTTACACAAATTTGGAAAAGCCGGACCCTAGTTGAAAGAATGTGACGTTTATTTTATATTCCCAAATTACGAGTAATTTTTGCACAATTTTACAAAAACGGACCTTTCACAAAATGCCTGGATAGACCCCTGATTTAAGGAATATTTCACTTTTATAAGTTAACAAACAAAAAAAATTGTATTTGTATACGCAATATTTTAATTTTCCATAACAAATATTAAATAAATTATTTGTTCAATCTAATTATTGATATAAAATATAATTTCCTAACAACTTATCTTTTTAACTGATTTATTCGCTTCAAAAATATATAAATAGGAAATAACAGACGATATGTTTCAAGACTTGCTGGAGGTGAATGAGAAGAAACAAAAGTGATTTGAAATGTATTTCTCTATTTTTCGTTAGAAACTTTTCGTTTTATATTTCAGATAACTTTTGTTTTTTCTCATTTACGTCTGGCAAGTCTTGAAAATGGGCATCTGTCTTTTAGCGCTTGAAAAATGTCAACTGTTGTTTCCTATTCATATATTTTTGAGGTGAATGAAGTTTTTAATCAGATAATAACTTACCGCTTTAATTTCTTGGGATTATTTATTTAATAACATAACATTTGAGCCTTTTCATTTGCATAAAAATATAGATTGTAAGACGTTGCTTTATTTTCAGGTATAGAAATTTGTTCAGAAAATACTGAAGTTTTTGAGAGCTCTAGTGCTGATGCATTGTTATCAAGAAATACTCATTCTGGTAAAGCAAATGTGACAATCATAAAAAATACATCTAATGGAATTATAGAAAAGAAAAAACAAGAATCCAATGACACATAAAATTATTTTTATGCATTAATACATTTCCACTGTCTCATTCCGGATGTTAATTTATTCAGTATTTTTTTTTCCCATTTCTAATAAGGATATTTTAGTTTAAATTAATATTTTAATAAAACCCTGCCAAGTGCTATTCATTTTAAAGTATGAAACTTCTAGTGTTATTCATTTCAAGCATAAAATATAAAACTGACATACAAGACTTAACTGTACCTATTGTTCTCACTTTCTTACATAATGGCATTTTATCCGTTTGATGCAGAATTTTTATTGAACATGTTTTTTTTTTAATTAAATTATTTTGTATTAAATAAATTATTTTGTATTAATTGAAATCAAAATAAGTGGAAAATGAATTAAGCATTTTTATAATTTATGGTTATGAAATACATCATGAAACACTGGTGTCTTTTTCCGCATTAAAAGCAAAATCTTCCAAACATGGCTCATTTCCAAAAAATAATTTTGTTTTCAAATTTTGTAAAAATTTTTATAAATAAATTATTACTTTTTTTAAGTAGATGTATGCACTGTTACAAAATAAATGTGCTAAATCATGAAAAAATATTTTAAGCATTAAGATTTTCGAACTAAAAATTTATTTTAAAACAAGCTTTTCAGTTTAATACTTTAAGATTATAAAAATTACTTAATTTAACTGACATCTAATAATTCAAAGAAAATGAACATTTATCCAAAAAATGATCAGCTTTACAGTTCATTTTTAATAAATGCTCTTATCTTGTCATAGCTTTAAAAAAATACATTCCTGAAACTCTAATTTTTCTAAATGAAATAAGTATTTTACCTCAAAAAGAATAGTACTTAGCTACTTATAATTGTTTTATCATTTTCTAAAATAGTATAATTTTTTTCACAGTAAAAATAGCTTCTAAATTAACAAATTATGCTTCCAAATTTCATCTTCTGTGATTCAGGTTGCTCAAAAGTCCAATTTTTATACTCTTAAATATGCTCAGTGTTTGTCCATTTTTCTAAATATTCCTTCCGCAAATTAAAAACAGCATTTCCAAAATTAAAAACAGCAATTTTAAGATTTTCTAAACTGTTACTTAGAATTATAGTTGGTATAATCTATATAAGGTTCAAAGCTTCATTTGTTTAGGCATTACTGTGAGCTTTCTCAGTGCGTCTAATAATGCTGTTTAGAATATTGCATTTTTATAATAAAATTTTACTTCTGTTGAAAAGAGTTTTAAAATCAGTGTTAGATATTTTAAAACTATTTTTTTTTGTTGGATGTTTTTATTTATTTTATTGTTAGATGTTTTAATAGAGTTAATTAGATGTTTTTAAAACTTTGCTTCCAAATTTAAAGTTTTCAGACATTGATTAGAAGTCCAATTATTGTTTGATTTCTAGTTATAAAAATTTAATTTAATCAACATAAAAAACATTGGATTAATCAACATTATTCTGAATATTGATTATCTTCTCCATCTCATGAATTTATTGAACCTGCGCTTAGAATTAAAATTAGAAAAATATAACTAGGATTTTTTATTTTTTTTTGCTTACACATGACTATAAGTTCTCTTAATGCCTTCAAATGTAAATGTTTTAATCAATGATTAGAAATCCAATTTTTTTCTGTTCTATTTAAAGTAGGGAAAAATCAAGTATTAGACTTGGTGACATTATTCTGAATATTTATTGCTTTTTTAATCTTATGAATTACTAAGAGAGGTTTTCTAAACCATTGCTTAGGATTACAATATATATAGGAAGTTTATACAATATATCTAGGATTTTAAACTCCATTTAATTACACATGACTATAAGTTCCCTTGATGCATCTGAAAAGGCTTTGTAGAACATTGCATTTCTTAAATAACATAATTTTAATTCTGATTAAAAAAGATTCAAAATTATTTATTAATTTTACTTTCAAATCAATGATCAGAAAACCAATTATTTCTGTTCGTTTAAAAGTAGGGCAAAATCAAATAAGAGACTTGGAGACATTATTCTGAAAATTTATTGCCTTTTTAATCTTATGAATTACTAAGAGAGGTTTTCTAAACCATTGCTTAGGATTACAATATATCTAGGATTTTATGCTGAAATTATTTACACATAACTATAAGCTCTCTCACTGCATTTGAAAAGCTGTGCAAAATATTACATTTCTATAATAACATAAAATGCTTAGGAAAATTGCATAAAAATTAACTTTGTTTCAAAAATCACAATTTTCAGTGATCCAATTATTTATACTCTTTTTATTTTTTTACTGTTAAAAAATTTTTATATTTGATTTCAAAATTATTCTAGATAGTTGATTCCCTTCTCAAACTGACAAATATAGTTGGTCTAGTCTAGTATATTTTGGATCTTACAGCCCCAACTATCCATCTAGCATATTTTATAACTTTCACACATCAGTGTGAAAGTTATAAAATATGCAATTGAAATAACTCTAATGCATCTTATATATAGTATAATATTAACAAATTGCTTAAATAAGCTGTTAAATTATTTTTATGTAATTTTGTATTATATAAAAATGTAAGCTGAATGTTTCATTTGTATAAAAACGTTTGTAAATGTTCTGTAGTTGAAAGAAATCTGTATAAATCAAATTAAATGTCTTTTTATTTATAAATTGCATTTATAATGTCTATGTTTTACATATTTGTGCACTTTTAATATAAATTTTTATTACTTAATTTATATTTATTTTGTTTAGAATTTCATTTTTAAAATTTATATTAACTAAATACTTTTTATTTACTTTTGTGTTTTATACATCTCTGCATTTTATCATAAATTTATATATCATTATATATATTCTATTCAAAATGAACAACTTTTTGTTAAGGAAATTATTGCTTAAAATTTGCTTGATAATTATTGCTAAGTTTTTATATCTGAATTCTAACCCTCATTTGGAGTAATATATTTTGTTGATTTTATATAGTTATTTATTGCTGCATGTTTTTTTTCCTGTTAATGTGTGAATTTTGATTGAACAGATAGAGCACTGGCACAAATCTTAGTATGTTGTTGTGTTAATATGCATAAATATTATTTATTGCTGTTACAAATATTTATGATTTATACAAATCAGTTACACGATCCTCTAGATAATATTTTGATCTCTTATTATATATTTATTTTATCTCTTATTATTTATATTTATTTTGTATTAACGTAGTCTCTCGTTATAATTGCGCTTGTCAGAAGACAAAAAAAGTTCAATTTATCTGTATGTATGATACATGTTTATTGTTAAAAAAATACATGATAATAATACATTTTTTCATAAATAGTTTAAAATTAAAAATTACTTATATTAATGATTTTTTTTCACACAATTTTAAAAAAATGAATCCATAGTCTAGTACTACTCTTAAGAAACAATAAATCATAGTTAATGTGTACAGATTAATAATTTTTGTTTTCATTAGGAAAACAAAATGTTTTTTTTTCTGTAATTCTTTGAAATAGTGGAGGAATATTTTGGGACACAGCTATATATCTGACAGTGCAATATTATGAGTGACTATTGTATTTATGTGTATAATGTGCACTAATATGTTTAGTTTGATTTTATTGGTCAATAATAAAATAATTCTCATAGTATTGTATAGAAACTATTAGTGTATGGTATAGTAGTGAGATTCAAAAAATTAAATCACTTTTTAAGCTGTTCTCAATTTTGTTTCTTTAGATATAGAATAGAAAAATAGTATTACATTGTTGAATATTATAAATTACCTTTTATTGTGAGCATTTTTGGTTGCATATTTTTGCCAACTTCAAAGTCTGATTAGCAAATTCAATGATCCTCCCCTCCCCCATGTGAAATTTTTATTAGGTCATATTTCAGTATTATTAGGTTTAAACTCCCACATTATATCAATATCTGCAGCTTAAGTAAAGTGCAACAAAAAAAATCATAATAATAAATGGACCATACTGAATAACTTTTGATCTAATGATTGGATCTTCACATTCTATTATTAAATTTTAATAGTTTGAGGGGGACTTCAAGTATGCTAATTAAGGCTGGTGATATTTTAAGTTACGAAATCACTCCCTTAAAATGTACTTTCTCCGAATTAACATACCGTTTTTTTGGACGGATTCGTATTTCTTACCTCCAAACAAAAAAGGTAGCCACAGTTTAATCAGAAAAGTGATCATAAGTTTGGACCCCTTAATGCTACTTTTACTTTTTGCATATTTTACCATATCTCCAGAAATTTTTAAACAAATTGAATTTTTTTTCTCACACAATTATAAAATTCGTTTACCTAAAGATAATTCTATGTACAAAATTACTTTTGGTGAATATTTCATAATTTTTATTAGTCATCTCTTAGTTACTAGGTTTATAGCCAAAATTTAAATATTTTCTACAACTTAGTTCTAAATCTTAACAAATACTAGTTTTGAAGTGCGTTATCTCTTCATCATCATCATCATATTTGGCTAGACAGCCCAGGGTGGGCCAGTGCCTTCCTTTGAATTCGAATCCACTTCTCTCTACTTTTGACACTTGTTCGCCAGTTTTTCTCCTTTAGAGTTCGCCAGTTTTTCTCCTTTTTATCTCTTACACAATGAAAAAAATCAAAGCTCGTTTCATAACAGAATTGGTTGATTACTTTTACTGGCTTTCAATATCAACAAACGTTAAGACAAATATTTAGATAGAAAACCATCATGTGTCGCCCATCATTGTTTTCAGATGATGATAAAAGAGGTATTTTCCTACTTCAGTTTAATTGTTTAAAGGAATTAACATTTTAATTCTTTACAAATGCTATAAAAAAATAATTATGTTACACATTCAATAGAATTGAACATTAAACACTGGCAGTATGCTACTGTTAGAGGTAATGACCTAAGAGTTGAATAGTCATCAAATATAAAAAAAATCATAACAGTCAAAGTTGGCAAAGTTTTACAAATTAGGAAGATCTTTTAAATTTGGATTTTTTGAGCTGTATAAAAACTTAGTTTAACCTTCTACCATCTTTAAAACAAACAGTTATTTCTGTGTGCCTTTTTCATAGTGTAACAGGAATGTAATACAAGGCAGGATAGCATGCTATTGCAAAATGGCTCAGTGCAGAATAGTCCAATGAATAAACAGGCCACATTTAATAACAATCAAATATAATAAATGTGAACAAAAAGACATAATAATTTATGTCTGGTATATAATAATTATGTATGGTATTTGTTCAGCTACCCAATAAGCCTTCTAATCCGTTACCTGCCACGCAAGTGATGCATAATCAGAATTATTATAGCACCCTCTGTTGGACAGGAAGAAATTCTGAGACTATACCTCCATACTGTGTCCAGAATTAAAATTTTTTTTAAATGCTTTCAATAAAACAGACTTGAAGTTGAAATAGCTCATTTTGTTACTACCTTTTAAAACTGAATTCAGACTTAATATTGAAGGCCAGAGTCTGAAGAATCTTTATCAGAGTCCAGGAGAGATAAACAGGATTTTTTTTAACCATGTAGTATTAAGACCAAGACTGTAAAATTTCACCCAAGAAAATTAGAATCAAAGAAATAATTTTTCTATCACTATCCTATAAACGTAATATTGAATTTTCAACAACAATTAACCAAATGACTACCACATAAAAATTACGATACCTAATTATAAATGCTTTTGAATCATTAATGTATTTTTTATATGGGATAACCAAAAAACAAATTAACAAAAACTTCATGAAAACCTTATGAGCCCCGAAATATTGCTTAATTAAATACTGCCGAAAATGAAATAACTCTCCATCAAAATTTATACCAAAAAATTTATTTTAAAAATTCGTAAAATTAGCAGAAGATTAAAAAAAATAATGCAAGTATATTTTTGTTATTGCTAATGTAAATTCTTTTGGAAAATAATAAGTTTCTCAAAGTAACGTTTAAACTTTTTTTTATTTAATATAAGTTATAGAAATATTGTAATGTACAATTTTAAAAGTTGCTTTACCAAAAAAGATCATAGCACAAAATTTGTATAAAACTCTTTAAGATACCTGTTCAAATAAAAAAATCAATCGTGAACTTTTACGTTTTTAGTGCTATTACGTTAACTTTTAAGCATTGAATTGAATTTATTTTGAATACATATAAACAGGTAAATTACAAAATATTTTTATTACAGACTTTTTACAATTACTTGACACTTGATATTTTCATATTCTGGCTTTTCCTTAAAAAGCTGTTTTCAAAATTGACAGTATTAGCTGTACGTTCGGAATGTTTCTCTATTTGTTCTGGAAAAAGACACTTTATAGCTGGCAGAAAAAGATGAACTAGTGGTACTTGATGCATCTCAACCTAATAAAATACTTTTCATAATTTCAATGAAATAGATCATGCAGAGTTATGAAATATTAACAAAGTAAAAAATGAAATATAAATATCATTGAATTAAATACTTTACGTATCCCAAAAACTACACTGGTGGGCAAAACTTAAGCAACAAGTGCGTTTTTTGTCATAACTCTACAAGAAATCATCCGATTGACGTGAAATTTGAATATGATGTACATTATTTTGTACTTAAACGATGGTAAAAGAAAAATGGCGCAGAAATGAATATAAAGCTTAAAGTAGGGTATGGAACAAAAAAAGGCTTTACTTGACATATAGTGGCATTACACGTGATTGCCTGAAGAAGCGTAAGTACAACTGGCAGATGTTCCCTAGTATGGGATATGCCCTCCCCTTACTATAATTGTTGCTTGGCATCGTCTCTCCATGCTAAGCACCAGATTATCCAGGAGTTCTTGGGGTAAACGTCTCCATTCCT